AGAAAAGCTGTGTAAAAAGGCTTACTATTAAGTTAACGATTATCTAGTTGATAAAAGGGCCTGGGACGAGTGCTAGACAGGCTACTTCTAATTAATTTGCGATATTTGTTTTAAAATAGGTGTTGTTTGACATAATCATTTTGTATGATAATTTGCTATTTTAAAAGAGTACCGAGAGTTTTTTTACGCCGGTTTTTCTCCCGGCCCACACCCTCTGTCTTCTTTGCCGATGAGTAGGGATGGCTACCGATTCAAATTAAATGACGTGAAATAAGTGATACCTGTATCTTATATATTAATAAACATTTATTTATGCCGCATCCAATACACAGTGAGATTGTACAACAGAAGGTTGATTAGATGTTGTGTTCGCGACGCAACGTCGCAAGTTTGAACCTTGATCGATACATCGTTCACCCTGTTAACGGCGGAGTGGCCCATCCTATATTGTGTAATACTCTTGTAAGACTATTGTTACAGTTATCTTGCTATCATATGTATGTTGTGTGGACTCAGTTTCCACACATAGACGTTTTGCATATAGTCCTGACTAATTAAGCCAACCTAGCTCGTTCTAGAAGCTCAGAAGTTTCTTGGGCAATTTGCAAGGTTCCCGGAGCGACCTCAGCTCCAAGGATTCCTGTTCTTTGGGAAGCCACAGAAGCCACCCAAGCATTCCAGGCCTACGTGGGTGACTTACTCCTTTTGCTGAAACAGCCTCTGCACAAAGGACTGTCTCTCGCGCTAGCACATTGACGTGTCAGCTTTTATTCTACATAGGGTAAATAGCACGAATAACGAATGATCGAACGATCACTCGATTTCACTTCAAACTACTCTATTAGTTTCCTTGTTTCATACAATTAAGTTTTTTTTCATATAATAGCTTAACATTTATTTTAATTATTATACTTTATGTTAGAATTCTACTCCTAAAGAGGAATATTACGAGGGGAGCCCTGCATTTAAAGTTAAAAGGTGTTTTTTTTTCATATGGGTAACAGTGTACACTTACGAACGTCAGTAAAAAAATATGCTTCTAAATTTATTGCCAGTTCTCAAATCAAGGGCATAGAAGACGAGAATAACTGGCAATAAACTCTCCGTCACTCCGTTTGTAAAGCTTAAACCATTATTATGATAATATAGTATATGCCAATACTTATATTAAAGTGTCACTTAGATTTAAGATCCCTTAAATAAGCCAAATTAGTTTTTTGTTAATCCAGCGTCGCCACCCAACTACCCCTAATTTTATGTTAGTTATAAACTCATGTACTAAACTTAAAATTATCAAACAAAGTGTTTCACTTAACGTATATTTGAACCGAAACCTAAGTTGTGTTTTATGATTTTTTATCAGTAAGTAAATATGGCATTGTCGAATTTACGATGTTTTACGTCATCGCCTACATTTTCCCAAAAAGGCAAAGTTAATTGTCGAAATTGTAATTTAAAAATTTATTTGACACATTACCATACGCTTTCTTTATACCAAAGATTTTAAAGTTATTTTCCGCACAGCAAATAAAGTTGAGAGGTCGAGTGCGGATGTAAATTCAATCTTATTTACTTGTATTTACTGCATTACATTAAAGGCGAGTTCCATCCACTTATGCTGTTAACTTTAAATGAAATTGAACAAATAAAAGCGAAGAGCGGACGGTTCAAGTTTTTAATACTTTTTTACGTTCCTAAGTAAGTACTTCGCAATAAGGTTTCTGATATACGAGCGATCGTGCATTATCATTAAACGAGGTTGACTACGAGGGAGACCTAATCAACCACTATTTAAAATCTAATAAAAAACTTCCACAAAAAGGCCAGAAGGTCGTGATAGCATGGAGTCGTTAACCACGCCAGTTGCCGTCGACTGAGAAGGTAGTAAGAATACATTCCAAAAATTTAAATAATTACGAATGTCTCTTAGTAATTCAATTCTGAGCGTGTGACCGAATAATAAAGCATTAGATTTAGCCATTTCGAAAAGCAATTGTCCGGACACCAATTCCTACCTCAGGACAGGGGCAGAAAATCCAACTAACATTTTAATCACAACACAGTCTAGACTCTATGGTACTACTATGGTATACTACGAGTATACGGTGTTGTGACGCGAGTCACTGGTTTTAACTAAAAGTACTTTTAAAGCGGGAATATAGAGTAATTAAATATTTTTACGTTTACATTTAAATTTTTCTGTAGAAAATAATAGTACCTATAAACATACAAAAGTTGAATAGTCGACGTTAAGTCCTCTACCTAAAGAATAGATTCATTATAATAAAATTTTTGTTCGCCGATCGCAGTACAAGTGGAAAATTCAAGAATAAGAAAAGTTAACATTATACTGAGTTTAGAATTTTCAAGTAAATATTTTATTGAAGTTAATTAATTGTTTTAATACCCTCTCTGCTCTGTAAATTCTTTTTATTGTGAATATTACCTATTCGTTTTTTATTGTGAATATTACCTATTTATTTTCAAATATTGTATGTAACGTTACTAATAAAAAAAAATAATTAAGCTAATAGGTAACGCGTCACGATAAGTATTTAAAGATTTTTTTATAATTCAATTTGCATTCAATGTGCCTTATAAACGTATCTATCAGAGGCAAATATATATATATTATTAAAGTAAAATATATAAACAAATATTATATTATTATCTCCACAAAATATATACTATGATTGTAAATCGTCTGACATAGGGAAACAATTTATAATAATCTTTCACAACCGATAAACCCTGCAGGTTAGTTATTCTGTTATTGTAAATCATTTTTATGTGGTTGGGCAATGCACGATCCCGGGGACGCTCGCCAAATCCCCAACTTGTGTCAATTGTCCCGCGCACATATTCTCTAAACGCATATTATTCGCCACATTTGCCAACGTATAATCTTGTTCTTTATTAGAGCAATAAATGTTAAAGTAAAACTTCTTACGCTATAAAAGCGTATATGTATTCATTATTTATTTTATTATAAGCTTAGTTCGATACAGCTTACGCAATCAAAGCATTTTTACTTAACCAGATTTTTTTTCACCCCAAGTGCGTACAGCGGAGCAGTGTTGGCCTAGCGGCTTAAGCGTGCGACTCTCATCCCTGAGATTCAATCCTCGACTATGCACCGATAGACTTGTTGTCTATGAAGGCATTTAACATGTACCTATAAGGCTCTTACGGTGAAGGAAACATCGTGAGGCGGATCTTAATTTTCAAAATTGTTCTAATTGTTGAATAAAAATGGATTTAATTGTTGGTAATAATAATCTTTGATTATTCAAAATATTACTTAATATCGTAGTAAACTACACTCGTTTTACATATAGCATTATATCTAACCCTTTATTATTTTTAACCAAGAAATTCAATTTAATATATTATATTATATATTTTCTCTTAAAAAATAAATAGCAAAAATAAAAATTCTAACATTTCCTAGAATTTTCTCTCAATATAAACAGATACTTTCTAAAACAAATATGTACTTCCGTCCATTTAAGTCCATTTAATTGACTCGAAGCGTCTTTATAGCAGCGTCTAGGTCTTCGTAGATAATTGCAATTCGCGTCGCGACGTACTGACCACTTCGTCTCACTTTAATTAGAACGCATTATAGACCTGGCTGCCGGATTATAATGCGGTGACCTAATTAACAGTTAGAGCTAAAACTAGGAAACAACTTCTTAATACTCAGCTCTTTGTGTGAATATTTAGAACTGAAGTTGAAAGTACTTATAAAATATAGGTATTAAGTGGAATAAATTAGGTACGTAATCGTGATAATAATGTCGATGAATTTGAAAGATAAAATCAGATAAACAATATTTATGTAATAGTTTTGCTTACTTAGTATAACTATTGATGTGTTATGACAAAGACGACTATGGCGAATCGAATTTGTATGGTAGTTGTCACGTGACTGCATGAAGTTATTAAATGTTAGATCGACGATGTAATACTTTGATAGCTGGTAACTGGCTCAATACACTTCTACTCCCTAGAAGAACAGAAACTTCCTATGCCTTACCTAGGCATTTGAAATATTCTAAAACGTTTCCTAAAATATAAAACCTTTGAAAGCATTTGAAGAGCTCCAACCGAATTTTTTTCATGCGACGTGGTGAATTATTAATTCCATTAGCGATGCCGCAATCATGGCCACTAACGAACGCCTGCGGTCCGCTTTACACACGGCTTTAATAAAAACCCAAATTAAGTAGAAACAGCTCGTTCCAAATCGTAATTATAATGGCACCGCTAGGTGCTGTTCTAGCGGTTTTGATAATCGTTTATGTTTAAATTCGGTTTGCCTCAATGTAACATACATATAACAGTATCAATCCATTAACTTAAATATGGCCGTGGAGGAAGTAAGTAAGCTAAAAAAATAATATCTTGATATTATAAAGAGTATAAAGATTAATACTAAAATATATTATATACATATAATATATTAAAAATACATTTATCCATCCCTAAAAACAAGATTATTTCATTATTTGTTTGTTTTAATACGGAACGTCTACATTGTTTTGTTGACATGTCTATTTTACATTTTACGATACACATCATTTTTGATAATCTCGCGCATATCGCATTTTATTACATATCATTATAATATTATCTGGTTAGGTTATGTTAGCGATTACCAACGCACTGATTTACTTTTCCTAAAACTTACACACAGCAAGGAAACATTGACAATGTGTTTTTCAATTAACATTAAAGTGATTTCAATTTTCGGGTAAATCGAAATTGAGATAATGTCCACCCTTTTAATATCTTATATTCAGATATAGATAACATCTAGATAAAATACTCGAGATGTCAATTGAAGTCAATTATCAATTAAGTTCGAGCAAACGTCAACATACCGTCAAGTGTCAAAACACAGCTGAAGATGACAGATATTGTGTTTTCTTTTCAGCATGTCATAAACAAAAATTGGTAGGAGTTTTATGTTATTTTATATGGAAATTGTTTGCACAATGGCGACTAGTTATTTATCTGAAAACCAAGCTCCACGCGATTTTAGAGTGTCTTCTATAGAGAGTGATGGTCACTACACAAAGTGCCCTCTTTGCTTCACTGTGAAACGAAACTTTTATTGCGCAGATTGTGTAAGAAATGGAAATTTTGTTCACTCATCATTGCCCTACTCAGACAGGTGAAATTAATATTTTTTCTTAATACGCAGTTTATTTACATGAAGCCCTATCCTTTTGTTACCTTTTCTAATTAATAAAAGTAATTTCCCTTTTATTATATAGCTTAAATATTAGTGACTGCAAAACTAATGGTTGTTGTATTTTTATTCCAGATTTGCAGACAAACAAGCGAAGATAATGCGATTAAAAGTTAACCGACAACATATTTTGGACATTTGTGATAAGCTGCTGACACCTAAATTAAAGAAAGATGTACTAGTTACAGAAACTAAAAGATCAAAGGACAAGTTAGAGCTTTTACGTTTAGCTATTGATCAACGGAGAAATAATGTTAAGGTGCTCAAAGAAAAACTGATTGAATTAGAAAATAGTAATAAAGAATTGAGGCTCAAGTTACCTAGGTATCAAAAAAGAGTTGCAAGTTTAGGAGAGCATGCACAGAAACAACAGTTTGATGTACAGAGAAGGATCAACACATACAATGAACAAGCCCAAGACTTGGCTGAGTTACGCAGGTCTAGGATACGGCAACTTAATCGATACATTTTTCCTGTATACATAAGTTATGATCCCAGGTAAAAATATCATAATATACCGTCTACATAAATAGGACACTGATTTTATTGAATTAATTAGTTCTTTAAAAACCCGTAAGAATTTCGAAACTGAATACTTTCAATAAAACAAATATAAATTGTACTGAATCTAGATTCACAAATCAACTGTACAATGTAGGCAAATGTTGCCAAGATTTTTTTGTATAAGATGTTTGTAACTGCTACTTTGTACACAACTTCAAGCCTAACTAGTCGCTGCAAATACTATCACACCTTACAAAAGTAATTGTATGATGTTGAAGTTTATAGTGCCTGTAATATGTTTTTCAGTGATAGTATAGAAGATATGGAGTTTGTGGGTAATGATGCAGAGCAGGAGCCTCCGCCTAGACCTCAGCTCCATATTGTGGCTCCTTATATTGATATTGAAGGAGACGACTCACACATTCAGATCTCAGGTATTATTATTTTTTGATACCATACCACCATTGTAATGTAAACAACAACTGAAGCTATTTAAAAACAAGTTTGTCAAAATCTTACAACTATGCAAGATGGTTGAGGAATGATTGAGTATGTGCAATCTAGTCATGCCCCTAAACAAACACAATCAAAACATTATGCAACATCGTTTTTCTTTTGTTCATTCTCATTACTAAAAACTTTTACAGAAATTTTAAATCTTATCGTTAATTTTCAGTGAATCAAAACAAGGAGGCTTGTGTTGCAAGTGCTCCATCGTTGGTTGCCGCGCACCGCGCTACGGCCGCACTAGGTTTGTGTGCCCAGCTAACGGCCTTGCTCGCCTGGACACTTGACGTCAGGCTGCCACATGCAGTCTCGCTTAGGTAATTGGAAATTGTTCTTTTAATTATCATTGATACACTTATAGCGTGTTTTAATTTATTTATTGTAAAATTCCACATTTTTATTTGTGATTTTATCTTGTTAACTTAGTTCTTGCACCTTCTTTTTTTTAATGTTTGTAGTGATAAGGCTGCTGTTGTTATACGTTATCATTAAAGTTTCCTGATTTTTTCGCAACCAATTGTTAATAAATTTTGAGAAATATTGGGATTAAATGGGAAATTAGTCTGGGAAAAACATTAAACCGACTATCTATTGCATCGTAATAAAAGTGGAACGCAAGATTTTGGTTTAAGTGACACGGGAGAGAAATTAAAGCCTAGACTGATGAATATGAAACTTTAGAAGTGCTCTTGTGCGCTTTTGGGAGTGTCTGAACTAAACAAATTAATCTCTTAAAATAATATGAGTTTTGAAATTACTTTCATTTAAATGTGTAGTACTGGCGTTAATATGAAACCGTTTACAGTGAATGTGTAGACGCATACAGTGGGTCCCGTCGTGGCGTGTGTCGTCGCCTCCGCCTGTCAGGTGGCGCGGTGTGCGCACGCGCACAAATCCGTGCCGAACGCGGCGCGCGCGGTCTGGCCGCGTTGCATGCTGTAGCCTTAGCCGCCGCCGCCGACGATCCTGCTATTGGCAGGTTAGTATTATCGACATTATAATAATGATTATATTTCTATTTCCATTAAAGTATTGCCAATAGATGGAGCTAGTAGGTATTTTTCTATATAACTCACAATACTTTAACACATATTAATTTTAGAAAAGGAATGGAAATATTGTTTTTTTAAGTTTATTTATATCACAGAATGCAAATCGTAAAATATTCAATTTGAAATATAGTACGGAGCGCGACAAATGGAAATATTTAACTGAATCTTTAGGTTGGTTACCGTCAAACTGTTTGATAACTATCCGTCCATTTATTAGCCGTTGGGATACTTACCGTTACGGTTAAGAATAACATTCACGTGTGAGAAGAGATAAAGGCTATAGGAATACTAAATAGCACCTAAGGTTATTTGTAGTGACAATTACAATCTGTACCTACGAAGTACTACAATGACTTCTGAAACACGATAATGAAGTTATTTGCGCCGCTGAATATACTTCTCAACGTTAGCCAGTGGGGGCCTTCGGGCCAGTCAGTGGTTAGACTGGACCAGGATTCTCCCTTTAGGTTGAAAGAATATGTATGGTACGCTGTACCATCCTTCCACATATTATAATTTCTTACAGGAAGAAGTATAGCAGAATGTAACACAAGACTTGTTACTTGCAAATTTAATTACAAATGTTTACTTAAATTACAATTGGAGACAAAGATATTATGTTAAGATACGTTTCGTAGAGTGCGGAAATAAAGCCGTCCTGGGATTTCACTGTTATGTTTATTTATTTTATCTATTTACACTTCGTTACCATAATATACAAAAGCATACATATAAAAAAACAAAAAAAGTAGTTACATAAGTTACATAAGTTATTAGGCAAAGGGCGGCCTCGCTAACAAGCGATTTCTTCCAGGCAACACAAATATATAACACTAAAAAAGAAACGCCTACAGAGGGTAAAGTACAAGAAGTGCATAATTAAATAACAAAAATACTCAAAATAACATGTAACTATGTATAACTAAAATTAAATAAAGGAAAATCTAAAGAAAAAATATAAATAATAATATGTATAAACAAAAACGTTATTATATTATAGTTTGACGTTGATGTTGACATTTTTTATGAAAAAAACATTTGTCAATTAAATTACGTGTACGAAATAATTTCTCCGTCGGTTCTCTTTCCGCAAAGACCGTTCTCTATCGCGACCATAAGTGCAAAACTTTATGAAATATTAATTAAATACAGATTTCTCCTACAGGGTAGAGCCATGGAGTAGGTCGGACAGTGTGCAAGCGCAGTGGGAGGATTTGTGGGAAGAAGAAGGGAGGGAAGAGGGCGGTGGCAGCGGAGGTGAGGAAGGGGAAGACGCAGAGCCAGAACATCTGCATTGGCCGGAAAACGAGCAGGTGTGAAATTAATATGTATTATCTTCACAATGAAATTAGGTATAGTTTTCTGTTCGGATTAGAAAAGCAGTGTTGGCCTTGTGGCGGGCCACTCTCATCTTTGAGGTTGTAAGTTCCAACCCCAGCTGTGCACCAACAGACTTTCCGTCTTTCGTCGTCCTACGGTAAAGGAAAACGCCTTAGGCCCAAAAAGTCGACGGCGTGTGAAAGGCACAAAAGGCTGATCACCTATTAGCCTTTTAGAAAAACAAATGATCATAAATGGATACAAAAGTCTGAACAAGACCTTAAAAGGTTGTAGCGCCTCTGTTTTTTTATATAATTATAAAGAAACGCATCTCTAGTCCAATCAAGCGAAATGCGTCATCATATCGTATTTTTTGAATATATAAAATTAAGTTAAAATTAAGAAAATAAATAATATAGATATACATTTTATGTGGTGGCAACTGACTGTTGAAAAAACTACAAAGAACCTTATATGTATAATTAAAAAAAAACTGGTGAATGTTTGTTACCATGGTATCGATGTTTTTATATGAAAATTAATTCGTAACCTTTGTAACGAAGCGGCCACGAATGCACCTGTATTCCAATGACTGTCTTTTATTTCCAGGTGGAAGAAATGAGCAGCACGCCTCCAGCGACCTCTCTGGTGACTTCAGCCATTGCTTCCATCTGGCGTGGCTGGAAGAAGTGACCTATGATCGTTCTTTAACGTTACTAAAGTGCTTAGTATAATTAATTGAATTACAATTTTAAAAACGCGCCTTTAAAAAAGTCATTTAGGTTTTATTGCTTTAAATAGATAATAAAAAATTTAACGAATTTAGTACTAGATAACACAAAATATTAAAAAAGAGCTAGTTTCGTGTTAACTGAGACTATTTAAAAGTGATTTGAATTTGGAATGTTGCTTGTAAAATGTATCAATCAAAGAGATCGATTAATAATTGAAAACGTAACTGGCTGGCAAACCAAGCGTGCGCGGTCATAATAAAAAAATTAATTAAAAACGCGGGAATTTTTTTTTATTCGAATTTATAACACATAAATTATGATTATAATATATTATGCATTATGCACATTCAATTTCCTGTCATCCTTATTTACCAACCATAATTTGACGTATAATTTTTGAAGATATTGTTTATAATATTCACGATTTTTTAAATCTATTTGTAATAATATAACAAATTTTATGAAAATATTCAAATAATCCATATTATTTTATGTTGTAAACACTAAAACGTTATTCAAAAGGAATTTTAATTTGACTGTCAGAGGCTTGCTCGATATCGGTTACTTCAATAATAAATCTATATTTTTTTAACGGTCGTGACGTTGACATAACAATTTGAAACTAAACACAATGCCGAGTTTCGTGTAATTTGTTAAAGAATTCGCGTGTCTATTACAGAGATGCCTTTGAACATTATGAAGCGATGCGAGCCATCATTTTGTTTTTGGAATGATTTTCTTTAGTTTAACGATTAAATAATCTAATCTGCGCATTTCGACCTTAAAGAGCAGTATTACAAATACGGTAGTACCCTACAATACATACCATAGAGAACATCGTGGGGTAACTAGAATGTCAGTTATTTGACAATTAGACAATTTACACCAGGCACAGAACACCTGACTATGAGATTTAAAAAAATCAAAGTAATGAATGCAAGGGGATTTACATATAGGCGTAAGAATTGAATTAACGAGTGAATTCGCGTAGCACAGCTAGTACATTTACTTGTAAAAAAATGCGCTTGGGCGGTATAGTTGTTAAGAGTATAAAATATCTACATTGACAACTAAAAAAGTAGTTTGTTGAATACTACGGGTAACTTGTGATAATAAAACATATTGGAGAAATCTTTCAATGTTTCTTAGTTATTTTTAAGGTAAACAAATCGTTTAGGTAAAATGCTTTTTTGTAATCGGCCTAGATGAACGCTCGTTTCAAAGGTATTTACTAAATTTTTTGTATTATCTGTTAAGATTTGAATTTGATCTTACTCATGACATAGTGTTTTAGATAGTGACATTGATTTTAATTTTTATTAAATTTTTTCGTATATTTCGTGTTTTATTTTAAACCTATTTAGTACTGAGCGCCATCTCTGTCACGTAATTAGTTTAGGCACGCATAGAAGCGTTCATCTGGTATTTATTTTTATAATACAACTAATGAGAGAGAAGCATTCTGAATGAAACAAATGAAAACCTAACGAAATAATAAACTTTTGTTTAAAACGTTTTCCTCCGTTTAAATGTTAACATTTTAACCCATTGACCCTTCCGACTACTTACCAGAAACGTGATATAGTTTTCTTTAAATATACACACTAGATTTTATAAGGCGGTATTATCCAATTTCTACGAAATTATATCTTATTTTGAACGTATTTTTAGTTGAGGTAAACCATATGTTTTTGATGATGATCATGATAATTATACATATTGCAATGGTTCATGTCAATTCACCAAGTAAAACGCGTTTTTAAAACTATATTTATTTAATATATTTATAAAAAATGTGTACAACGCAATTTTAAACAAACACATGTAAGACTAGCAAAGCATATCTTACATAAATAAATTCACCTATTATATTACACTTTAGACCCGCACTAAGCAAATACCCTCACTTTTACATAGTTACAAATTTTCTAAACGTATGAGGCGTCTGCTTAAAAACTTAATAAAATAAAAAATATCAAAATCTGGTCAAAGGTCAATATCTGATCATCTTCCGTTCGTACTTTCAACTGGGAGAGGTCAGTCTTACATTCCCATCACATCCCATACTGGAAAGGCAGCAAGACCTAAAAACCACTAATGCACGTCAACGATGTGCTAGGCTTTATAGAAATTATTTAGGCCTATGTTGGTCATTTTGGTGCCCGTTGACACCATCGTCGTTGCGCCTGCGACAAAGCTTCATGTGCGCGTTCTACTCGCTCTAGTAACTCTTCAGTTGGGGACACCTCGCCCTGCGAACATACGTAAAGCTTTCTTTACTAAAGTCAAAGAATGAGCGACTTCAGCCTTCTTATTCAATCAATAACGCTTTGTTTCACACATTCAAAATTAACTTATTTGATTAAAGGAGAAGAACAGGAAGAGATGCACGATGTGGAAGCACCATTTTTTAGATAGATTAATAGGAAAAGTGATGTGGTGATGTGAGGTGAGTGAACTGCCTGCTCTGTGTGCAATACAGAATCTTTTAATAACTCTAAACAAAAATTATCAAGCGTTTATAGTATAATTAAAAAGGGCGTGTCCTACGCGCGTAAGAAGTTATACTTCTTTGGCATTATTAAAAATAGTTTTTGCAAAATAATTAATTCCAATTAATCCTTTTTTCCAAAAAATTTCCTGTAGTATAATAAATGTAATTAAATAATTTATTATATATAGGTCAAAATCTGTGTATATCAGTGTGTATATAACATGTTAACTAATAACTAGATATTGTTTTAGTACATACACTGTTCCGTAAGCTACACACTCGAACAGGGCGTGGTGTATCTGTGCCTGTCCCACAAGAACTACGCGTTGGCTGTTGTACACCCGCACTTCGAATGTTGGGATGAAACCAGTGGCACTCCTGACAACATATGTCAACATAAAATATCTATTATAATTACAGCAATTATTTTATTGGAATTCTCGCTTATCTACATCTATTTTGCTATACTCTGATTTTTAATTCCGTAGAATTCTGACGTTTCATTAGTGTTGCTACTAAAAAAGTTCTCCACCGAAAAAGGGACAAATTTGACTTATCTTAGGGTTTTTTATTTTGATGTTTTACCTACAAAAAGGTAAATCTAAATATTTACTTACTCCAGTGGCCTAACACAAAAATAGCAAATATGTCGAATATCACGAAAAATATATCGAATTAACTTTATTTTATTCTTTAGCTGGCATCACTGCCTACTAATTCCAGGATTAGTAATCTATTATCTTCTATTTGAAAATCTTACGTCTGCCGATGTCTTATTATGTAGCCGTCGTGGTGGTGTTGGCGGTGATGCTGTCTCACTTACACTTCTTTTTCTGTCCCCTTTGGAACTGGTTGTACTTGATAAGTATTTGGAACAACATGGTTCTGTTAAAAGAGCGCTCTCCGTATCCGAATCCTGAAGAGCGTGAATTATTGTCTCCTGTTCTTTTATCCTTTCATTCTGTTCTCTTTGTCTATTCCTCTGTCTCTTGAGGCTATGTCTGACGGCGCAAACAAGATGTCTTGCTTCTCCACACAGCTTGGCTCCGCGGGTATGTGCTTCTTTTAACTGAGTTTGAAGCTCATGAGCAAAGCTGGATATTTCCCTAAAAATTTAATCATAGCATTACATTATTAGGATCTAATGTTACATTTGGCAAAGATATGTTCGTATTATTTTTGCTAGCACAATGCTAAACTAATAAATCCTTCAGTTTATATATGTCGCAGTAAAGTAGTTAAATCAGAGAGTTAATTGGATCTCTAGACATTTACAATAACGATATTCAATCAACTCGCTAAAGTTCCATCAGACAAGTGACTGAACGAAACGTTTAACGAGTTTCCTAAACTTTCCTAGACAACAAGACGCATTTCAACTTTGGTAGGGTGACCAAGATATTTGATTGGAAAAAAATATATATTTATATATTTTCCTATATATATTGTCGTTTAATATTTCATTATTTAGGAAATGAATAGCCTGTAAAAAAATTTTTTTATTTTATGTTTCATTAATTTAAAGAAATAAAACCTGAATTGCTGCAGATATTTGGTACATTTGTTTAGTTCGTTTTACTTTTATTAATGGGATTTTAAGTATTATTGCTCAACCTAAGTATAAACTAGATACTAGCTAGAACCTATACCACACAAATTGTATAGGCGAGACAAGGCATACAAAAAGGAACAAGGCATAAAATATCTTCAACAACAAAATTAAAATCAACGATACAAATGAAAAATATGCTTACTAACACAATTAAAATGATAACTGATACTAACCTAACCATTTACAATAAAACAAAACACGGAATTTCCAAGCTCTCACGATCACACCGAAATTGTAAACAACTTCTTTACAATTTCACCAAAGACCAAAAATTTGAAACAAAAAACCACTGTGACAACAAACCAACGTTTGCCAAACGAAAGACCCTATAATGCCGGCCATACACACTACGGTCCACCGGAGTGGTAATCTGTGCAGGTATGCCTGCGCAGGTCAACCGAACAATGGAACAAAGAATCGATTTTCGATCTTGCGCCGGTCGCCTGCGCAGGTTCAAAAACCTGCACAGGTCTATTCCCACACACATTCCGGTCTACCTGCGCAGGCATACCTGCACAGATGGTCCTCTCCGGTAGACCGTAGTGTGTATGGCCGGCATAAGTAATCAGCTGTTGTCGTGACCGCCATCTTGTTTTACATTATTAATCAACACGCTGGCTTTCGGTCAGACTGATAGTTAAACGTTTTCGACCCTGCTTTATTTAAATCAAAACGGTAGCGAGTTGATTGAATATCGATCTTTAATTAACTGTCTAGAGATTCAATTAACTCTTTGATTTAAATACTTTACTGCGACATATACATTATAGACACAGACATGTATCTGTGTATCGGACTAGGTAACTGTTTCATTTCTGTCATTTTTATGGCAATTGTGTGATGGCAAGATCTTGGCGTCCGATTTCTACATCTAGACTATCAGCTGACGAAATGATCTTGTCAATGATATTATCAGTATGTTATTCTTCAGACAAATTTAGTTAACTTTCCCTAAGCTACTCTAGGCTTACTTGTAGTGATCAGCCAGATGTCTATACCGATGCTGTGAGCGTTGCAAGTCCTTTTGTAACTGTCGCAAACGCATCGAACTGGCTTCTTGCTGCGACCGCCATGACGACACCTCACATCTCAGCTTGCTTACTTCCTGTTGTAAGCAAATATTCTGGAAAATATCAAAAGTCTCTTAAGTCTAAAAATAGTTACATAATATCTTAGAGACTATATACTCAAGTCCTAACTGTCAGAACCTGTGGCAGATATGAAAACAAAATTGCGTTTGTGTTTGGTCCGTTCAATACACTAGAAAACCAATACTAATAATATAACATAGTCCAAAAAGTTTACGACGACATCGTTTAGAAAATACCGGTTATATTGACCAAAATCAAAGGTCTGGCTGAATTCTATTGTATTAGGTACTTAATAACGACGTCATCGGCTGTTGCGATTATCGGTTTTTACGACCAAATATGACTAGTCCCTTCGATGTCGTTATAACAAATTTTGACTGTAATTCAATTTCAGGCTTTACAATTGGTAATCGCAGTCACAAAGAACTCCACTGGAAAAAAAAAAATGATTGGGGTTTGCTGTGTCTTCCACCCCAACTACTGACAAAAAAAAAAAAAACAAAAAAAAAAAAAAAAAATGTTTCCATTAAATAAAAAAAAAAAAAAAAAAGTGAAAATTAAAAAAAAAAAACCCGGCCAAAAACACCCCCCCCCGCCCCCCCCCGCGGGGGGGGGGGGGGGTTTTTCGCCCCCGTTCCCAAAATTTTTTTTTTTTTTTAATCCCTTTTTTTTTGTGGGAAAAAAAAAAAAAAAAATTTTTTTTTTTTTTAAACTTTTTTTTTTTTTTTTTTTTTTTCAAAAAAATTTTTTTTCCAATTATATCATTGTATGGGGACAATTCATTTTAATGTTACTGTACCTCTTCCTTAATGGTTTTTGTTTGCTCATGCTCCTCTCTTAGTTGGCAGATAGTCACGTTTTGTTCTTCATATCTTCGTTGCATTTGCACCATCTCCAACGTTTTATCATTCAAAGACCCTATATTTTAAATTATTATATTACTTTATAAACAAATAGTGTTAAACGTGAGGACCGAATTAGTATTTATCGACTGCAATTAAACATTATCAACCGTTCCGTACCGTAATCAAATTCGTCCGTTAAATTGTCTTAAGGCCGCTTCACACATATCAGTGAAGCCACGGTTCCGTCAACGTGTCCGCTCAGTTCATATCAGTGATACAGTATTGCGTCCGTCATTCAATTCACACATGTCAGTACTCAGTTTAGGAGCTTCAGTGAAAACGTGTCCGTCGCGTTGTCAAGACGTGATTATGGCTCTGTTCAATACTACGGAGCTAGCAATGATAGATGTTGCCTTTAGTCGAAGAAGAAGAGCACATCAAGGAAAAAAATGAAAATGGGTGCATGAACGCAATTAAGAGAGACGGAAGGAGAATTCATCACATTATACAAAGAATTAGTTAAAGAAAATATTTTAAAATGTCAGAGAGCTGCTTCAATATTCTTCTGCATAAATAAATTAACAATAAGCGGTCAGTGTCCGACAATATCGTTGTCAACGAATCCGTCCGTGATTGCCGGTGTCGGCACCCCGACACGAGAGCAGTGAGCACTTGTCGTCACTGATACTGACAAGTGGGGATGCTCATCAGAGAATGTATGAAAGAATTTTTCGCACGTGCCGGTACTGTGTCGGAACTGTGGCTTCACTGATATATGTGAATCGACCTTAATAGATTAATAATTACGATTAGTTAATTATTAATTATAGGAAGTATTGGCTCTGGAAGAGACGTTTAAGCCTTGGATTCAATTGAGTCTGTCTATTGTATAGATATATAGCAGTAAAGAAAAGGTCTAAAGAAATTCAAATATGCAAATATTATAAATAGGAATATAGTTTATAACGAATGAGCTTTAAAGAATGTTATCGCCGCTAGATTGCTTCATTATAGATAAGTAACATAGGCTATATCTATGTGCCGGTTCTTATAAAAATGTCCAGCTATAAGAAGCCAGAACAGGCTAGTTCGCAAATAGCAAAAATACCTTGAACTTGTTGCAATTGTAAAGACAGTTGGTCACAGCAACATGAACGCTGCGACGTGTTCTCTAAGTCGTTTAACTGATTTCTTATTTCCCTTAACTGAAATTATAAAAAAAAAACAAGTTTCAACAGTTGTGAACAAAACTATGAGAAGACTTGCTTACTATCTTACATACTGTAATGGACTGCACATACAGTTATACATATTCATGTGAATTCTTTTAACGCGATACAGAGACGCAGAATTGCAACAGTTGTCTCCAGAGTTGGCAGATGTAGCAACACTATTGTTACGAGTAGGATTTTCGGAATTGCAATGTATTTGATGGATGGGTATTGCCTCCAAATTTGTTTTTTACCTTTCGTAATTTAAATTATTTTTCAATTACTTTTGATAACAGTTTTAATGACTTACATATAATATTTTAATGATATGTTGACATGGAATTTATTACTGATTGTGATTACTGTGATCTTAAATATCACTCACCTCACGTTCCTTCTCGGCAACGACTGTTTCGAAGCGCTGGTCACTATTCTCCTTATTTTCAAAATTGTCCTCTAATTTACTAATACTGTCACGAAGTTCACCAATCACCCTCTAAATCAAGAAACTCAAATTTAAAGTCAAAGACAAAATCATTTATTTATATAGGTAACACAATGTACACTTAAGAACGTCAAAAAAGAAATAATATATAATATTATATGCTTCTAATTTTACTGCCAGTTCTCAAATCAAGGGCGTAGAACGGAAGAAAAGAACTGGAAATAAACTCTCCGCCATGTTTTTTAATTGCCAAGTTTTATGTTTTACACAATGTTTATAAAGAGCTGCAACCATTACAACATGTTCCACGTGACTTCTTAACTAATTAAAAACAAAGATTTGTCCTCTATCAGCAGGACGCATGGTGAAATAGGAGCACGCAATTACATTCTCGGAACAACACGCAAATCATAGTCGAAATAACTAACATCACCGCATACAGGAATTCAAGTCCGACCAGTCACCACAAGTATTACTGATGCATTTAAAATACAATAAATATTAGTAGTAACTTACTTCATTAATTTCATTTGCACGCTTCAGTATTCTATTCTCTTCATTTAAACCACAGGAACAGTCTTCCTGTAAGTTATGTATTATCTTAAGAATCCGTAGCTACATAAGGTATACATATTATCCAAACATTGGGTCACAATATAGAAAAAACATGCTGTTAATGAAAATTTCGTAAGCGAATAAAATCTATTTATTTATTAATAAGGAAACATGACAGACACTTCACTAATAAAATATATGTAATAAATATACACACGTTATATTTAAAGAAGTGTCCTTAAATTGTTTCACAGATAACACAACTAAAAATAAATAATAATAATAGTACATACACAAAAGACAAAACAATTACAACAACGATTTTAGAAGGCGCTTAAAAGCAGTAGGAGCACGAATATTATTGTCGAAGGTGAGAATGATAATGTTACATACATTGTACAAATGTATGAATGAAGCAGTTTTAAACATTATAAATATTTATTATCAACGGCACCCACACCATTTTACTATAACTCTTGTAAGCATTTAATTCGTTGTTGGACGAGATTGGATTGTAGGATACTCTATTCTCAATTAATTTTGTTTTATATTTCGACAATTTTTATGAACATACCCAAAATGTCCATTTTGGAATAGCAATCTGTCGTATGTCCGTATAAATATAAATAATATTAAGGAAATAGCAAAAAGGTTAGTCGACAAGATTTAGTCTAGCTATTCAAAGGGGGAACGCTGCCAGTATCTTCGGAACCTTGCCTAAAGGCACTCCTTTTAATAATATATTTTAAGGTTAGTTATTGTTTTTCTGTTATTTATTTCTTTGTAATATATTAATTTATTATACAAAAAAAACAATAATTTGATGAATTTAAAATAGTTTGCACTTGGTAGTTCTTAAAAATGTTTAACTGGTATTTTAAATTTAGAACGCAAGTTAGTCTTAAAACTTTGCATGCAAACGTGTAGCATTACGGTCAGCAAATCCTGAAGTCGGTGTAATTGTTCAGCGATATGCCGGAGGTCAGTCGTGATGTCACAATCTTCGGTCCTTTCCCACATGCCCTGAATACAGTTAAACTACATTTTATAGCATTTTAAGAGCATTTATTTCAGAACATCAAAATATAAAAACACATTTTAAAATAACAAAAAAATATTTTTTTTTTCATTGATTTTTCAACTACATATTTTTATAAAGGCTTACTCATAAAGTTACATGTGTTCTAAATTTAATTTAATAAGACACGATTAGAACATATACACAAAAATTGTTTTTTTTAATATAACAGTTGAGGACATATATTACATCCTCAACTGTTGTATTAGAATCGTATGTAATATTAATACCGAGTCATTATTGGAGTTGTTCAAGAAATTTGATATTTCAGCCTTCAAATGGTCCACTTCTGAGGCAATATCCTAAAACAAATGTGTAATATTAATAAACTGTTGGAAAACTACTGAATTTAAATATCTTCAATCATTGCATTAGATTGGTATAGCTAGCTCTGATTTTTCTTCAATTATAATAAGGGATTTTGACAATTATTTTATTAAGATATGTATTAAACCGCTGTCTTATTTTTACAGTACGTTATACCTGATATGCAAAAGCTGAAGATCGCTGAGTGTCGACAACATGTTGGAGACAAGTGAGGTGGCTGTCTTTCTCCTTCTCCATCAATCTCATTTGTATGTAGGAACCTCTTAGATTTTCTATAAGCTGATCCTGCTTTGCCGACTGCAAAAACATAAGCAAGTAATTCCTTTTTCAAAATTCATAATGTTTTTGTCTTATTTTGTGTACTTAATATTTATGTTCTTACATATGTACTAAGCCTGAGATATGTGTAGCACTAACTGTCTTATCAGACAGAATTTTAACCCCAAAGACACTGAATAAAGGTTATGTGCGAAAACTTTGACCATCAATCGTGAACATTAATTACCATAAATAAATATCTAATTTGTTGTTTATATTTTCTTAAATGTATACTCAACGAAAATAATATTTTATTCCCACAGATAGAGTAATTTAATTAATCAGTAGTTTAAACTTCTTTTATAAGAGATTTAGCGTAATTACGCCCGTACAACAAAATTCAATACGTTTTTGACGTACGCGATACCGAATCTTGATCTAAAATACTCATTAATTACCTCCCTTTTTCTAGTCAGTTTGCACTTTTCTCTTAACTCTTAATCTGACTGATTCTACCACTAAAATCGCAAAGTATCGAAGCAATGTTATTCATGTAAAAAGTTCACGATTAAAATAAAAATACACAATACAGTTAATGAATTAATAATACGACTACACAACTCCAACTTACTTCATAGAAGCATTCTCTGTAAAGATCTTCGACAACAGACAACTTATCCTTAAGCGTTTTCACATTTTCATCCACTCCCTAAAATAATTATCCCAAATTCTGACTTCTTAATGTATTTATTGTTAGTTTTTTTTTAATTTATTGGTATCATTAAAAGTTGCACCTCGCGTAAACCAAATGTTTTCTTTTTAATTTAATTCGTAACAATTGTGTATATAAATAAAAATTAAAAAATGCATAAATACTTAATATTTAATTATTAAACGTTATGGACTACAAACACTTTAAAAAAATTAATATACTATGCTAACATTATCTAAATCTGTATTCCAACTTTTGCATTCAAAGGACTAACCAAAGTATTAAAAACCAACGCGTTTTATTGCGTAAATATCCAATGTATTTGTTAAAGGTCATCCTTATAAATAAAACATTTATCAATATCACTATTATAATAATAATTTATTGTCCAATAGTTAAAGTCGTTTATAGGAAACGTACCTGTGTGTGTGCAGTTATTGAGACATCAGTCATTTCCACTTTACATCCGTTTCCCGATTCTTTTTGGATCTAAAAATCGTACCGAATATCAAATTATTAAAACATTTTGTAAGAACAATCTTTCGCTGTCACAATAAGTGAAACAGTGTTAGCCTAGCTGCGTTAAAGTCACGGCTGCATCATTAGGTTTTTAAATATATGTCCGCAGTTAACACTCGCTCCTTTAGTGGAGAAAATATAGTATGTATATAAATTCCTATAGTAAGGAAGCGACTGCCTCGGTCAAAAAAATGATAATTTTGAATTAACACACTTCAATACTAAGTTACTTCCTTGGGAGCAGCAATGAGGTCAGGCGAGCCAATCATTTAACATTTGCTATAAAATTATTTTCTGTATAGGGATTTTTTTTAGATTAAATGTTTACCGGTTGAACTTGCAGGGCGCGGTGTGTGTTTGTTTTTTGTGTACGAATAGCGAGTGCAGAGAGACGGGCCTCTGCCAGTGCGAGACTCTCCGCTTGAACTTTTACCGTCTCCTCTTTGTTCTTTAACTGGAAAATAAACATGGCATTTGTGACGAATCTGTCTTACATGCTAGATAATAAGAAGTCATACTGTCGTTCTCAGACTGTCGACTCGCTAATAAATAGAAGTTCAGCACAAAAGCAATTTTTGTGTACATTTTTTTACCTTTGCTTAAATCAGTAGTTATCAACTAATAAAGGGAATTAAATGTCGTAGGTTTCGTTCACAATTAATATCGGAGCAATGGCACTGGTAATTAGTCGTTAATTTGTAGATCTATTAATATTGGTAAATAAAATAAATCATATAACGGTTTGACTTTGATGTTATTAAATAATGAAAATGGCAGCTGATACCATTGCTCCGACATATACAGTGTGGCCAAAAAGTCGTGGATCAAACGCAACTAGGGGATAGACAAGGTCATCAGCTGCAAAAAATTGTTCTACGGGAGGTCTCTAAGCTCAACCCCTGCAGAGTTATAATTTATTTTGCGTTTTTATAAGAAAATTGACTTTTTCTACTAATTCTTAAAATTCGAAACAATCTACATTCTGTATCTTTTTCATAATATCCACTAGATTGGTACTGATAAGTCCTTGCGTTAGACATACTATTTATAGTTGTTTATTGAGTGTATTGAAGATAATGTTAAGTTATACGATATAATTGTTTTTTCGAAAATAAATTATAACTCTGCAGGGGTTGAGCTCAGGGATGTCCCATAGAACAATTTTTTGCAGCTGATGATCTCATCTATCCCCTAGTAGCGTTTGATCCACGACTTTTTGACCACCCTGTATAAAGATTAATATTGGATAGATTTTAATGCCATATAATTAGGATATGTAGAGTAAACAAAAAAATATTGCCTAGTTTATTCAAACATTTATTGACTAACTTAACGTGTATAGACCAGATAAGTTTCAGTAGGTGATCGGCATTTACCAGAAATCTAAAGAACGACTTCCTCTCGAATAATTACGCAGTACCTAATTAATAAATTCAATAACCAAAGTGGCGATTTAAGTGATTTTGAAGCAGCCGGAAATACTAAAGCTAATGGAAGATGGGGAATATTAATCAATACGAAAATAGCTCGCAATTAACTCTTAATACTTTGGAATAAATTAAGAACCAAAATAAATATTTCTAAGCCTAGGCCACTATAGTTCTAGTGAAAAATTCAAGAGACATCATGATTCATGAGGATCTTTTATATACTTCTGATCTTTTATATAATCCTTATATATTTCTGAATATGTCACCTGTGTGTGAGATTAAGGATTGCAGAATTGAACTTACAATTTGTAGTGTTGCATGTAGCTTGTCCTGTAGGCAACGCGTCCGCTCCGTTCCACTCACGCTGTCCGCTATGCTTGACGGTCCGCTGCTTCCCTTAAACCATTAAATAAATAACATTGAATTTAATAATAACAATATTGTAATTGTTTTTTATATGTGTGAAGTTAGTTTTACCATGAGCGTCAAATCACATTGTCGTAGGCCTATATCCATTTTCATAAATTGTCGTTATTAACTTCTAAAACAAATTTTAAAATGTAGGAAAAGAGCAGAAAACTCCCTCTGAAGCAAAAAAATAAGAGACGTGATTCTGGAGGCGGAGCAAGAAAAAAATAATTTAATTAGTTTTATTCAACTAATCATAACGTCCCCGAGGTAGTTCTAGCTTGTACTTTTAAATGATTACGGATTGGATTTATATCAAAATTGAATCATATCCACTTATAAAGGTAGACTCTTATATATTCACAATGGACCGATCTGACTTGACATTTAATCAATTCAAAAAATTTCAATAAAGTATTTCCGCATATTGCTTCTGATTGCTCCAGATATCTCATATCCCGGGGAGAGCGAGAGGTCTAAAAATAATAATTTCTAATTACTTTATTCAAAAGTAATTTAAAGTCTGTTCGTGACATTCTAGTAAAGTTTTTGAATAATATATCATCTAATTCTTTACACAATGAAAATTCGGCCAAAACATCCACCCAATACGCCTTTCTTCTAATTCCTTTTCTTTCTTTTTTGTTTCTGATTAATAATAAAAAAGCGCTACAAGCCCCCAGCAAGAACAATGTCGTCTATAGCGAGCGAATACTTAATTGCTCGTGTAGGACAGTATTGCCTAGTTGATGAAGTTGCGCCATATGCTCAATTTTGTATTGCGCGGCGCCGGCCCAACAATATCCTGAATTGAATCGTATCCACTTATTACCAAATTCAAACGCATTTCATGAAACCATAAAATTATTATATAGAAATAATTTTAACAGTCAGCCGTTTTGTTTATTGTTATATTAAGCTTTTATGGATTCTATTTATTTATTTCTTGAGCACTTATTGAATAGAAAGAACAAAACAATTAGGTAACATAAATTATTAAGACGGCAACGGGTGTCGTTATCGCTATCGATTATTCCAGACAACCGTTTGGACCACCATTAAGGTAATATTAAAAATACTAAGGGGAATGTGTGAGAATTGCTAAACTTTGTTAAGAAAAATTAATAACAAATATTAGGTACTATATAGAGTTTCTGCAGCTGCTTGCAATATGATAATATCAAGAGATGAAATTAAATAGGAGAGATTAAACGCAGGAAAGAGTGGGATCTAAATGGGTAGAGGTGTAGATAAACCACCTGCCAACCCGAACCTGCCACTGCTGTTTCACCTGGAATTAAGCCTTATGCGCATGCACTCCTTAGCGAAGGCGGTATATAAAATATTACACACTAAAATACTTACTTTGAAATAATAATTACAATCCGAATCACACAAAAGTCCATTAAACATCATGTTATCCGCGTAATTAAATTACAATAATTGCAATCCTTATTCATTCAAACTAAGTATTATAGTATAAACACGACGCATGCGTAAAGACTACGCTCTGTCTCGTGCTGTTGTTGCACTGAGCGTGGGCGGTTAAAATTAGATCAACGTAAATAGTTGTATTTGAGTGGGCGGAAGCGCCTGCCCTGTCCCACTGACGCTTTATTCTTTTAGCACCCTCTAACCTGTGATATAGGGCGACGCGTTTCACAACCGAATGCTAATTCTAATTCTTCAATTCTGAAGAACTTAGTTATTATGGTCTGTGTGGTGTGGTGTGGTGGTATAGATATGGATTTAATTCAATTTTTTGTAAGAAAACGTTTTAAATGCTTACATAAATTGTTAATATATATATATATAGGTCGGGTAGCGAATAATTCATAAAAAATATATGGCTAAATGGAAAACCTTCCAAATTCTTAATTCTACTTTTCTTACTTTTTAACTGTGTCCAGTTTTTTTTTTTCCCCCCCCCACTTTTTTTTTTCTTTAAAATAAATAAATATATAAACTTATAATGTGTAACGAATTTACAAAAAAAATAGTATATATACTATAAAGAACACGTCTATCTATAGAAATAAAACGGATCGCAAAATATGTTCCTAAGCTCAAAACTCAAAGACGGCTTGCACCAATTTGTGTAATTTGTTCTTTATTTAATTCTTGAAGTCTGAGAATTTCATGGAGAGAAAAATTGCACGGAAAACCCTAAGAGCCACGTTTTTATTACGGAAAAGCGAACAATCTCTTTAGGGTAGCATAGAAAAATGTTCCATATGTTTATATGTATGTACTAAAAAGGAAGGCTACGTAAAAAAAAACATATTAAGACGAAATGAGGAGTTCGCGGGGACAGCTAGTGTTGTAACATATAAATTAGTGAACGGTGATTCTAAATTAGAATAATGTTGTAACGGCCACATCCTATACACTAGCTCATTAGTTTTCAAACTTGTGGTTGGCTTCCGCAACCACATCTTAAATGTCGTCACACTTTAATATAGTCAGTATACTTTATATCAGAAATCGAAATTAAAAGCAAGATATATATATATTCATGAATCAAGTTTAAAATACGCAAATGTATTTATGTATAGACGGAACGTTTCTATGTATTGCCGAAAGTTGAATGATTGCAATTAAATATGTTTGGTCCTCCCCTCTCCTAGACTCTATTTTCAGCTTATTTCCGGCGCAGTTCTAAGAATATTCCGTTTGTTATGCTAACGTCCTCACTACTGTTAAGTCGTGTCAAATAAATCAGTCTCATTTTTATTTTATTATAATAAGTTATTAACAATTAGTAACGCGTAATTTTACTCTTAACCATCCATGTTTTTCTATTAATAATGAAAACTTAAGATGAGTTTACCAGTATGGTGTATTAAATAGCAACTCTTTAATTAATTTAGACCAATATAACAATTTATACATTGAAATAAAACTCCTTTACCGAGAATAAACGAAAACTGTCGCAGTATCGTAGCCAAGGTCAGCCTGTACTTTTAATAATGTAAGTTGTATTGGTAAAAAATTTATGAATCTATTTGCGGCAGTAAACGTAAATTTAAAAAATAGGAACATAAGTGTTGCGTAGATTATGTAATTTGTTTATAGAACTGACGCAAACGGGCAGGAAGCTCAGTGATACCGAAGATCATGAAAATATAAATACAGAGGGATCGCTAATGCGCTGTCGGCCGTGTAAGAATTGACTATAAGTCGAATTGGTGTAACACCAATTAATCATACTTATTAATGTGGACTATGTTTTTTTTCGTATTTTCACACGTACGTACAATACCTAGTTATAGGTATCTAAATTCTTTTTGCTTAACTTTGTAACTTAATCGTAAAAATCAGTGAATTTTCATGTTAAACTCAACAACAAAAATTGACACATTGCTTTTGTATGTCAAGTCAAATCATTTATTTCAATTAGACCACCTAAAATGGCACCTTTCAGAACGTCAAATAAAATATAAAGAAGATTCTAGTTGCCCCTTCCAAAAAGTAGTTTCGTGTGTAGAAGAATGGGCAAGAAACTCCACACTTAAGGCTACCCCACACAGGCGCGTTATTATAGGTCGATAAAATCGCATGCGGTATTGCGATAACCCGTCCTTGCACACAGCTGCGTTTTTATCGTCCGATATGTCTTACGAGAGAGCGCCGCGCCGCGACTACACTATTATACTATCTCTCTCAGGTGTGCAAAAAAAGTCAACACAGCGCACGCACATGCAAGGAAGACTCCAACAAGTCAGCGCCTATTTGTGTGTTCTTTCGCTATATTGCGTATTTTAAAAATGAATATCGAATTATTCATAGCTTTAGAGAAGAAACGACCTGTTTTACATGATTTACGAAATCCACTATATAAAGACAGAAGGGAGAAAGATAATAAATGGAGGGAAATATGCACAGCGATGGATATAACTAGTAAGTACCTACTGACAAGATCGCGCCATAATGAACCAAAATAGCGGACGGTCGTCCGCGCAGGCATACATTTTACCAGGGCAGCGAGGGGTCTGCGCGGGGGTTAGGATTGCGTATGTCGTTGCAATGCCATGCTCTTAGATTATATACATGTCTAGATACCACATTGACCGTAATAAACGTCCTATAAGTACTACAGGTGTGTGTACGGTCGTTTGCGTCCTGATACAAAACATTCTAGAACTCATATCGGAATATCGCAGGACGGACGCAGCATCCTACTTCCATTGCGGCGTTATTATCGTAGCAGTGTGTAACTACATGACCATCCTAATACAAAATGTACTGAAAACAGATATCGCAATAACGCATGCGATATTATCGACCTATAATAACGCGCCTGTGTGGGGGAGCCTTTACTCTTTTAAAATAGGTTTACAATATTTTGTTTACATTAGTTAAATAATTATATGTGTGTTATGGTTACTCCACCTAGCTACTAGCTAATTGCAGTAAATAGTAATTTAAATGAACAATTGTACATGTTATTGATATTTATATATTTGTGCCTTTCACGCGACTTAGAATTGTACATCGTAGCAGACTAGCAGACGTTATTTAAGTCATAATTGTGTGTAAATCTAATTTTACAATTTGTTCGATAATACAAATATTAGTACCTACTTGTCGACCACTGCAATGACACCGAACACATTCAACTTCTTTACCTCTGAAACAAATACTTTTTGATTATACGTAATATTTTTATAAATTTACGTTACGTTAAAATAAAAATAAAATAAAATATGTTTATTATGGAACATAAGATACATGTATCACTTATTCCACGTCATTCAATTTGAAGGCATCCCAACTCATCGGCAAAGAAGACAGAGGGTGTAGGCCGAGAGAAAAAGCCGGCGTAAAAAACTCTCGGGACTCTTTTAAAACAGCAAATCATCAAACAACACTTATTTAAAACAAATATCGCAAATTAATTAGAAGTAGCCTGTCTAGCACTAGTCCCAGGCCCTTTTATCAACTAGATAATCGTTGACTTTATAGTAAGCCTTTTTACACAGCTTTTCTTTAATACATTTCTTAAATTTATTGAAAGGCAGTGATAAAAGAGCCTCTGGGATTTTATTAAAGAAGACTATCCCTTTCCCCAAAAAAGAATTACTAACTTTAGATAGTCTAGTACGGGGAAATTGCAGCCTGCGTTTGTTCCGTGTATTAACATTGTGCGTATGTTCTATTCTAGTAAACTTATCACTATTTTGGTATACATACATAATATTTTCATAAATATATTGCGAGGGAAAGGTAAGTATATTAATTTCCTTGAATTTATCTCTAAGAGATTCCCTACATTTTAAATTATAGATTGCACGAATAGCCCTCTTCTGCAGGATGAAAATAGTTTCGACATCAGCAGCATGACCCCATAATAATAAGCCATAAGTCATTAAGCTAAGAAAGTAACTACTAAGTTATACATAGTAACACCACACTTCCTAGACAAGGTACAAGTAGTAAATCAACTCCTAGTTCCTACCCTTAGCTTGCATAACAGTTAAGCCGGTTGCAGACCGAAAACTAAGCTATGCCAAGGCTAAACTAAGCTATGCCAAGCAAGCTAGGCTAAGCTAAGCTAGAAATAAATAGCGTGCACACCAACAGCTAACCCAAAGCTCAGTCAGTGTTGCATACTATGTGCAAAGGGTGTGCGGGGTAGCGGGAGGGGCTTAGCTTAGCTCGTGTAGCTGCGCATCGGCATACACAACTAACTTAGCTTCGCATATTTTAGTTAGCTCACATAGCTTAGTTCGCATAGTTTGCGGTCTGCACAGACGTATGGAAAATTGCGTCAGCTATGCGAGCTAAGCTAAACTAACGTAGCTTAGCTCTTGGTCTGCAACGCGTATAAATGTAATAAAAAAATTGGAATGGAAATACAGGGCAGCGCTACGTGGGCATATTTGGAACCAAACGGAAGCTCGAACACACGTCGCGTCGTTCGAATAAAATTTGCCTTGTAAAAAAATGTGGGCTACAGCCCTTGGGGGTTGGATCAGATTTCTGTATCTGTTTTGTGATAATTTGCTTTTTCTAATTGGCATGTAGGTGAACAGCCTTCTGTGAGATATGTCGTTTTTGGGTCTAAGGAATGCCCGGTTTCCTCACATTGTTTTCCTTCACTATACGGGCGAGTGTTAAATGCGCAAATAAACAGAAAAGTGCTGGGGTTCGAACCTACGACCTAAGGGATGACAGTAGCAGGCTAAAGCCACTAGGCCACACAGCTAAGGTAAACAAAATACGATAACTAGTGGTAATTTAATTTCATTGGTAGACATGTATTTATTTAATTATTATTCCCCCAAACAAACATAATAAAAATACAACAATTACTTGGAAATTACTGCATCAATAGAACTTACATACCTACACCCAAACGTCACAACCTACCATCCAAACGAACTAATAAGTACAAAACTCATAAATCATAATAAGGCACGTCATAAATCATGATAATTCGCTCACCGCAAAGCATCAGTAGTATGTATAATTTTGTGCCGCGCTACCACCTCAGCTAGGGAACGTACTGACGGACTGTCAGAGGTCTGTGGTTCGACTGTTAAGTCTTCATTAAGAGACTCGTCTGTTATTAGAAGAGGAGGAGACGTAGACTGAAATAAAAAGGAGTGTGTGTACTTATGTACACGCGTTAGAAGTTATACTTCTTTGTCGTATGGAAAAAAAATAACGAAAATGCAGTAGTGATAAACGATAAATATTAAAATTAATCAATAAAATTATTATTAGTAAATACTATCACCGTCGTATATGAAATTGATTTAATAAAAACACCAAAATAATATTTATTTATTCACACTGTGTAATTGTACTGTTACGAAACACGTGTTCTAAATATAAAAATACTAGAATATACAACTTGAACATAGTTATTATCGATTTTCATGCCAAATTTGCAGATTTTTATCAGAATCTTCTTTAGTGGGTTATTAATTCATTACTATGTTTTCAATCATAATTGAGAAATTAACTTTTCACGTTGATTAAAATATAAATTTTCCAAGAATATTATTCACATACCCTCTCAACGATGGATATATCGCTGGTGTCAAGCAAGTTAGTTTCGTGGCTTCTGTTTGGGGTCGACGTTGAAACCCCAGCCTGTTGTCAATACCAGATTATAATATAAAACAAAAAAGGTAAACTAATACATTGGTCCAAACATATTACTTACCAAAATCATTATCGTTTATTTCTAGATTACATATCTCAAAAATGTGCCATTGCGTCGTAAGTACAAACTTATTTATTGCAAGACACTCCATAAGAACTAAATCAATCTAACAATCTTTTACAAGCATTCATTTGTCTCTTTCGTGACAGGTTAAATCTAATTTGAGAGAAAAAGACAAATGACCTTGAATGTCCTTTTATGAAGAAAGGACCAATCGTGGTCCAATCAAGCCTAGCTAATCACTTGTGACAAATATGCTGTGTCGGCTGCCAATAATATAATAAATTATATAACAATTCTGAGGTGAAGGCTATATGGTAACTCTTAGTGAGCTCGAAGTCCAGAATTTTAGGAGATCAGATATCTAATCTCTTCCATATGAAACGACGTCCCCGGAGCCGTCGTAGATTCTATTCTGGCATATCCAGTCAGGATTCATATCAAGGTCAGGTAAGTCCCTCTCCCTCCCATTACTACGACGTACTGATCCGTAAGACTGACTGCTTGTCGCCTCTGTGTTGCTCTTTTGGTCTGACTCCTTCAGCTGTTGAATATTGATACTATAAAAATATTTTAGAAATAAGTTGTTTTTATACATCATAACCCCTTTTTAATCCTACACAGGCTAACTATTCGTGTGACCAATAAACCATCTCTATAAAGCGAAAAAAAAACTTTTTTTTTTAATTGTCTAAGATCAGGTGGTCAGCGGCCTGTGTCTGACTCGTCGTTCTAATTTCAAATAGGTACATAGCGGTTTGACTCCCAAGTTTTCCTATATGGTAAGAGCAAGTCTTAATTGTGTCCCTTGCTGCAAAGCCGGAGTTCGACCACGTGACATCAGAGTAAGAAACCATTTACCATTGATCTAAAGTCCTTTAAAAACAAATTAAGATTACCTTAGCTTTAGCCCATTTTAGTTGGCGGCGCATCTCCCGTATAATTTCGTCTTTGAACTGCGCTCGCAGGGCTGACACACGGCATTGCTCATCCAAGGCTGCGCACACGCGATGCAGGGCTTGCACTTCCTCTGATAAAGACACGTTAACTTCTCTTAGGGCTCGAACATTCTGACCACTTGACTAGGAATGAAATAAAAAATATATATTATTATGTGTTTTTTAGAATTACTAGATTACATTGGAATTAATTCAACCCAGAAAAATTAAAATACTCTATACATAGAATAAACCAATCGTACACGATGGGGTTTAAGTTATAAGTTTTTTTTAAATGTACCATATGTTTAAATGCCAAAGTATTTTTACTATACCTCAAAGCCATATTATTAGGCTTGTGAAAACAATATTTTTATAATCTCTGAATACTATTTGATAATTTCTTTTGAAAGCAACTGTACTGTAAATGCCCTGCCTTTATGCTGACCTCCATGTGTTGTATTCGCTCCTGGTACTGCACCTGCTCGTCTCTCGCGCCGCCTTCCTTCACGGGTTCTATGTCGCCACACTATCGTTAATATAACGTTAGGAATCTGTAACACTCACGAGCTGGCATTTTTTAAATTATTTTTGACTACCTCCATTTTTACAAGTTAACGAGATCACGAGTTAAAAACAATGAATAGTCACTTAAAATATATGGATTATAGGTTGTATGCATGTTTGGACCAATGTGAAATGTAAAATAAAGACAAAAGTACCTCTTTATTTGCGGAACAGCATATTTCCACTGTAACAGCTGCGTCTTTTCTACTTACATCCCTATAAAAAAGACATAAATAGTTGTACAATTTCTAATCCCAGTCTTTCAAATTATTTTCATACACACCTACATACTTATACATATTTATCGCGTAAACAGATATTAAGTTAAATTAATATATATTTAAAATTAAAATATCTTACGGTGTATGGTATTTCGACATCGATATATCATTTCGGAGACTATTGATTGTCTGTTCGTACTGTTGCACTTCCTTGCTAAGCTTTCGTATTTCTCTATAACATAAGTTTTTTTTATAAATTTCTCCCTTAATAATATAAAATATCAACAACAAGCTTTTGACTTATACAGCCTTGAAAGTATTCAAGAGAAATTACCCATAAAAGTACAATAGTTAAATATTTTTTAATATTTATTTATTGATTAAAACTCAGTCGAATTGCAGTATATTCACAAATGTACATGTAAATGTGGAAAAATGCCATCCCACGTCAACACAAATTGACAGAAAGAGACAAAAGAGTGTTTTTGTAAAATTACGCAATTATTAATTAGACTTATTTATTTTATGAAAAGTAGTTTATAATAAAGTAAACTATAACTATTACAAAATTGAACAACCCAGAAAAGACACCTGAAAACGAGTGAGTTGTCCGCGTTTCATAGACGGCATTATCAATAGGTTTAAGATCCCCGCCATTAACTTGTGAAATAGGCTGCCCGTCTCTATACAATTGGCTACCTCCCTAACTTCTTTTAAAACTCTTCTACATAAACATTTCTTAACCATATCCTATCTTACTTTTGTAATTCTCTTTCGTGCATCGCAATCCATTAATCCGTGAGATTAGCTTTTTAGTTATTAATAGCTGTAATTGTATTATTTTCGCTTAAGGTTGGTGATTCTATAGTTTTTTTTAAAAAGTGAAATCTATATAACTATTAAACACCCGCTAATATCTAATTATTGATAGTTAAATAACCTAAAAAAAGGCAATGTCTTGGAATGTCAGTTCTATATGAAGATTTTAAATAAGGCCGCCCTTTTAATATTCAAATTGGTTTATGAATAATAGTAATTTGTGTTTCTACAACCTCTTTAGGTGTGGGCCTAAGTATTTATAAATCTGTTAACATAATTTTTCAATTTAATACGCAAGTATGTGATCAGCCTCCAGTGATCCAGTGCCTGACACATGCCGTCGACTTTTTGGGTCTAAGACATGTCGGTTTCCTCACGATGTTTTCCCTCACCGATCGAGCGAATATTAAATGCGCACATAGAAAAAAGTCCATTGGTGCACAACCGGGATCGAACCTACATCGGGATGAAGATTATAACCACCACTAGGCCAACACTTCTCATAGGTTGCAAATAGGTTTATACAAAAGTATTTAATGTAAAATTACTGTTTAGTTGAAAAAAATAAATTAAATTACCTCTCTTTATTAAGGTTATCCCTTTGTAAAGAGTCTATCTTAATTTTCAGTTCACTCACTTCATCGCATATTACATTCTTGCTTTTGTCTTTCTGAAAAAAACTGATCATGAATTTCAAGTTTCTGGTATACATATTTGAAAAATATTTTAATAAAAATAAATTAATATTAATTTACTAAAGAAAATACCAATTAGAAAAATATATATATTAAAAGGATGTAAAAAATATACAAATTGTCAAAACATCAATATGTATTTACAAAAACATGAAATTTTTAATTTTATTTTTTTGCTTCTTTGCTGCTATTTTTCTGCCTTTCGAATCGCCTTGCTCTGGCGTTGGAGTCCTGGAAATAACAATTTCACTTTAAGTAAAATAATTTCATTTCCAACAATATAACTCATATTCCATAAGATCACTCAAAAATTTCTAATTTCATTGATAGATTTTAAACATAATTTAGGCTGAAATTATAAAATGAACTTGCTGGAATCAAACTTACTTCAAATGTAAAAAAAGAAAATACGTCATTGACTGTAAAAATGATTCCGATGATGCTTGACAAAAACTCACCTCTCTCTTAAAGCCTAAGTATACTATTCTTAAACTCACCAAGTGACAGGTCCAAAAATGTCAGACTGTGTGACCTCGTTAAAGTGAATGCTGTCAAGGGCCCGATAATCAAATTCTCTCAGTCTTCGCAGCACCTCCAGTAGACCGCGAAGGTCTGAGTCCTTGCGCGCCAGTCGTCGCCGGAGAGATGTTACTTCAACACGCAATTCAGACACCATCTACGCGAATAAGTTTTTGCCCGATAAAAAAAATAACGAGTCATATACCAACAATTTTGTCCGAAAAATCAAAGCATTAGAAAAAGACTTTTAACAGTTCCGTAGCTAACGATTAAAGCTTTTATATTCAATATTTATTTTAAATAAATTCGTCCGTTGCCGTTATACGTATTAAATAAATAAATCGTATACTTTCACTTTGACAGAGTAATCCCAAAACATCCAAGTTAAAACATAATATAATTAATTATTATAGGAAAATATACCGCATGTACCACAGAGTAACTTCGTATTTTTATGATAAAATTAATTGAGCTGTCCAATTCTTAGTATATTTCCTAGTCATTATGCTAGCTCTATACACCCACCTCGGAGAACTTCCTACGTTCACTCAGTACACGGGATGTTAATTCAATTTCCAGTTCCTCTACGGTACGTGCCAAAAGGGTGTTCTGAGCGACAAGGTCACCCACCCACGACTGTAGCAATTGCACTTGCTTCTGAAAATCAATTTCACATATTAAACTTACTCAAAATGTATTAATGCATTTTTTGTATAGAACAGGTGGCTAATGGATATCCAAAGAACGTAGCAATTCATTTGCGCAATTTACTGTCGAAAAAGTAACTGCTCATTTAAGGAAAAAGAAAGGTTTATACTTAGCAAAATAATTCGCAATCTTTATTATCATACACGGTGAGAGCATTATTTCCTAAACCAAAACGTAAGGAAGTTATATAAAGATTCTAGCAAAATATTTCATACAATTCCCCCTGAAAGTGCTAATAATTGAATTATATAAACCCCATATAGCAAATCATGCTTCCCACAAGTGTCATAAGCGTTAAATTGGGATATAATCCTTATCCTAACAGAAGGATATCTCTTACTTGCAGTTTCTGTGAGCCGGCAGTCCGATTTATGAGATCCATTTTCTCCTCATAGGCCTTGTGCACATCGTTAAGCACAGCCAATGAGGGACCTACTTCACAGGCACAACGCCCGTCGCTCTCTATTACAGTTGATTCCATATTTTCTATTTAATAATAAATGTAAGACATTGCTTAAGTGTAAAATTCTGTTTGACAAAATGTTAATTTTGACCTTATTTTGACGTTTTTGAATGCTCTTGGAAGCAAAGAGATTATGGCCATAGATCGACTGTTTAATTTATCGTAAATATAAATCATCAGACATCAGTCAAGGATTGAACTGTGGATTTAATAGTTGATACGTTACAAAAAGGTTACTTAAATATGTTCGTTTCAATTTCAATATAGGATTTTTTAACAGAGCGATGGAAGAATCTGCTGCTGCTAATGGTGGAAATTGGCATAGACAATGGGCGCTGGAAGTTTCCCGTTTCAAAGGCCAAAGCACATTTTGGGTCATACCTAAAGCCAGCGGAGTGAGGGTTTTTGAAATCTAATAAAGGACCACAAGGTAACCTTATTCCAATAAATTGAGAACCTTCTTTTGGAAAGTCTTACTTGGTAAGAGATTTTATGAAGATGATTCGAGCTCTTCTAAATCTTTAAAAATTACGCAAAGAGATTAGAATCCATTGAATCCTTTATATTAAAATAAAATAGCCATTAAATTAAAAATCCATTTATTTCTATAACATTTGGCTAACAATTTGTACCTACTAGTACGTGTGTTTGACACAACAGCGACTAAATATTATTCACACAAGCTTACAAGCTCAATTTTTACATTTGTGCCACATTAAATTAATATTCTTAGAATATACATAGTGTTATAAATACAATATTTATAATTAGAAATCTATAGATACATTCTATAAAACATATATTATTAATTAAACTTATAAACCACAGAATAAGAAACTGATTGCTGTGTTCATCAAAAGTCAATTAAATTCTTCAAATATATTGCTATAACTTTTCATCGACAGAAAGGCCGTTTGTCCACCGCCGCCGTCACCGGGACGTCACCGAGAACGAGATGACGGCGCCGATTTAGCGATACATACATTTAATATGGCCGTGTGTCCACCGCACGCCCGTCACCCGAGCGCCGTCATCCCGGCCGCCGATATTTCGAGTAGTTCGGCGTGACCGCTACAACTCGGCACGGTTTTATGACGGGCCGATGTGCCGGCTATACAAAGCACGTTTGTTCTTGTCCACACGTGTTGTTCCCACGAAAATGTAAGTGCGTGCTCCTATTTCACCATGCCTCCGGCTGATAGAGGACAAATCTTTATTTTTAATTTATTTTATTATTATTTATTACTTAAGATGTCATGTGGAACATAGTGTAATGGTTGCAGCTCCTTACAAACTGAACTGAACTACTAATATATCTATAATTTACTTAGAAGTGAGCCGCCGATATATCGCCGTCACGTCAACTGAAACTCGGCCCGAAATAATCTCGTTATCGGTGACGTCCCGGTGACGGCGGCGGTGGACAAACGACCTAACTGTAAAACGATATAATAAATACTCTTTTGAGACGTAGAACGGTTAATACGCTTATGTAAGAATGTTTCACAGAAGCTAGTTACAATCCGTTTGGCTGAGTGAAATAGTCAATGGAGTTAGCTGACTTGTAGAAAAACAGAGCCAGCAACAAAATATTTGGGCAAATAATTCATTGTGTTTTAAACTTTAACTGCTGTTTTGTACAATATCGTATTACAAGAAGGCGAACGAATTAAAGGAAACATCTTAGCAACACTTGTCTAAATGATTGAAATATTTCTTAAATACAATTAGAAAAAGTTAGACAATACTCTTGTTGAAAAATGTATTAATTTTATTTTATTTGTTACTGCAAGAGTAAGGACTATCTGTCTTAAAACTATGGATTTTGGCATACTCAATAATAAATTAAAAACGTAATGTGTTTATGTAATATGGAAAAGCCTTTTCAAAATTCTGAAATACAATAAATATACATATTATAATTTAATATGAGATTACAATTTTTTGTAGTATAAACTATACAGTATAATCTCAAAATATTAGTTTTTACATATATGCCGGGGTTCTATATCAGTAGTAATATCGCTACTAAAGGCGAGGCCCCACTACTGCGTTGCGTCGCGTCGTCGCATCGGATCGACGCATTGTATGCCACATCTGCGTTTCGTCGACGCACAACGTCGCGACGCAAGAGGCTATACAGTATACACGCCGTCGCATCTGCGTCTCGGCCTTCGCAATGGACAGACACAAACGTGTTCTTTTGTTGATGTTATTACGCCACCGCCGAATTAAACTTAGAAACCATAGAAGATTCTGGATATCTCCTTTGATAGCATTAAGAAATAGTGATCACCCTCCCCTGGCTTCGTCGCTTGTCCGTCGATCCGCTAAAACGTCACGCGCGACGACGCAACGGTGTAATGGGGCATGTATAAAAAATAATATGGGAAACGTCGACGGACGACAGAACGCAGCAGTGGGGCCTCGCCCTAAACGTCAATTATCCATATCTTACAGCTGTTTGTTTAGAAAATCAACAACAAGCACGACTGGTTAAATATGGAACCCCGACGTAAAACAATCCTATAATACATAAAAGTAAAAATATGTATATAAAAACTCAAAAAATGCAGCATAAAAAGCATAATTTAGTTAATAATAAAAATACGATAACATCCTATATAATCAAATATAATACCAATAAATTATTGCAAAAACACAAATACATATAAAAGGTATCACTTCAGCTAATATCCCGTATATTTGCGTCATTTTTTACATAATATAACCAATAAGTCTATTCTAGGAAGCTTCTTTTTAATCAGTTGCAATAAAACATAATGTATAGATAATAATATCTACGATGACGCGCTCAGCGAAAATAATAATTTAAATGCTTTTTATGTAGCCAATTGTCGAAACGAGACTTATTTACGGCTTTTTGCCGATATATGGATTTTTGACATATAGGCTCAAACTATGACTCTCATATGTCAAAAATAAATTTTGACGTTTCTGAATCTGAACTCTATAACTGAAGATAACTCTCTTCCTGATTGGCGTGATCTACGAAACAAAAGATTATTTATTTAAGTGGTAATCATGATATACAAAAACCCAAGATCACACTCAACGTCTAAAAAACGTCCGCAAAAATAGTAGCGCAACATTCTAAATTGACGCGCTCATTTCAAATAATCTCGCGTCTAATAAGTGGAGTCGATGTTATTTATTTGAGTTTTTTTATAATAAATAAATTTATGTACTTTTGAACTTTTTTGTGTGTAGTTTTTGACAAATATATTTACGCTATATAAAGTGTAGGTCAAGAGGTAGCCAATTTAATTTATTTTTCTAGCATTTAAAGAAAAACTTTTTAACCGGATTAAAGTTAGGTATTATTACAAATCTACAACTATTTAACATCCAACACCTTTTGTCTACAGTCAACGTGACCACGCACGCGTAAAAAACGCGAAACGTAGGATAAATTTAAAATTATGTTAAATAGTTGAAATATAAAAAAGTCATGTTCGACTCCACTCGGCAATACGGTGTCCTACCGACCACGGTCGGTCCTAAAATTTATTGCTTTAATATACGTATACACTGCGTTGTAATAACATCTTTAAGCAATTCGCATAAGGTTGATTTTGACATATAGATATAAGCTTGTAATATCATACTGTTAAAAACATACTGTTATAGAAAGTTTCAGAAATAGTGAACTCTTAACGGAAGACACTCTCGAGCGTTCCTTTTATTGGCGAGACTGTGAAACAATCTTGGGTTTTTTGTATATCAATGGTGGTAATATAATGTTTTTCACGCCATTGTGTGACAAGATATGAAAAGATAATTAGACTAAAAGGCCGGCAACGCACTCGCGAGCACTCTGGCATAAAGTGTGTCCATGGGCGGCGGTATCGCTTAACATCATGTGAGCCTCCTGCCTGTTTGCCCCCTGATCTATAAAAAAAATTGTATCTATGTATTCTTCTACCTTCTTGTACATAAAGAATTACATTTTTAAAGAAAACAATTTTTTCACCGGATTGAAGTTATGTATTATTATAAATTTTAAATTTAACAGACATTTCGCGTGCTTTACAGCGTGCGTGGTCACGGTGACTTCAATCCGGTGAAAAAATGTTTTCTTTAAATGTGTAAAAGTTATGTCAATAAAAGACAATACTAAGAATTACATTTGTCAAGCTGTATGATATAAATAAAGAAAATGTTATGATACTATATAAATGAGTTTTATTTGTAACTTGAAACAACTTTTAAAAAATTCAAAGTGTTATTTTTACGGAAGTTTTAAAATCCCCCAAAAATAAAAATTTATGTATCTTTAACGGAAAAAACTTTAGATTCTATACGAATAATTTAGAGTATAATTTTGAGCGCGTCAAGGAGAAACCATGTGAACTTAAAATTATAGGAAGTACTGCACTAAGTGCCTTATAAAGTTGATATGTTTGCATCTAATCTATAGTTTCGTGTATACCAAAGTCAATTATTATGCTGAATATTAAAAATAATATTTTTGAAGTTATACTTCTTATGGTTTGTATATAAATTAATTGATTTCAAATTCATGTGATTTTTGAAGATGAAACTTCTTATCGGGCCCGTTGGAAAAAATTTACTGAAATTTTGCGTTACGCGTCACGGATGTTTCGTTACGCGCCATGTTGCTTTTGAAGTCAAACTTCTTTCGGCGTTAAAATATAGTATAGTATGTTTTAGACTTAATGAAGTTTGACAACGTATTACATTTTGAAGTTACTTAATTTTTCGGCGTTAAAAATATAGTATAGTATATTTTGACTTTGAAGTTTGACAATGGTATTAATTATTTGGCACTTGAAAACATGTTTGCTAATCGCCAATTTGCAGCAATTAATTTACTGTGTTTAAAGAAATAGTTTCTAATAAGGTTATTATTTCACTTCTTAGTGTGTACTAATTTAACTAGTACACACACATCATTTTTTTATATAACTGGCGATAAACGGGCAGGCTATCACAGCAGGCAAGTGCGTTGCCAGCCTATAAAATTGATGAATTATTAAATATTAAAAGATTAAAAGACCCTTTATGTCCAAACCTCATAATTTTAGTAATTACACTTAGCTAGTGTAGGTATTAAATTGACTTTAGTATATTCGAATATACATAATATTTGGCTAGTTAACAGATTCTAGTAAACAATAAAATTATACTTAAACTAGAAATTGAACTAATTCCGTGGAGATCTGAAAAACAGAACAGAAAAATGCTTTAAGTATGTTTATGTTTGTCTCACAGAAAGCATAAACACGATTTGAGAGAAAGAGACAAAAGTACTAAATGAAATAAAAATAAAGGGGTAAGTAGATATATCATATATGTATTATAAAGCCCTGAGGGTCCAAGTTTGATTCTTACTAAATCTATAATTGTTTTAGTAATACAAAGTATTGTCTAATTACTAATATATCATCACCCTTTCATATGTAAAATTAATTTTATTACAGATTTTAATAAAATAAAAGAAATATATAATTTTGTATGAAATAATCTTTCTAAAAATAAAATACGACTCTGAATCTTTAAATCTACCCTACCATTATCTTATAATTTTATTGTTTTAATACATACTTTATGTTTAGTAGAGCGCCTTAAGCTGCTCATAGGTGAGGAAGAAGATAATATTCCACGGCCCCATACGGAGCCATGTTGGTATGAAGCCTTTGTACAGCGCACGCGCACCCTCACTGCGTACTGTCTGCAATAAATAAACTGGTTGAATGACAAATAATCCAATGATTTCCAATACAATACTTTATAGGCCTCAGTGTTATGTCAAAGTCAAATCATTTATTTCAATTAGACCATCTAAAATGGCACATTTGAACGTCAAAAAAAAAATATATAAAGAAGATTCTAGTTGCCCCTTCCAAAAGGTAGTTTCGTGTGGAGAAGAATGGGCAAGAAACTCCACACTTACTCTTTTAAAATAGGTTTACAATATTTTGTTACATTAGTTAAATAATTATATGTGAAGACAATGTACTCTTAGCAATAAACTACTATGCTAAAAAAGTTAGTATAGTATAGTACATATTTACAAATATCGAAACCGTAGAATATTAACATTAAAGAGTAATAAAAATATTAAAAAAACACAAAAAAAACAGTGTGTGAGATACAAAAAAAAATTACATTTGTAGCATTATAAATTAAAAAAAATAATAATAATAACAAAAATATGCTAAAGCAAAAAATCAGCAACCAATTTGATTTTGTCCAGGCTCTATGATTGTCCTATGGAGCAGGACCAGCATGTATAGCATGTTCCTTTAATTATTCATTGCCTTTGTACAATCGTAAAGAAAATTTGAATGTAGAATTTGGGATGGCACTGAGCAGTTAGGTCAGATCAATAAGATCACCTCTCCTGTGCCAGACACATGTCAATGTGTGGTTATGACATGCCCGTTTCTTTGCAATTTTGGTGTCCATACAAGCAAGTGCAAACTACAACCCTATATGAGTCTTGGCCTCAGGTTGCATATTCTTTGATCTTTTTTTCATATAAATCTTATTATAAGATTTTATTAATCTTACAAGTATCATAAGTTTTATACATATACATGTAAGATATATACTTCTAAGATACAGGCACTGGAGGCTGATCACCTATTTCCCTATTAGAAATATGAGGCCTAGACCTAAAGAGGTAATAGCGCCACTGATTTAATTTTTTTTTTATACTTGTAAGATTGAATTAAAACATAGCAACTCTGTAACTCATGGAGAGATCTACACAATATAGTAAATCTATATTTTTTTTTTACTAATTATCTGATATTTTATTAAATTATTAATTTCTTATGCATTACACCATCTGCATTTAGCATTAGCTTACTCAACACATACTATCTTTTTCCAAATATTGGTGAATTTTTTATAACCAAACCTAACTTGGGATTGATTTGCTCCAGTCCACAAAAATTTGTATGACAATACTTGGCGATTAAAAAGAGTGGCGGAAAGTTTCTTGCCAGTTCTTCTTACCCGCTCTACGCCCTTGACTTGCGAACTGGTAGTAAATGTAAATTTACAATTAATTTAACTTCTTTCTGACAATTCATAAGTGTACTTGTTTACCTACATGAATAAAGATATTTTGAGTTTGAGTTAGAGTAACCTTCGGTTTAGCAATATGGAATTCTGCCTGGTTCGTTTATTGTTTATTGATAGCATACACATTAAAAAAAATACCTGTACGACGCAGTCAACGGTCCCTTTGTATATCTGTATACTTGGATCCCTCACTTTTCTTTGGTTCATAAGCCGCGTCTGAAAAGTTAAACAATACTCATACCGACAGATCCCAAAATTCTTAACTATATAAAATAAGTACATACATCATCTCCTACCATGCGAAAACTACGGCATGTGAAAATTCTCAATGATGGACTGGCGAAACTGTTTCTTTTTCTAATATTTTTACCAGACATACCTGCTTGAGATAGAAGCCATTTGTGGCGAAGTGTGAATTAAGGAAGGAAAAAGGCGGCAAATTGGCCGAGTAATGCAACACAAAAAAATATGAGGGTTTTTTTTGACACTTTTTGACGCCTACCACCACATTGTGAAACCCACTGAAGTATTTCCGAAACAATGGGAATTAGGGTCCTTCGAAAAGAGTGTATCAATTCTTAAAACCCAAGCGTGGGCGCCCCGTAAGGGTCCATGGGCGGCAATTAACATCATGAGGGTTATCTGTACTACATATTTATGCAAAAAAAATTACGCTATTTATACTTATTGGTTTTTCAAACACCCTGACAAGAAAAAATCATATGGGTTACACCTTTTAGTGACAAAGGTGACAGTTGGATGAACACTTACTTTGTCTATGGTTAATTACATAAAACAATTAAAACCAGTTTGTGGTTCACTCACCCTAACAACGTCAAGTGGTGTACTGGCTACAGCGCTACCAAGACTAGCGAGCAGACTAGACACAAAATGATTAAGAGGTCGGTCTCCTAACGGGGCAGTAAGCCGACGCTTACACGCATCATACACGGGCAACTCCACGGCTGCGATTAATGCCGCTCGTTGCGAAGTGGGTGCTACGCCCCTCCATAGTCCTGCCACCCCTTCTATCCTATGTATATCGATGAAGCAACGCACTATGTTGCGCTTCTCATCACCAACCTGAAAACATGGTTTGTTTTTAATACTTGTCACAAATACATAAAAATTCATTGGGCGCATTAAGAGTGTGACTTAATCGAGACAATGTAGGAATTTTTTAAATTTATATAATTACTATTAAATAAATGCCTCAACAAATTTTTGTTGTATGTTATGCTTTGTGTAAAGAAAAATTTGTAATAGGTCAGTGTTAAAACTTAATGTATTTAAATTTATTATAACAAATATTAAAGTTATTCTTAAATATCAAAAATAAGTCATTGACATATCCCGACAGAATAAGGTTAACACTTAAACATACCTGCATCCTAACTTTAAGGACATCAGTAGGATTTGCTATTGCACTAGACAGTCCTCCTGCAAATGCAGCACAAAATGTGTTAGTTGCTAAGTGTTCTCGAGTACCACCGTCAGCCCTCCTGGCAGCAAATGCCTTCTTCAATGAGTAGTATGTCCCAAACTTAATAGTGCCATATGTTGCTTGTCTAAGTACTGCTGGCCAGATACTGAAAGGTTCAAAGAACTTGTCAATCACTTTAATATTAAAACAAATTCATAACATATGTAATTAGAATTTAATTCCTCAGAAAACAGGGCACAATTTATTAAAAATTAACATCTATAATAAGTTTTACAGAAGATAAATACATAGTTCACTCTATGATTTCAAATGGTTTTTGTTTTATGTTTGCATTTAACTAAAATTTTAAACATCAATTGGACAACATTTTGATTATAAATTGATCATGGCTAAATAAAATGTTGAGTTAATGATAAAAAATAAAAGACACACTGAAAACAAACTCACCCACAGTAAAGTGCTTTAACACCCTCTTGTTTTGATGTTTTAACAAAACAATCCACCATTCCCGTGTATCGCAACTCAACATGTCGAGGATCTATCTTTTGTCCTTGGATCTGTAGCCGAGTCTTGGTTGTGTCAATAGGAAATGTACCTATTGAAAAAAAAATTTTTTAACATCACTCAATAATAACTTAACAAGATGAATATTTAATAACATATTATTAATTTACTTAATGTAAAATATAACATTGTATATTCATATAGTGCTCTTCTTTCTCTACCTATGTAATTGTGCATTACTTTCAAGAAAGTAAACTCACCAAACTCTGCAACAATCGACGCTAGGCCGCCGTAAATGAACGGTCTCCAATCTCTATCTCCCATTACATGCAAGAGTATGTAAAGTTATAAATGCAATACTTATAAAGGAAACCCTCTTTTTTTCAATTATTTGTTTTGATATTTTAACACCACTATATAATAAGTAAGACTCATCTATTGTTTGTACTTTGTAGGTTGAGGTAATTATAATTAAACAAATTCTTTCAAATAAATACATTGATCTTTTTCAGTTTTTCAGTAGTCGTAGTTTACAATTTGGAATACACATGTAATACACATTCGATTAATGAACTCACGCACAGTGTTGCCAACGACACCGGGAATGATATCGCCATTTTTCACAGCATAAGTAGCCTAATGTAGCCGAATTTCAGGATAGTGTAGCCTAAAAAGGAGCCGAAATATAAAAAATAAAATAAAATTGTAGTGTATATTTAATTTTAACTTTATTTATACTTAATCCAGAACACCCGAAACAAATATCTGTAGATCGTACAAATATATTTTGTCCCAAGGCGGGAACGAAACCCGCAACCGCCACAAAGAGTTCCTAGAGATTTCCTGCTTGCCTGACTGGACTCTGGAGGACAGGGCCCTCTTAAACAGTAAAAAACATTAGTTCTTAAACTTACTTTTAAATGCTGGTATTTTTTCCCATTCTTCGCGATAATGCTTCACATATTTGCCGTGTTTTTCCATACTTTTTTCAAGGAAATGATGGCTTTGAAATTACTTGTTACACGCATTGGTTGAGTTGAAGTTGAAGAACAAAGTGAAACGAAAGGCACAAAACATTTTCCCGACATTTTGATTGTCAGTATAATATAGATAATTGCGGTAGTCACTAACAGCAATATAGGTAGGTACATTGCACAGTACTACCTCCTAAATTTGGTTTCATAATTTCTAAGACAAATTCTGGGTATTCCCCGCCCGGAAACTTACTACTTTAATGTCTCATACACATCTTAGAGTGACTATGATTTTTAATAAAAGTAGTTCATTTGCGATTCATGACATGTCCTTGAAGTAGCCTAATAATCGACCTTTAAAATATTTTCATCGCCAATTCTAGTCCTGAGTAGCCTAAATGGCGATAAATCGCCTACGTTGACCACACTGCTCACGCACAGTTTTACATTAAAATCACAGATCAAACAGAAGAAAACGAAATTCAGTGAGTTAACTGTTAAGTAGGCACGGCGTGAGCACAGCCTCAACCCTTGTATTCTGCAAATGCAAACTCACGTCAGTCCTAATGAAGACTGACGTGAGACGTGAGTACACTACTAATAATATGACGTATAGCTAATATGCGCACTTCATGCTCACTCAATAAATCACTCACTCACACTCACACTTGTCACGTGCCATTTTGATACGAATTCGTTACTCTTTAAATATTTTGAATTACAAATATTTTCACAAGATATTCATATATATAATTGTTTCACATTCTTGTGTAAAGGACCTACCGTGGTATTCATTATTTTAAAAAATCAGTTTCTCTGCAGTTTAATTAATATTCATTCAAATGACAGTTTGTTAAATATGCATTATATAATTTATGTAAATACTTAAGTTTACGTTTACTGTCAGTAAACATAGCCTTTAAAAAAGTAGTATGTATTTGTTCTGTACGTAATAAATTATTTTTATGCATATAAATTACCGAGTAAGCACGCCTATCGAAATTTTAGTACATATGTACTTGAGACTGCAACTCTAATCTCCAACAGTTTTATGATGATGACAGGGCTGCCAGATGAAAGAAAAACATGATCGTACGCCAATTACAATACAAAAAAATCGTATTCCAAGGAAATTTGAAATGAAAAGATCTTACAACATAAAAATTGAAAGTTTTTATTTAAAATGACTGGCTGCCTTTGCCTTGCAGAGTGTAACTTTAAAACTCCATATTCTGAAGCCATTTCGACGTCACAAACAGTGCACCTGGCTTTAAATTGGTTTTTACCGGGCCCTAACCAGTCCTTAAAGAAATCTAATTTTTCCCAAGTGGGACGATTACCATTTATACCCGTGACCTCGAATTGTCTGTTAGCAGTTTTTGTAACATTTTACAATATGCTGATGATATTATCCTCTATCAGCTCAGGCAGTATATATCCCGTCGTATCAATTCTGCTTTGTATTATCTAGGCCAGTGGTTGTCTGACCACGGCTTGTCCCTGTCAGTGGGCAAATCTCACACATAAAGCAAAATTTTTAGGTATTTATTTAGACAACCGGCTGAACGGAATTGCCCATTCTGAATACATTATCAAAAAATGTGAAAAAGGTATTAACGTACTAAGAGCAGTAGCGGGAGTTTGGTGCGGTGCTCACCTCTATTCTTTAAAGTTATTGTATAATGCCTTAGTACGTAGTCATATGGATTACTGTATGTTTGTTCTGGATTCCATCCAACCAAATATACCAAGACAACCCTGGTTTTGTCACTATCGCAATGAAAATCGTTGCATTACATCCACAATCTCACGTCTGCGTCTTGGTCATGCTTGCACCCCTGTTCATCTAGCCAAGCTCCGGATCACTCTATCTGTGAGTGTGGCTTGGATGAAGGCACTGTATCGCATATACTTTTTAACTGTCCCAACTAACCTATCCTCTATGACGTCAAGAGGCCAGGCCAGGCCCCCCCCCCCCCCCCCCCCCCGCCCCCCCCCGCTCTCCCCCTAAAGTCCCCCGTCCTTTAAGTGTTAATATATGTTTGTGTTTAGTCCATATTGTAGATTTTTATATAAATATATAGAAATCAATAAAATTAAAGTGTAATATATATATATATATATATAAATTATTCATAAATAGGAAATAGTATTTAATAATGTTATTACTCATATTTGTGTTGTCTATGCAGTCTTAAAACTAACAATCGAATTTCAACTTTTTTTTTTGTGCATATTAAAAATTAACTTACTTATTATTTTCACCGATCAATCTCCTTCGTGCCTTCTCCATCTACACGACACTGGCGAAGTACCTTGTACCCAGTTGGCACAAATTAAAGCCATATATAAGTCATTGAAGTTATGGACTAAAGTCCTTTGCCTTTCCCATTAAGGGATAAATTAATATCATCATTATAAATATTAAATATTAACATTAAGTTTGTATTGTTTTGATTTTTAATGCAGTAAACACTAAACCGCTCTAAAACCTAAAATCAAACTAAAAGAAAATTATGTAAATTATTTTACAAACTACTTAAACAAGTTTTTCGCTATTAAGTTTCCTTATATATTAAGATTTCTTTGGTTAAAATTGTTTTATGTCTGGAAGTTAACTATAATCTAATGGTTCGTATAAGTTACATTTTTAAATTACGAATAAGTTTAATGAAATATTGTGTGCCAGTTGTAACATAATAAAATTTGCTAATTTAAAATAAATGATCTTAAAGCTGTAAGTAATATATTGCACTTGCTACAATTAGTAAATTTAAAATGTTGGTATAATAGTATAAGCAATAGAATAAAGTAAATACCTTTTGATTTCAGATAAGAAGTTTACGATTATATATTATTATTATTATACATGACTTGGTGATAAGCAGATTCTCCACATTACTTAAATATTACTTGGTGTTTGATCTATACAATGTTCGATCATTTTGTACAAAACCCAGGAACTGCCCCACCTCCATCACCACCCAAAAAGGAACTTAAATTTGATAAAAATTACTTAAAAACTACTCCAGGAATCCTTCAGCTAGTAGAAGTGGTAGGTCTTTATTAAGTTTTAGTTTATAATAAATAACTTTAAAAAATATTTACATAAATTATAATATGGCTTCACAGGTGTGTAATTTCATTGGATTTATTTGTATCAAAGTTTCCTGGTCTTGGATATCTGCCATCTTCTATAACATTTTGTATTGGATTGGAAACATTTTAACAGTATTCTTGTTTTTAATGTACCTCTTTCATTTTGTTGAAAAGTATGATAATATACCATGGCAAAAAATTCAATTTTTCTACTGCGTTGCAATGAGTTTGGCTTATATTGGGACTTCTATATTTGCTACTACTATTGGAGAAAGTGTTGGGTATGCTGTTGGGGTAAGTTCTATTAAAATTTTACATTTAGGTAAATTATTTGTATATAATAATGTGACAAAAGAAAATATTTTTGGAAGAGACTGAAATATTTGCAGCTGAATACTTACATTGAATAACATTTGATATGTATCTTATACAATCCAACTATTTTCAATATCTGCCATAACAAAACTTTGATATACACTGCCAACTGCACTAATGTTAAAGATAGCTATCAGGGTAAAAGACTTCAGAAATAAACTCTAAGCCTGTCTGTAAGAGACCCAAACATAAAAATTGTACCCATTATATTACTAGAAAAGTGTGCACAAATACTTAAAGGGCCACCAAAAAGCCTTCTGGCATTGTTTTTCTATGTATATAAAATGTATATATATGTAACATAATATTATTAAAAGTGATAAAATTTCAACTTCCATCGCCAATATAAAACTATATTATGAACTAGTAACATATCCTATTCAATGTTGCCTTGCTACTAAGCTGACCTTTATACCATGTGATATAAATTATTGTTAATCTTCTAATATAACAACTTTTTCAGATTTTTGGATTTTGTGCTATTGTGGCATATGGTATTGATGCATACTTAAACTACAAAGGTTGGAAGAGAGGGTTACCAGCACAATAACAACAATTTTATCACACTTAGTCATTTGGAAAAATATAACTTTTATAGCTTTAAGCAACACAAGTAGATTTTGTACAATACATTTCTAAAATATTTTTTTATTAACTGGACCAGCAAATATTAAGGTTTAATTTAAATGAAGATCAAGCAATATAGCTTACTAATTACATTATTTTAATTTTATAAATAAAAATAAATCAGTGCTGCTAGGGATGTGTTTTATAATTAAGGGAGCGTTCAAGTATTACGTCACGGAATTTTTGGAGATTATTGACCCTCCCCCCCATGTAACGCACCGTAACTATTTTCTCTACCCAAAGAAAAAAAAGACGTTACGTAATACTTGAACGCTCCCTAAGCTAACATGTAACAATATGCCATATTTATTGTTAGTGTTAATAGACTGATATCTATAATATATGACAACTTAATAAGCAAATAACTATAAAACTAAATATTTTTCTATTATGCATGTACATGTTACTTAAGAACTTGTTTTGTTTACTTGCGTCCTATACAAACCTCAAATAGCAATTAAATCATGTTTGCATACTACATTAATTAATGTTTAACAAAAATGGCATCTATGAGATGTCAAGTGCCTTAAAAATTATAAATAGTATAAAATTAAGTATTATTTGTAGCAATGTATTAACAGTTTATACAATTAATTGATATTTTGATATCTATGATGTTTAACATTTAGTTATCAAAACATTAAAAATGCAAAAAGTAATAAATTGTTTTATTTTGTAGAATAAATAATGACTTGTTAAACAGGCCTTTATACATACTGAGCAGTAACTTGAGATTGTGAAGTACTATTTCATTTCAAGTAAATGTAAGATTATAAACAAATGAATATTTAAATGAATCTTGTCATAATTTACACACATACCAATTTCTTTTATACATGCTTCACTTAAACACATTCATTTAACATGTGATTGTAGTTATATTTTATACATTTCTAAACATTTTAGATACATTAAATGTTACATTTAATACAAAAAAATTGCTTAAATATCTACAGGTTCAATATAAATGTTTTAAAAGTTATACAAAATATACACAATATTTAGTATAAGACTGAGCGGAGGACGGACTACTTTTTTAGCATAGTGTAAGCATATAGGATCATATAAATGACAATTCTTTCAAAATAATTGTATATACATTTTTAGTTAGTTATAGAGCATTCACAATAATATTTTCATAAGTGTTGCCTTATTGTGTAACTACCAACTTTTAAGAATACTATGTTTAACATGTAGCCAGAAGTTGAGTGTTAATGATATTATATTAAATGCATTTTGCTTCACAAAATAATTATTAATAAATATATACTCTTGAATATAAAAACTGTAAATTTCTAGTATTTTTATAATAATCTTGTTAGATTACAACAAGTATTAAATTTCTTTATTGATCAACAGCATATTAAGACCAATTACAATCAAGCCACATGATAAGTTATAAGTTAAAGATTGCCATTTTTCCTAAGTACAATGGATGCACAAATACGTTAAACTTAAAATCTATAAATGCCTTTCACACTGTTTTATATAACATTTTAGTAATATTAATTATCCAGTGTGATTGCGACAATAGGCGGACAGAAGAGAATACATAATACTTAAGGAAGAAGCTTTGGTAAACATTTTAATCTTACATGCTAAAACTTGTTACTTTTATCAAACAATGGATACTTTTAGTAAAAGTCTGCCTGATTTATTAAAATCAGCAATGGATGAACAAATTTTCAGTAGTAAATGTTTATTAAAAGTAACCGAAGTTTGAAAATATTTAGATTTTGTTGCAAAGTTTGCTAATCAATGACAAACCCTTATTTTTGACTGCATTAGTAATAATTATCTCATATAAAAAACTTATATTTCTGGTTTAGTTTTTAGGGTAATGCTGGGGGTGTAGTCACATGTGTCTGTTTGGTAATTACACGGCTGCCTTGTGCCAATTCACCACACTTTATTGCTTGAAATTTGGTGAATGCTTCAAACCCATACAACACCATAGCTAGATAACCAAAGAACTGAAAAAAGAAAATTGTATATTAACGCAGTGACATCTCTTAGCAATTGCCTTGATTTTATAAAACAGGAAGCACTTCCATTCAACTTATATTTTTATCATTAAGCAGATAAATGCTTTTTTTTTTATATAAATAACGTTCAATTACTGGAATAGGTAAGAAAATAGTTTTATGTAATTTACAAATAGAAAAATTAACAAAATCTCATCTTATTGGTATTGTTAAAAGGCTATCTGTGCTTACTTACCCCTGCTGCAGAATATGTAGCAGTTCCAAAAGCCACCACAATTGTAGATGCTATGAGGTAAAGGAATGTCACAACTCCACATCCAATCATTTCTATTTGTAGCCATTTAATATTATGATACTTTTCTATTAAGTGGAACATATACAGTAAAAGAAGTATCACAGAAAACCACAGCCCCAAGTGGGCAGTCACATTAAAATAAACTCCACGCCAGTTGGACCAGAATGCTGAAGACTGAATGCATATAAAGCCTAGCAAGTCAAGGATCTAAAAAAAATATTTAAACAGGGCAGGGTCCAAGAAATATTGCATTAAGTACAATTGTATTGTAAATATTTTCATACAATGTAGTGAAGTAGTACATAAAAGTACCACCAAATGATCAACTTAAAACAAACTCCGAGTCAAAACATACTTAGTCCATTCATTATCTAGCTTAAGATTTAAAAATTCAATGCTATAAAAAATCATAAGATCTATTTGGATTTTCTGTATTGTTTTTTTTAAATTGTTAATAACTTAACATATTGTTACTAAACTTACAATCTCAACAGTTTTAATGACACCCTGTTTGGTCTTCACATATGTGGTGTCAAATCTTGTTTGTGTATTGAATACTACATTAGATGATCCCATCGATTGAGTGTTATTTTGTATAGGCATTTTTATCTGTAATAAGATTTTAAAAGATTTATTTACTGTAGTAGGAATAAGCATTACCAAGTAACTGTTAAGTAAAACTTACCTCAATGTTTTTGTATTTGTAAATTATTAAGAAAACATCTCTAGCGTCCAATCATTTGAGCAATAATGTTAACCATATACACCGTAATCACTCTTTAGTACTTCTCAACATCACATTGATAAGAGCACAATATTCTCATAGTCACGTCTCCTTGACTAAATTAGTAACCGATATTGCGTAAATATGACCATGACTCATTTTTTAAAATAGGATATTATATGTTAGAATCATCAGATCCCGAAACTTAGCATGGCGCTATGATTTTCAATAATTGATGAACTAAGTAAAAATAGGGATGTAAGCCTTAAGACAGTAATTGTAACTTCATTAAATGGGAGCTTGACTCAAAGTTTTAAAAGTAAAATTTACAAATACGTATGTTTATTATACAATGATAAAATTAATAACAAACACCAACAGATAACAGAATACAGATTATTATTATATATTACTTATTCATATTTAGCACTTTCATATAATTATTACCACAGAATCATTCACCTGTGGTTTAACAACTTGCTAATATTTTGAAGGTGTAAACTTCGTTGAACCCAGTTAAAAATATTTTTATGATTGTAGTAGTTAGAAGAGTAAGTAAATACCTTAGAGTTAAGCCTTAAGGGATAGCTTGAAATAATAAAAGTGATAATCATTTTCGAAGGTGTGTCCTCCATTTATACTCTATAGTAACATGATTATTGTCTATACACATTACTAACTAATCTGTGGTATCTAATTAAGAAATCATTATGCAATATGCATCTGTGTTTTAAATGTGACATAAGTTTCACTTTTCTTGCAAATTAGTTGCTTAATTCCAGAATTCAGTGATCAGTCTAGATTATTTCTCTATGATTCCAGTACAAAAATTTAAAAAAATCTTTGAAATACTTTCAATTTCGGGTAACACTTACACGATTTTTATTGCTTTATTATGTGAAATATTATAAGCGCAATTCTTTTGCCTTAAGTCATTCAATTAATAATAAATTCTATATTTATGACTATTTCTTGCTCAACTAGAATGTTATTTTAGGTGGTGACTGATGGTGACAGTGTATAAATAATTTATAATAGTCACGTTTTATAAAATATAAGTTTTGAAAATCAAATAAGTAAGTATTATGCTTATGATAATTTTTTAAATAATAACTTCTCGTTTTTCCTCATGTGTTAAAATTTTGTAGATAATAATTTATTTTACTCAAACAATATTAATTTGTAACATTCTTTCATGTTCTTATCAGTTTTATCACTATTGATAAAATATTTGTGGGCGGAAAGGTATATGTAATTAGAATTAAGTATTGCTTTAAAAATAAGTAGGTTTTTTAGATGAAAGGTATTCACTGTCACTTTTTATTCTTTGTAAATAATGTAGTTTTAATTAGAAAAAAATTAAATTCTATATAAGTTGTAATATATTATTGACATCAGGTAATGTTTATTTACTTTTATATAAAGCAAAATGGCAGAGGTTGGCTTCCCTGGACAACATTCAACAACTACCACCGTAACATCGAATACCACAGTCAACAGAAGTATACGATTTGATAAGTCCTATTTGCAAACTGTGCCTGGTTTGCTGAAAATTGTGCAAGTTGTGAGTATAATAAAAGTTTTTAATAATTAGTATTGCTAAGGTAACTTTGAAGTGTTCACTCATAAAAGTAGGCGGATATGATTGGAAGTTGAATTTCATTATATATATCATATGTATCCAGTAGTGAAGAAAAAATAATTTTATCTTGTATGATTTCTAGTCTATACAATGCATTTATTACACTTATACTATACTATACTATTAATACACTACATTAAAAATTATTGGTTTTAATATAAGGGACTCTATTATATTATTGTACTAAGGACCAAACCCTTTGTTGCATAAACATACTGTAGTACAATCAAAATACTTTAATAATTAGGAGGGTTAACTCATCAGTTATAAGCAATCTCTTTCAGGCAACTGTAGTAGAAAAATTAATAGAATCTAAAACAAAGGCAAAACTATAAATAACAGACAATATGTATATATTAGTAACTTGAACTGTCTTTCATAGTCCATTGAAATGTTACATTTGCTGAACATTTGTTAAAGGGTGCAATTTTATTTATTGCTTGACAAGCTTGTATTGACCCCCCCTACATTTCCCATTAATAAAATTGCGTCCTCTAACAAAATATGTTCAGTTTGGCCCTCAAATTGTTACATTTGAATGGACTTGGACATTCACAATAAGTATATATAAGCAGGAATGCAAAGGTTACTGGTATGAAACAAATGCTCATTTTGTAATCTGCAATCATATTTTGTTTTATTTTGCAAAAACTCCATACATTTGAAATTATAATAAATCTGTAATAAACACCCAGTAGTGTAACTCAAAGGCCCATCCTCATTTACCTGAAACAAATTTTTATCAATTATGTTTTTATCTTTGATATTGATTTTGTGTATGTATGTTGATCCAGGAGTGATTTCTATGTAATTATATGGCAAAGATAGCTTAGTTCCTTTGACTTATATATAAGGTATTATCTTGTTTTTATTTATTATTTAGTAATAATTGACCATTACTTAGTAAGAGAAATTTACTATTTTGTGAGGTGTTTTGTTCCGAAAATTCTACATAGTATTAACTAAAAATAAATATAATGTCTATAACATAATTTTTCCTCTATTTTATTTATTGATTAAAATAAATATGTATACATTATTTTTAAAATTTAACCAATTATTCATTTAATTTGGATGAGTATCCCAGACATTATTATGGCTAATCTAATTCCTGAAAAGATACATACCACATAGCTCTCATGCCAGTAGAGGTTGCCCGCGCTATGGTTCTACCGGCTTGCACGTTTCCAACAGCTGACATGGCAAGCGCGGCCAAGCTGCCAGCCGCTACACCGGCAGCCGTGATATACAATTTTGTCATATATCCATAGCCCTTTCCCGGTCTTTAGCACGACCCAGCTGATGGCTCTAACAAAACACCACAGCGCAGACGTCATTAGCCATCTTAGTTTAAAATGCTCTTAGCTCTAAACTCTATAATTACTTTTTATGTATCAGAAATCGTACTCTCGTATGCATTAAACATATGCAGATGCAGACTGAATAAAATGGATCTCAAATCTCAATACTTAATAATAGTGCTCTGAATTCGCGCATTGTTTGTAGATGGTAATTCCCCGAACAATGAACGCAGTGTTGCCAACTTAGCTACTTTATAGCTAGATTTAGCTACTTTTTCTAGCAACTATGACTAACTAGTTATGAGATATTTATGTAACTACAGCAGTAATAAAAATAAAAAAAGTGCGTGCGTGCTAAGTACACATGTCAGAACTTCTTTGGCAAACTAATTTTTAACTCGTGTTCATCTTTATATATATAATTCTTATGTGAGTGTGTATGTCACTGAACTCCTCTTAAACGGCTGGACCGATTTGAATGATTTTTTTTGTATACGTTTGGGTGGAGCCGTGGATGGTTTAGATTCACAAACCAGCCCGGCAGATGGCACTGCAGTCTGTACTTTCATGCTTTGTTTAATATCGCTTGAAATATCATGCAGGACAACGTCTGTTGGGTCCACTAGTATTTATACAAATCTAAAACAAGATTGCCGAGACTTAGAGGTAGGGAAAAAGGATGATATGTCAGGAATTTTATTAATTTAATTATAAATAAAATATTTCTTCGATAAAAAAAAACACGTGGTATTTTAATTTACAACTGGAGATTTCAATAAATTATTTCGCATAAAATACTAATATTTCATAAATTATCTTTAAGATTTTAATTTTAAAAATACAATATCTATAAGGTAAGTCACCCTTCTCACTCTCACTTAATCGCTTTCTCACTTTTTGCACTCTACACTCTACTTCGTGACGTTTTTTAAAAAAATTACCCTCATGCGCCTAAAGAAGTTTCACTTTAATAAAGTAAAGAATAAACAGAGGAATATACTGATTTTAAGAACTCTTAATTCTATTCATAAGTGATTCTTTCAGGAAAAGCGGCCAATGCTGTCCTTCCTGAATCCATACTTGAAAAAATGGGTACTATAAAGAAATATTCAAAATAAAATGCAGCTGAACATTTATCTTTATCTTCCCAGTGTTCCGAACCTTCTACATCTTACGGAAAATTTATCTATAGTGCGTTTCACGGTTTGTCGAGTTCCATATTTTTTTCCAAATTTTTGAGAGTTTTGTGCGTTTAATCATGACAAAAACACTAAAAAGTGGTAAAAGGGAGATGGTCTTTAAGGTGAAACGTTTTGTGAAAAAGAAAAATCAAACAAAGGGCCAATAATTCTATATGAATTCGTTCGTTTTCGGGTTGCCGCCATGACAGGTAAGCAAAATAGGATTGCCGGCATCGAATAAAAAACTCCTAAAATTCCCGACAATATCATACTACCTAAATTCACAAGAATTAAAAATTAAATGTTTTGTTTTTTACATTGCATTCCAAATACAGGTTTTGTACTTATTATTTTTTGTCTTCAGGTATATCCAAAAAAACTGTAACCAAAATTTCCAAAGAAGGAGAAGTGGCTGCTAGTACGTCAACCAACATTTCAATGCCTGCCCTGCGATTCTGTAACTCACTTTTCGAACTCACACAGCGGTTTTCGCATCGGCGGTCGCTCTGAAATCAGTTGTGAAGCAGTTATTTTATGATTTGGAATTCTGATAAACAATAAACTACAAGCTCCCACCTTTTCAGAGTGCCAAATCATAAAATGACTGCTTCACAACTGATTTCATAGCGACCGCCGATGCGAAAACCGCTGTGTGAGTTCGAAAAATGAGTTACAGAATCGCAGGGCTGGCAAAAGTCGACCCCGGGAAAGCAACATTTTGCTTGACGATTTTGAAATTGGTGCGCTCCGGCATAAAATTCATTAAAAAGGAGTTGCCTACTGTAACTAAAATATTGCTTCAGTTACGAAATTACCTTGATTTTAAGGGCGGCCGTACTATTTGGAGGATTATGAAGAAAATGGGTTAATTGTTCAAAAACTGTCAATCCAAAAGGAAAGTATTAATGGAAAGACATGCCATTGTAGCATGGCGATTTCGATGTTTAAATGAATTACGAGACAATCGAAATGGGGAACAGCGGCCAGTTATTTATTTGGACGAGACATATATTCATTACTTTACATTACATATTTCATACTGCGCCGGGAAATGTTGTCAAAGCGAAAACGAAGAAGAAGAAGGTATTTTATCATCTGACTCAAAAGGGGCCACGATGGATAATAGTAGATGCTGGTGGAGAGATGGTCTTTATACCCAATGTTCAATTAATTTTTAGATCCCAGTCTAAATCGGGAGACTATCATGACGACATGAACAGGAATAATATCAACAAGTGGCTTGAGGAAATGTTGTTGCCAAATCTTCCTCCTCGGTCTTTAATTGTAATGGACTATGCATCCTACCACACGATAGGTGTTAACAAAGCACCAACTATGTCTTGTACGAAAGATCAAATGCAGAATTGGATTATAAGTAAAGGTCTTACTTATTTGCCGACAATGGTAATAGCTCAATTATATGTGATGGTGAAAGAGCACAAGGAACCACTTAAATATGAAGCTGACCTGATGCTTGAAAAACATGGTCATAAAGTAGTAAGGCTTCCACCTTATCATTGTGACCTTAATCCTATCGAATTAATATGGAGTGTACTAAAACGACGTGTCGCTGAAAAAAATGTAGGACAAGAAGTGAAAAAACATCGTTAACATTACTGAAGAAGCATTTTCAAGTATATCTGCTGAAGAGTGGAAAAAGGAATGCGACCATGTGAAAAAAAAATAGAAGATAAATATCACCATGATGGCATAGCTGTAGGCAGTGAAATTGATAATTTTATAATTGATTTAGGAGATGATCACACGTCACATCGGATAATACGGATGAAAGTCATGATTCAGATGTATGTCCTTTAGATGATAACACGTATAGTAAAATAATAAATTTCCTTTTTTATTTCACGAATTTCATGATTTATGTTTTCTCCAACCTCGTTACCCTTTGCAGAGTTTGATAACTATGACATTATTATAAAACGTGGGTAGTTTTAGCCAGTTTCCCATCGCACGGAGAGCGAATAAACATGTATCTTTAAACCAAATATCTGCCTCATAATGAAGATAATTTATCTGCAGTATTTTACCCCAAATTTTGGTGATTTGATTGAACACAGATTTTAGTTCTACCAACCTAAAGGCGAAGGGAACTATCGCTTGAAACGCACTGACTGTACTATTTACTTATTTAGAGAAAAAATAAAAAAATACACCATCTAGCAATTTTCAGTTAAATTTATAGCTACAAGCCTTTGGTAGCAGTTGGCAACACACTTTTATGTAAACAATAAACATTGGTACTTGGCTAAGTATAAATTGTTTAATAATTGTACATGACACATGTATTATTGTATGTTATATCGTGTTTAGAAACAATTTCCACAAAAAATATATATAAATAAACTATGTAATTTTGCTGTTGTAAGATAAAGGTGCTTACTGAAATAGGTTCTGCGTCTGGTTTCGTTCAGGTTACTATGACAAGACTATATTTTCTCGAATATTTTGTTAAATTTTCGAAACCTACTTTTTAATTGATAAACCCAGTTCAAGGTTTAAAGATAAAATTTAAATTTTAAACATTGCTAGGACCCTTGCTTGAACCACCTCCTGAACAACAAAATAGGCATGGTTATGATCAGCTAGTAAATATTATTACGAGATTATGATTTAATGGAAGTGATTTGAAATAAAAAAAATTAGTATCTACAACACAAAACTTTTACAATCAAATTTAATTCACTGCTGGACATCAGTTATTATAATTTATATAGAACATGGTAAAAATTGTTAATTTACTCAGATTGATTTTGGAAGGAAAGGCTGTTGTTTATATAATATCAATTTTAGTAAGCAATCGGCCAAAAACTAATTATTTTATTTATAGCTTTAAGATGTAATTTTCCATAGATGAGTCAGCAAAAATATTAAGTTAATTGCAATAGTGATGCATTGATTTGTTCAAGTAATCGGTACACAATAATGCCAGCTGTGAACCAGATATAGGAAGTAAATCATAAAGTCAATCCCAATATTTTAAGGGGTAGTCCCTTAAAATATTGTGATTGACATTAATGGGGTCATAGATTTTACCCACATAAAAACAATAAAAGTGAGTGGTGGTGCACGGCACTATTATGTTAGAATTAGTTTTTATCACATGAGGATGCTATGCTGATATACTGTCCGTTATACTGTGTATGCTTGAATGACACATAGAAGACCTTCAAAACCTAATATAGATTTTTCTGAAACAATGTTTACAAGATTAATGCTACTAATGCGGGCTACACACCTTCAGTTTTAACTGTGCGATTTAACTGTACAGTCGAACTGTACAGTTAAATCGTTAGGTGTGTAGAACAAACAGTTGAACTGTACAGTTTTAACTGAATCTAATCAAAATATGAATAGATAAATCTGTACAGATAGAACTGTACAGTTAAAACTGAGAGTGTGTAGTCGAAACTACGCAGTTTTGTCACAGCGAGCGTGAAGTGAACATGTATCGACCTTGCTATCTGCCTTTGCGAAAACTTATCGACCATGGCTCAACGCGAATGTCTGGAAGAGTTTATACGACTATACCAATCGGAGCCTTCGTTATGGAAAATCAAGGCCAAGGATTATCATAATAGAGTAATAAAAGATTCAGCTTATGAAAAGCTTATTTTAAAACTACGCGAAATAGATTCTAAAAGTAATAATTCGTTTTCTTCTATTTTCTTTTAACACACACATTAGCCCTACGATCGCTAAAGCGTCGTCTATGGAGGCCATGATGATAAAAACTGAAAGATCGTATATTTTTACTTGGTCGTGTGTAGGCTGTATGGATCTACGTTTTAACTGTACAGTTCAACTGTACAGATAAAACTGAAGGTGTGTAGCCCGCTTAACAGAAATCAATGCATGCAAGTTTATATTACAGAAAAGTTAGATGTTTATTTTATAAAATGAGGAAACAAGTATATAAATAAACATTTTAAAAATTTATATAAGTACATTAAAAGTGCCCATATCCTTATTTTAAATAACTATAATCAATTTTTAGTATTATTTCTAACACAAGTCTTTTTAGGCCTTTTTAGGTTATGAAACAATTTAATTTACTAGAGTTGCTGCATAATTATATGGTTAAAAAGGGGCTGGTATAATTGTAGGGTTGTATTAAATAAATTATTTTATTTGCTAAACACTTGTGAAACTTTTTTAATTTTATTGTGAAGATTTGATTTTTACCTACTGTTTTTAAATCATGTCATGTTTTTCTGGATTATTGAAACATGCATATGCATATCTTTTTTCTTTTTATTTAATGTCATTATGTCACTTTCTTCTCAGATATTCTTCTTTGATGTCTATCCTTACCTCGCATGTCTTATTATTGTTTTATTTATTCTATAATGTTCAATATTGGTCATATTTGATTTTCCACGAAAAAGCAAGAATACATAGGTATATAATATATAAATAATACTCAGTTACATATTTAGCATGTGGAACATTATGTTTCTGTTATGCCAAAATAATAAGTTTTTCAATAAATAAATAAAATTTAGAAAGTTAATCACATGAACACTAAACAAATATTTGGGTTTGCTTTACAGAAACCTAATATTGTTATTATTATCTATTAGTATAGGGTTTTTTGTAAACATTGTTTAGTTGTTAGTTTTATAATTATAACTCTTTTTGTTTAGTAATACATAAAGTGCACATAAAAAATATTTCTTATTTATAGTAATGTTTGTTTCAGGGTGGGTCATTGCTGGGATTTATCTGTGTGGTATGCTCTCGCGTGGGCACTGCCAGCAAGGGTGCGTACTTCAGTTGGGTGTCAATGATAGCCTTTTGGTTTACCGGCATCCTACTGGGTTTCTACCTGTTTCACATCGTAGAGAAGTTCTACAAGATCCCGTGGCTGCGATTGGAGTTTTTGTTCGCGGCAGTGTGGTCGCTGCTTTACCTCATCGCCTCCATACTTGCTACTACTGTAGGGGATAACGCCCACTATGCAGCAAGCGTAAGTTTCTTATAATCTACACTAATATTATAAAGAGGAAAACTTTGTTTGTTTGTTTGTTTGATTGTAATGAATAGGCTCATAAACTACACTGGACCGATTTTAAAAATTCTTTCACCATTCGAAAGCTACATTATCCACGAGTAATATAGGCTATATTTAATTTTGAACAAAAATAGGGTTCCGTAAGATATTAGGGTTTTTCGGACACAAGGTGTAAAAAATCAACCAAAAAAGTTGCTTATTTTGCGTACCCTGCCTAAACCATTAAAGATAGAACCATAAAATGTTCTAAGTAATTGTAGAACTTATAAATATCTACAAAAAAGTCTGCGACACACTATACCTATCTATGTCGAGTGAGGCACAATAACCATAAATGATATAATGACATGGCAAAACGGCGTTTGCCGGATCAGCTAGTATCAAATATAGTGTTTAGATTCATTTGATTGATACAAAAAAGGCCCCATGGCCAGGTACAACAGTTGAGTTATGGGATTGAGATTTGGTACGAATTGCCTATATTCAAAGGAGTTTGTAATCACGTGGATAGTTTTCAAGATATTTGCTGAAATGTTTTACTCAACTCGCTTAACAATCAGTAATTTATTGATATCAGAGAATGAGATGTTAGATTTTCTATTCATTCAGTATTATTTTTTATAAAAGAAAATGGGATTATAGGAAATACCTCACTTGTTGTTAACCAAATATCTCCAAAATTCGAAGCCTTTGTACGTTGATGAAAATTTGTCATTGTCCATGATGTTGGTGTTTAGAAAGGAGATATAAATAATAATAAATAAATAATAGAGAGTAAAATGTTAGTGTTATAGATAACTGTTATTGAAGCTTTACTTTACTTCTAATTTACAGCCCTGAAAAAAATATCGATTTATGTACATTTTGCTATCTATACGATAGCGTACCCTGTATATATATAATAACCTTGAAATTTCACCTACAAAAATTTTACAATCATCAATACAACGGAGGAGTGAGAATGTAAAACAAAATACCAATGCGCGTTTCGTTTTATCCAGTCACAACCAAACGAACGAAACTATACGCGCTCGTTCGATTGTTATTGGTGAATAGCTCCATCAAATCGTTTAAATCGTGAACAAAATTAAACCCGAAATGATACTTCGAATATCGTTCGACTGTGTAATCATAATTTAACCACTGTTTTCATTCTCACGCCCATTGTATTAAATTTTTTAATGGAAATTTGTATTTAATATTAGTGACATAATTGAATTTCCTACACAGTTTTTCGGTTTCGCTGCGACGCTGGCGTACATGATTGATGCGTACCTCAAGTTTCGCTTAGTGCGGGCGGGTGGGCTGGCTCAAGGGTCCCGTGTCGTGTCAAAACAGACTACTGAAGTCATAACCCCTCCTGGGGGCCGCTATTAACATCTTGCAATACAGGAATACAGAATGGATAAGAACCATTGTAAATTTTTCATTAACGCACTAACCGACCGTCAATTATCTATCAAATATATTTCAAGTTAAACTTTTTTAAAGAAGTATTTCTAGGGCCACGAAATAAATAGGTACAAGATATGTTTGCAGCATTCACTATGGTCTATGCGAACGAATATTTTTTTGCAAATTTTTAAGACAATAGTTCTTAGCCACTCTCCAATTCATTAGGTACCTGATTGGTTTGTGTTTTAATTACTGCTCCGCGTATCAAAATGTCTTGATAGATGACAGTTTATGTCTGTTAAAGCTTAAACGATTTATTTTTTGTACTCATATTTGTATAAAGTTGTCAGTAAGCTACGCATCATGAGCAAAGCCCTGTGCGCCATGAAAATATGTACACACAGGGTACTGAGATAGTGTAATTGTGCAGCGCTGTAGTTATATCTATTCTTGGTTGATTCTATGTTGTACCTAAAAAAATCTCTTGACAACTATAATAATTGATTCGACAGAAATGCCATTCCCCATTGCTGTGTTATAAAAAAACTTGTTTGTTTATCAATCTCTATTTTTAGAGCCGAGAGCTCTAAAATTTATACTTATTTATCCTTGTATACCGAATATATTGAGCCATTTTTACAGTATTAAACGAATTTTACAATTTTCCTCATAGAATAACCTATACTTTATTTCCTTAAAAATGGCTGAATATATTTGTGTCTACACGCATGCTCTCACATGAATATATATTTTTATAATGCAACTATTTTATACACGATTGAATAAATCATATCTTTTCTGTAACAATTTATATAGCAATATTTTCTAGTCTTTACATCTCTTAAGTGAAAGTGGAAAACGTGTTTAAGTATAAATTTATTTCAACTGGCGATTTTAGCTTCTATTTCGTGTACCTTAAGGTATGATTCGGCGTCGAGCCTAACTTAGGGCTATGTATGTCTCCAATATGTAAAAATGTAATATTTTGAAATACGGCAGTCATATGATTGATTGATGAGCGATTTTATGTGTTAATAATTATGTATCAACAGTATAGAGCAGGGTATTTTCGCTCAAAATTTGTATCTGAGAACCATGACCTAAATGTCAGCATAGAAATTAGTATTATTGCTGTTTTAACTAAATCACTTTTTAGTTTATGTCTGTTAGTATATTAATACTTAAAAACGGTGAAATTGGACAGATTTAGTTTTTATAAGTTTGGAGTGACCCCTCCAAACCTAAAGTTAAGTTTAAATTTAACCATAATTTAGTATATTGTTACTTATTTGTTTTTAAGGTTTTATATATTTTAACGAATAAATTTAGTTACAATGTTATATCATACATAAAAGTTCTCTGCTGGACCAAGAAAACAACTGCTTGTGTATGTAATCTATGCCCCAGTCCAGTACTTTATGGCACACAAATTATAAAAATCAGGATTTTAATGACTAGTACATTAGAAACCATAACCTCAGACTAGCCTCAGATTTCTGTATCTGTTTATTTTGTAATTTTTCTTTAAGGCTAGAAGATCATCACCATCACACCCTGCTGACATTTCATATTTATCTTTATAATTTATATTTTTTTAAACAGATTATATAACCACAGTGAAGTGACTGATGCTTTCTTCGCTGTAAAAACGAGTGTCTAAACTGCAATTTGGTTAGGCCGAGAACTTTGCAATCTATGGTTAATTTATCAAACACTTAGAAGGGCCACACCAGTACCTGTATTGTAACACTTTTGATATTTAAGAAAAATACTATTTCTGTTACAAATTTGGTAATAATAAAGGTATTCAAATTTTCTTTATACAAATATTTATAAATGTATTATTTTCAAATGTTATGATGGAGACTTGGCACAGTTTTAGAAATTTTTTTGAAGCAAAGTAAATTTTTGTGTCTTATTTCTGTGTTATAATTTGTCAATAGATAGGTATAGGGAACGTGGTATCCATTTAGGTATCAATATTTCGTCGGATCAAAGCGACTTAGATCACATTTTGCATTCATGATACTACTATTATACGACTTAAATTATTACGTATGTTTGTACAGAAATAGTACTTCCCTAATCGTTTTATTCTAATAGTGTTAAGTGATGTTTTTTTATAATGCCTTATGAGAGTGCCTTAATAACCAAATATATTTCTTATTAATAATATTTACTATTACTAAGTATTTGTTGTGTTTGCTGTTAATCATTCCGAATTTACTATAAATTGTTTTGTTTTAGTATTTTTATTACATATTCAGTATAATCTGCCTTGATTCTTAATGAAATTAGGATTCGTGAAAGTTAAAAGACAAGTTCTATGAGTAAATGTATAAATTTCTCAAATAACCTAGAACATATCTGACGCTGTCAGCGGTTTTAATTTTAATTTTGATATACCTCGTGTTGTATTTACACTATTTTTATATTGTATTTATAAATTGCGCATTTAGATTCACAAAACCACTAATTTTGTAGCATTACTAATGCATTTTATTATTGCAATGTAATTTACGCTTTGTTATTTGAAAATTAATAAACTGTTTACTTAAATGTCTTTTTATTTTGAGTCCGTGGGATCAAATTATACCTCTGGAGAGTCAAAAAATTAATTACGATAAGCGAGAACTATGATAAAGCTTATGGGGTAATCTTTGGATCTATTAATCGATTTTGATAATTCCCTTACCAATAAAAAGCCACGTTATTTGTGGCTATGTATATGAAAATACCTAAGACTAATAAACCCTGGAAAATTAAGACTTGTGGTAGTCGTTTTTGTAAAGTAAGTCGAAAGAACGGACGAACGAAAACGTTTCTACCTGTCTTAACGATGAGATATATATGATTGAGCTAGTAGTCGCTAGTTATTAATAGTAAATGAACACAACGTCACAAAAAGTGATATAGGAATATGAGATCTGGATTATCTAGTGTTCGACTAGTGGTTCAGCGTGCACTCCCATCTCTGAAGCGTTTGAAACCTGACTGCAAGTTGTCTGCCAACCTACCCGTGTGTATCAGGTAATCTCCAGTACTAATGTAGTCCCTACTTTCATAAATGGATAATCTCCGAGCAATATATGGGTTTTCTTAATATATATAAATTACGTGTCACGGTTTTTGTCCGCTACTTAACCGATTTCAATGAAATTTGCACACCGTGTGCAGTTTGATCTAACTTAAAAGATAAGATAGCTTACATAAATATATAACTCTACTGTACATGTGTATGTCACTGAACTCCTGACTACTGAACTGTTTGTATGCGTTTGGGTGGAGCCCTGGATGGTTTAGATTCACAAATCAGCCCGGCAGATGGCGCTGCAGTCGGTACTTTCCTACTTTATTTAATATCCTAATCGCTTGAAATATGCAGGACAACGTCTGTCGGTCCGCTAGTAATTTATTAAATATTGATATCGGAAACGAAAGTTATTGTCATTAACACATAAAGTAGAGGTTCGCCTGTTAGAAACACTGTCTAAAAGAGTTTCGTGGCAAAAATTATCTCGCTTTTCCGTAGTTATATCTACTACTGGTAAACAGTAGGTACCTACTTTGGCTACTAAGTATATCTTGGCTTTAAGTTTTAACCCATGATTTAGTTAGATTATTGCACATCAGATGGTGCCACAGAAATTGAAAAAATACGAGTAAGGTCCTCCCTAAAAATATCTTTTTCCCCCCCCCCCACTGCCAATTCCACCCCCACAAAAAAAAAAAAAATTAATTTCTTTTGTTTTTTTTTAAATCCTTTAAGTCTATTTCCTCACCTTTTTCTTCTCATTCCCATCCCCCCCACCCCTTTTCCCCCTGTGTTTTTGCGAATTTTTCTTTTTTTTTTTTTTTTTTTCCTAGTATTTGAATATAAAATAATTAAATTCGTAGTTTTCATGATTCGTCGTTTTGATTTATCATATCATCCTAGGTTTAAGGCTTTATTAAAAAAAATATTCTACTTCTATTCGTGTTGTTTAATTCTCTATTATTACGTGTCTATTTTGAATATAGAATGACTAACTAAAAGACTTATTAGTATATAATGTATTTTATTAATAAAATAATTTTAGAACAATATTAACTTAAAATATACATGGAATGCACATCTTAACACCTATAATTTCAGGCGCTTTATATCTTCAAGCTTGAAGTCAGTTCTGAAAAAAACATGATTTTATACATACAAATCATACTACAAAGTATAATAAAATAAGATTACAAATAAATAAAAATAAAGGATTTTTTATCCTAAAAATTTTTCAGCAAGCAATATTCTTCTGTCATGATATTAAAATTGTAATTTACTAGTTAAAATATGGTCTCGAAATTTGAAAATTATGAATTGATTGTTGTTTATTATGATTGTTAAAATATGAATTGATCATAATTACAACCGACATAGACCAAAGTAATTTAGACAAGACAAAAAGTATAGGAGATTCTTTTATAGTGTTAAGGAAAAATCAAAATTCATTTATTCATAATAAACGTACGTCCGTGTCTGGAGATGTTGACTAGAGGTTTGAAAGATATCAAGTGACAATTCACAATGTTAGAGAGCATACTTTAGTATCAGTTACCTGGCAGCAAGAACTTGACGGACCAAGGCAGGTGGTAATGGCGCGGACGGGGCTGTAGGCCGATCGGCGGCGAGAAGTCCCGCTAGTGCCGCCAAACGGGCGGCTTGCTCACGGGCAGAGCCCGCGTTGCTGCCCGCCCATGCGCACACGCGACGGCAACGCCGCTCCACACAAACGCCGCTTTCCTACACACAAAACTCCTTTAATAACGCCAATTTATGACAATTTTCAACGTCTCTCTAGGTACATTGAAAAGGACTCGAGTTATATAAATACGTTAATAAAAATAACTATTTTAATATGACAGGACAGGCGAAAAAAAAAGAAATATTAACAAGCGCTTTACTGAAGCCCCACAACCACTTTGGCGTTGAGATAGACTACGTCAAGTTGCAAACATTTGAAACAAATTCCATTAGAATGCACTTCAATTTGTTTTGTTTAGGTTCCTAAATAAAATTTTAATTATTTGTGGACGCTTGGCGGACCCAACAAAAAATCCCCTCGGCATTTGTGCTGCGATATTCTATTGTGAGGAAGTTGCCTGAATCTGGTTAGCCCCTGCACTGAATTCTTCAGTTCTCATATCATTTTTACACGTGTATATCCTTTAGCTAACCTATTTTATTTATTAATAAGTGTTTGTTTGGCCTCATTTTAACATGTGTGATGTTTGAGAGCATAAATAAAATAATAAATTTTTTACACGTTTGGTGTCTGTGATTATTGTTGATTTCGATTAGTGGTCTATAGAAAAACGAACCTGAAACTACTACTACAAGGCCAAGAAGGCAGGACATTTCGTGATTTTCCTCGAAATATAAAGGACATAGTTGCCTTTAAATTTAAATACATAAAGCTATCTCCCAATTGACCTGTTGTTAAAAAAAACGCCTATTGTTCCTTTGATCAAATCGACATACTGTGTCTCACTCATCTCGATTTTTCAGCTTAAGACATTCAAGGTTATACGATGTTTGCCTTACCCTAAGGTTAATACACACTGAAAGTAAAATGTTTCACAGTTGGAACGCATAGCATCGTGAGACCAAAGCAAACTTACCCTATTATAATTATTTGCGAGCAAATTTTTCTGGGCTCTATTCAACAAGTCAGTGAGCAGTTCCGCGAGCAGTTCGTCAGCAGCGGCGGGCAACTGCGCACGAGCTTCCTCAGCTAACACGTCCAATGCCGCGGGCAATGCGTTCGCTTCTTCCTCTGCTTCTTCTACATATATAATAATAAAAACATTTAGTATATATAGTAAGTGTCTAAGGTAGAATATAGTATATTGTTTTTGATTTTCAAGGTTTTTATAATAAAGCAAGTCGAAATTTAAATTGACTTTTATTTATTTTACAACCAGCTGTTTATATGACTCATAGACGTTCTTAAGAAGATAGCAATAAAATACAAAATATTTAGTATACGTTCAGTGGGAGAGGATCCTTAGGGTTATCAGTTAACACAGTAAACGGTCGCGAGTTAAGGCAGGCTAAGAGTAGTATGGGCAGGAGTCTGGACAATTAAATCTATACGTCCAGTGCTCAACTTGTGGGTAAATAGATCGTAAATAGATCATCTTCTAAGATGGGGGGCACTCTCTTACAAAATCGTTAAGGTCCTCACACGAGTGTGGTTTCGCAGACGACACAGCGCAACACACTTCGTAGCTTACGAACCGCAACCTTCGGATTGGATCTGTCGCTTCCAGTCATAGTGAAAGCTATGGTGGAGGCTGACAGCGACGGACCGTGGACCACTTTCAAAACGTCCTGTGAGGCCGTCGTTACACTTAAAGAGAATGCGGAGAGGGTTCGGGAGAGTTACCCAGACGCCGACCCTCAACGCAAAAAAAGGCCTGGAAGAAGACGACGCGATTACGCACGTACTCCACTGTGACCTTAGCACAGAATTGGGCAACTCAGAAGTTGTGCTCACAGAGCAGACGCTTATGACGGAGGCACGGATTAAGGGAAACTGTTACCGCGCCTCCCACCCATAGTGAACAGATGGGGCTGTTGGGTTTTAGTGGGTAGGTGTCCATTGCACCATACGGACTGACTCCCACACTCCCTGCGTCACTTTTAAATAGTTGCCCCGGCGCGGGGGTCAGTAAATTGATTTCCCAACAATAAAAAAAAGGCTAAGAGTAGTATCGCCAATTACTATTTTAAAGTGTCCTTTTGCGGACCCCACTAACCTCCAAACTAACTAAGTAAGTAACTGAAGATATGGCACTATTAAATACTATTGTTTATTGTCTTAGGTTAGTGGCGAGATTTCACGGTAAGTAAAATCATGTTTGATTTTCGTACGATTAAATGTATTTATTTCATTTATAAAGAAGATTTACAGCTTGTAAATTATGTACAAAATATAAACCACTTTGTACACCAATAAAAAATCTTTACATATAAACCAGTACTTACTAGGTACTAATTAAATTGTTTGGTACACGCAGGGAAATATTTACAAAAAATACAGATACCGGCAAACTTCTTGTGCATTTAACAAGGGAGTGGGGGAAAGTTTGCGCAGCGCGGGACACAAACGTCAACTGATTTACCAATCACCGCCGCAGCGCACCATCGACCCAGTGATTCCTAAAAATCGCTTCTACGCAGGCAAGGACATTTGTTCTTGAACAAATGTCATTGATGAAAACATCATGATGTTTGCCGGTATCTGTACCTCAGTTACAAAAGATGCTTGAGACCTTTAGTCTAACAATACTCTAATATAATATTTGTAACCATGTACTAATACTTATAGACATATTTGAACAATTTTCTTTGAAAAATTAAGAAATTAAAAAGAAAACCTCTAGTTTGCTAGTCATAATACCGGTCGACATGGATTCGCCTTCACTCGTAATGACCGAGCATCGGTCTCTTCCGTAGTGTAACAGTGAGTAATGTCTACGTAGTGTAGCAATTATTCTGCTGGATGAACTCTTGCTAATGCTTTGTAGATATGTCTCCGAGATTTTTATATACAGTGTAAACGTAATACGTTATAACGAAAATAACACAAAACCCATACAATAACTCTTTATAACGCAACAGCCAGTCTCTATAACCGTCGACGTGCCGAAATTTCTAAGACACCTGAGGACTGAGGTCATAACAACCTTCTCGCCTTTGTTATTGTTAATTTAACTAACACGTGTGTCATTATTCTTAGATTACCTACATTGCCTGTAGGGGTAAATTTTTCTCTTCCGTCTCTATAACGAAATAAAATGCTCGGGCCTTTGAAATTCGTTATAAAGCGTTTACACTTTATATCGTATAGGCAGTGGTCCCCACTGTGTAACACGCATTTTACTACCTCCTGTTTGACACAGTTGTACACTTGAATGAAAGGATTTTGGTTTAGCGATATCTGTAGCGTCAAAGGTGTCTGTTTTGACTGTGCGACTAGAAACTCCCAAAATTTTGTCCAATTTTACATTTTATATTATTGTAATTACTCATACTAAGCTACTGTTACCATATCTTTATTATTTCATCAGTGTCAGTTTTCTCAGGTAGACTTTTCAACGTTTTCAAGGATATCGAAGCTGTGTCTACTAATTATTGTTTAAATGAAATCGATGTCGAGTTATTAACCTTTAATTATTATAACGTTTCACTAATTGGCCACCACGCCTACGTTCCGCGCCTTATTTTGGATCACTTGTAGAAAAGTTGCGTATTAATAGTAAACCATACTAAAATATAATAAATTACTTTTCAGGTAGGGTTTCTGCACGGGCGTTAAAGACTTATTTTGTAGTTAATAACCTCTGTTCGTCTCTCAATAAAAGAAAGAAAGAGAAAAAGAAGGAGACTGTAGTTTGGTTATCTGTTAAAGGCCCTCTTTCATAGCGGACTAGTATGAATATACCTCATCAAAATATCACAAACGTACGTAAAGAAGTACTTAACTTTTCTTCGTCATTAGATATTGTTAAGTTTAATCTTTTACCCTTCCTTAAATTTCCCTCATAATTGTTTTAAACCTTCTAATCGAATTTCTATATATGCTGTTTTATTGCGGTGATTCCTATAGTTTCTGCGTTTTTTAATGCCTCCAATAATTATTATGGTAAAGAAATCCAGACACCATCGCACACTTAGTTCGTAATTATCTGATTACTCAGATTCACTATAAACAATGCACACTACCCAACGCAAAAGTATTTCAAGGTTTTGTCTATACATAATGTAATATATTTAGTTTTATAGGTTGAATTCACTTTACTATAAGACAAATGAAACACCAATCACACAAAAACCTATTCCCTAACGCAAGTGTCTATTGTTCTAACTGTTCGACTATTGGTCCGGCTCGATTTTGGACCATATAATAAGATAATATGATTGAGAATTGTGTGAGAGTCTTGATTTAAATAAAAAAAACTTGCGAACCGACAATTTTAATTTAACTAAAAGAAGTAGTGAGAGCAGTATTGGCCTACTGGCTTCGACTCGACCCTCATCCCTGAGGTCGAGTCGAAGGTTCGATCCCCGGCTGCGCATTTAACATTCGTCGAACGGTGAAGGAAAACAATGAGGAAACCGACATGTCTTAGACCCAAAAAGTCGATAGCGTGTATCAGGCACAGGAGGCTGATCACCTACTTGCCTATTAGATTGTAAAATGATCATGAAACAGATTCAAAAATCTGAGGCCCAGACCTAAAGAGGTTGAAGCGCCACTGATTTATTTATTTTAAAATAAGTAGTGGAGTGCATCGTTTTTATATCTGGAAACTAAGGTCTATCCAATATGCAAATTTTGTACAGCAATATTAATTAGTTAGATGGTGGCATGTATGTAAACAGCATAGAAATTTAGTTGTTTATCATCTTTTGCTATATATAATGTTTCTAAGGAGTATTTTATGTAGTATGTAATGTAAATCACTGATATGGTTAACTGTTTTATTTATCGGTACTCGTGTTATCTGCGTATTGCCAGTAATGGACCACACCTAGCGTTATCAATTAAATACAGTCAAAGAAAGAGACACACAACTGTGCCAAGCAGGCCTACCTAAGATAGAAAAGGATAGCATACCAATATCGATTGCGGGGTCGACAAGATGATGCGCCCACAGCGCCGTTGTATGCTGCAATGCAGCTCTTAAAGCTGCGCGGGCATGAGCGGCAGCCGCGCGAAAAGCAGCAGCGGCGGCAGCGTAACCCGCGGCGCATGAGCGAAGCTTATCGTGTTCGGCGGCGGCGCGGCATAGAGGCTCGCCAAGAACACAGGCGTCGCCCGCCAATCGCTCCGCCCACTCCGCTCCTTGTTCCGCTTCCGTCATGTGCGCCTGAGAAATTAATTTAAAGCTACAGAACCTCTTATATTTGCCATTTATAATGCAAGAATGTATTAATTACCGAGTATACTGATAGCTTCCGCTGTAGGCATTTAAAGCCATTTCTGTCTAGATGGATTAAAGAAATAATATGAACACTATTGAAAATTAAATTCATAATTTGGATGGTATTTAAAAAAAGAAGGTCGAAAATAAAAATAATAAAATCAATACAGACTATAAGTGCTTATACTAACAAAGTACAGCGGGTCCGTGTCGGCGGCGACGATTCCGTGCGCTGCGTTACGACGCGGCGACGGGAACGGCAACGGGTCCGGCGGTGGCGCGGCTAAACGGCGGCGAAGAGCGGCGGCAGCGCGTTCCAGCTGAGCCCCCGTCTCGTTAACCACGCAACACACACCTTCCACACTACTCGTTGATACGGCACGTCTGTGTTCAGATAAAACTTTAATTACTTATTGATATATAACTGGGACCAAGTTTCAATCCTAACATAATATTCAACATTCGTCGCTTATTTGACATGACATTTAGAATGTCTTGGGCATATTAGAGTCGTTTGTTTTTATGTGAGAGCTTTACCCTCAGTGAAGGTACACATTTTCTTAAACTAGTATTAATCAACCTTTTTCATGAGAGAGCCCTTTTGGAATAAAATAGTCTAAAAGTCTCCCACATAAGCACTCCTTAACCATATCCTTTCATAATTATAAAATAAATATAGTATTCTTATTGTATTTTGGAACCATTAATTGTGATTGATTCTTAAAATTAGCTTTAAGTATTTTTACTTTGTTTAAGATGTTAGTTCTGTAACTATATAAGTCTACATTGTTATCTGTAATTTTATGTTTATTAATTTAGTTTTTGCACTTTACCCTACACTATGTGCGCTGTAGCATGGTGCGGCTGACAATTGCTTAATTTTTCTTTCAATTTGATTATATTTGTAGACTAGAACATTCTGGGCTAAATTTAAGTTACTACAGTTATTAATGATTTAATATATTACGAATGAACGCTGAAATACTATGTCATAATTTTTAAATCGCGGCAACTTTCAAGAGTGAAACGAAAATACTATTTCCTTTTCCTTACTTTTGTTGCTTTTTTTTTTTTGTTGCTTAAAAGAGATAGCTTGTTAGCCATAAGGCTGTTGTCTCCTTTTTGTTAATATTTAAATAATTTTTGTCAACTGACTGTATATGTTATATTAATGTATAATGTATTAACAAAGTGTTAATTATTAATAAATAAAATAAATAGGCATTCGCATATCTGAGATAAGATAAATATAATTTATTTTACATCAAATCAGTAGCCAATTTTTAAAACACTAGTTCTTTTGAGGCACTCAAACATAGACACAATAAAATAGAAGACACAAGACATGCGTGGACAATTATCATAATTATGCATGACATCATGAATCAGATAAATATTATTAATACCCTACCTATTTCATAAACTAAATAATTCAAATCTGACGCTTTAAACTAAAGTACCATTTCTGTCAAAATGTGTTTAAGATGCGATAAAATGTTGTAATGTTGAAAATGTTTATTGTATCTCAAATTTTACATTAAATACATGAGTTGAGACAGCCCCCGTAAGTAGTCAGAGACACTTGTGTTGGTGTTGGCTCGCCACTTCCCTTATTTATACAATATTGAGACAGTTGTTAGAAAAGAATACAAAACAAAACCCAGCTAAGAAGCAAAGCCGGTAAAAAATTAAATAAAATGACATGTAATTCTCATAGGTTCTCTGACGATTCTATGAACCTATTCTATGCATGCGTGGTTGTGTGTGTATGTGCGCACGTGTGTGTGTGTGTGTGAGTGTATGCTTGTTGTTAAGTATAAAACTATAATATAATTATTTATGTATGTCTCAAACTAGCGAATTCGTACTAAAATGTACTCAGTTTCCTCATATGTTAAAGTTTTTAGCTAATCTGTTATAACTTCCTTACATTCATACAAAACAAGGGAGTGAAATTATATTTTTTTTTTACTAAAAGAGTCAAAGCACCATTCAATAAGACCTTACATTAAACGGAACATAAATTAGGGTCGTGTCTTTTTCCGTTATTATAAAATTTATTTTGTATAAGAGATTTATTTTGTACAAGAGATTATTTAATACTGTATAGTTAAACACAAAGGCATTTGTTGTAAAGTGTTCATAATCTAATTATCAGACATAAATTATCATAAGATAAATATAGTATAAGTGCATACTCGCAGCTTTATCAGCTGTAGGTAATATAATGCGATTACAAAAAATTCTTGCCAAACCATAGATTTATATCGATAGATAGGCCGCAGTGAGACCGCGGTTCCACAGTCGAAGTGAGTGAGCTCACTAACCTGGGATCAGTGCACCCCTAAACACAGTGTTAGCCGGACGTGTTGTAAAGGACATTTGCGAGCACTTTAGTGTCACAAAATGCCATCGTGTGCCTTTCTAAAGTGCAACAACAATTCTAGAAACACAAATAAAGCCAAAGGTGTAACATTTCACTCGTAAGTATTGTGATTTGATTTAAAAACTTTTATTTTTCCTTCCGCACCGTCTAAAATAACAAATTTAAATGGCGAGTGCACGAAAGAGAAAGTAGTGTTTGCAACTAATGTAGGACAAAAAAGAGATGACACTATTTTCTCAGTACATAGGTAATAACAACAGATAAGTACAATGGCAGAAACACGATTTTTTGAACTACTCGTTAGTGTGCGTGTGTCGGCATTTTGTTAACGCACACATTCAAAAACAATGCCACAGTTTTTGGTGTCGGGGCCTATCTAACGATATAAATCTATGTGCCAAACCCATATATAATTATATAATCTTAAGACAAATTCAGCGTAAGGCAAATAAGATATAAATTGACTTAATATACTTCTTATAGTAACTTTAACTTCAGCTTTATCTGTTATGTATTAGTCTCAAGGTTATTTCAATGACAGATGCGAATTTACATTGCCAGTGTAGTACATGGAGTCGTGATTCATAAGCATAAGTTTTGAACCGAGTAAACGATTATAGAATGAAAACTGCGAGTGCGAAACCGCAACGCCAGTTCCAGTTTAGGAAACAGCGCGTGCGCTTCTGTTTAGTTGTTTTTTCAATTAAACTAATATTGATAGAAAAGCAAGATTTCAAACTTTAGGTAAGTTGATATCTCCAATTTCATTACAAAAGAAATGCAATGTTAAATTATAATATTTATGTTCAATTATCCAAAGACGCGTTCTCACGTATACCATGTTATTTATAAAAGCTATCACAACATGAATTCAATTTAACCAAAATCTATAAAGACAGTTATAAAAATAGTCGAGCGAATAATTCTGGTAAAATGAAATTGATATTTTTTTAAATATTTATATTTTAATTAAAGCTGGCTTATAACGTTTTAGTTGAGGCTGACACATTTTTCAGTCTGTTTTATTGTCTTTTTGTGAGGCCATATTTCTATTCCTCGGGAACCGACTTTCGACCAAGCATGAGCCGCCAGGGCTGCGTTATAGCTTAGGGTTTGAACCAAAATTTTGATACAATTTCGCGTAAATATTAATTAAAATCAATTGAACAAAATTTTAGTAACACATTGTTTAATCTTTGACGTAGGTATAATGGCGCAGCCGGCCGGTACGTGAGCGTTGTTTAAACATTGCTAAATTAGATGTTAGTAGGTACTTTATGATATAAACACTACATTGTAACGTTTGAGGGTGTTTATTTTTAGAAATCTTTTAGCATTCCTAGAATGTTTTATTTTTTTCTACTTAATATACGTAATGTATATACAATTTTCGTATAGCAGTGTTTGTAGCCAAGTAGTATATGTATATCGGTAGGGCTGGGAATAGGATAGTTTTTTCAAATTAATTAAAATAAATAACCGTATTTTTCTACCTTCTACCTCTAACCCGTTTGAAAATGTATAAGACAAAACAAAGTAAGTTTAGGTAATATTAATATAAATTAGTTTTAGAATTCATATTAAATTACAGCTTTTTACCATACGCGATTATCGTTTACATATATTATATACAACTAGTCGTCCCTCGCGGTTTCACTCGCGTTATGTAACCTGTCTTGCACATCATAAATTTGCGTGTGATTTGATCATTGTTATGTTGCAGAGTTTATGATATCTCATGTCATGTTCAAATTAAAAAAATATATAAATTCGTATTTATTTTGATGATAATTAATACCACATTTCGAAAACAAAGAATTATTTTAAAACCAATGATGAACATACAAATGGTAACTGTCGTAGATTTATTAAAAAATCTAACTTAAACTTTTAAAGGAAACCGATTATTAATCATACATAATTTTTCGCGCACGTACTTGCAAGTTTTTTTCATACTTAATCCGTTTGTATTAGGCGTTATGATAAAAACAAAACACTAAATAAAAAAAACTTACCTAGCTATATAAATTCAATCTAATTGATTTCACGGTTTCAAGCTTGCAATTTACAATTCAATTCTATAGCCTAGTATTATTTATAAACAGATACTTACTTTATCACAACTCACTTATGATAATGAAATATATTTAGGTCTAGTTAGTCATTAAACCTACAATGTAATTGAATTATATTAATTGTATATCAATAAAATTTATTAGTTGATTATGAATTCGATACAAAATTGCCAACTCCAGTTTCTATGTGACGATACTTTTAGGGAAACAATTTGTTATGTTAGTTCGAGGTGTTTGTGAGCCTCTTGCCGGTTTGCGATATATATTGACAATATGCATTTTCGGTATTTGTAACCTTGGAATCTTTATGATAAGGTTATATTTATATCCATAATCAACACGAGTAAGGGATTGCCTTAGAGCCAAGTTTCTTATCTCGTCGGATATCCTTATCAATAATTATGAGAGCTAAGCTGTTAAGTGGACCAACTCCTTTAAACGCATGATTTTATGACTTTTATTTACTAAGCATTAATTCATAAAATTTATAAATATCTTCTAGAAATTAATTTCACACGGTCTGGTTACAGGTGATGGGAACAGATATGTGCAGGAAACACCTGCCGAAAATAAAGCAATTGCTTATAAATTTTGAAAGGGAACCTAAAGAAATTCGGGGAAGGGAAAAACAACTGTGGTTCTTGACCGGAGAAGAAATATTCAAAACTTTATTTGAAGTGGGTCAGAGTATTGAATGGCGCTATCCAAAAATTAAAGATCAATCTAACGTATCTGAAATCTGTTCTAAGGTAACAGCCAATAAAGTCTGGCTGGAATCTGTTATTAGTCTTTACCCAAACTTTCGCATCAACTTAGATCTAACCTGCTCAGCAGACGATATTTGCAAAGTACGTTCTGGAATAGATGTGCTAATAAAAGGATTCTCTGGCATTAGTCCACAATTTGACAAAGTTTTAGAAAACATAAACGAAGAAGAAGTTGTCGAATTCGACAGGTGCTTAAAGATTTGGGTGGAAACTGGACATCGCCCTGACTTTCGGAATAAGCCTTCTGGTTTGCTTCAAGAACATTGGTGGTGGTTTTAATCTATTTGAAAGATAGAATAATTGAGATATAAAATGGAGGTCGATGAAGATAAATGGGTTACAAAGGCTATAGAAAATGTTGATAAATATCTTAACAGAGGTGGAGAACTCCAAGGCGATATTCCACAATTTCTAGGAGGGTCAGAGCTACTTAACACAATAGGTATGGCTATGGGTTTGCCTATTTGCAATCCAACAGAATGGTCTCAGAATGAATTAGAGCGAGCACTTAACGGGCAACTAGTTTTCTTCAAAGGAAAATCCTTAGAAGCTATAAACGCCGTTGCTGAAACAATTCGCAGTTGTTGCGACGGAGATGATAAGAATTATGTAACCGTATTACCTATTGAACTGTATTTCAAAGGAAAATTATATGAACTACCCATATTCAGAGTTCACAGATATCGTGATTCAAAAAAGTACTATGTTGACAATACTGGGAGGTACTACGACAGCGTCAGTGATTGGTACGATAATAACAAATTGCCTCCTTGTAGAATGGGGTATCCAGCTGATCTTACACTGAAACTCCGACCTGGATACAAATATTCTCATGTCCTTCTTAGCGGACACTCCACCAGCAAGAGTAGGACCTAAGACAGCGAGGGTTGTTGATACTGTCAGTGCAGTCGCCGGGATTTCTTCCGGCGTGGGTCTGTTATTTGCATCAGGTGGTTTAGCAGCTCCTTTTGTAGTAGCTGGAGTAGCTAGCGCAGTTTGGGGTTCCGCCCGAGCATCCAATACACTATATGATAGAGCCAGCCATGGAGAATCTGTTAACCCTTTCACTAACTCCGAATCAAGAATGTTATGGTTAGGTATTGCCGCCAATATAGCTAGTTTTGGTGCTATGGGCGCTACGATGAGACTTACATCACTGGCGGCGCGCGGCAGAGACGTATCAAATGCTTTAAGACTTTTCACAAATATTGCTAATGGGACAACCCTAACACTAAGCACGTTAGCAATTATAAATAATAGCCTTTATTTAATACAGCATTATGATGAGTTGTCATCCATCGATGTTCTTATGCATTTAGCTTCTGTCGCTTTTTGGACAAAAGGTGTGTTTACATACAAAACAGCAGGTACCTTAATCAGAGAAGCAGAAATACAGGCCTTTAACAATATTAACAAGGAACTTAGTCCTGAGGTGCAACGCGAATTAAATGAAGTGAGAGGCAGAGTTCAGAACGATGCCAGTCTTCTTCGTCAGTTTATTGCCGCTTCTCAATCCCAAGTATCAATTCAAGAATACTCACAAGCTTTAATTGATGGTATGCATTATTACGATACTGTAAGTAATATGAGCCCAGAACAAATAGAAGCTTTCTCCAGTTTGCGAAATGTTTTAAGTGATGACATGCACCTCATTAGAGGACTTCAAAGAGTATCTGAAGCGACAAATTTAAATAGACAGGGCACAGTCGAACTGGTTTTGGATATGTGGCAACGATATGCAGACACAAATTTTGGCAACAGGGGTGACATTACTTTGAGTGGAGGTAATCTTGTCTTAGGAAGTGCTCCACCAATTCGAATTAATCAAATGCCAGATTTGTCAGTTTCTATGATCCGTTTTTTCGGCGAGCATTTAAGCAGAATTGATGGCACAACTACCAATAATTGGTCTGTTCCTGATTTGTTAACACTCCAAAGCCGAGGCTTGTTTACAACTTGTCAAGCCACAGGTATCTGCAGAAGTGGGCATTCGACTATATCTTTAAATGGTAAATTGGAAATAAGTGTTAAAAAATTGCTGAGTTTGAACCCTGCTGTTTGTGAGCAATTGTTTGGTATGATTTCTCGATTAACGGATACTCAGTGCAGCGCTATTAATATACCACCTTATCATAATCTACCTTCAGATGTGGTCAAATTATGCGTTCGCGACCTCAGGTTACGGTTTGAGGTTCACAGAAGAGAAAGTGTGGAATGGGCCACCAGATGCGTAAGCAGTGAAGTTAGTTTACGTAATATTGTGCAGAGCGATTTGATGCCACACGAAAGGGATCGACTTTATACATTTAGAGCGGACGTTGACATAGTGAAAGCAGATCTATACATGAACGATTTAGTGAAGTTTGTCGCTGAACAGAACCCAAGAAATGTAAGTGAATTGGTTGCTTACAGCGAATTTGTGATGACGTACATCGAAGACGTAGCAGGAAATATCCTTGAAGACCTTAACAAAGGTAGAAGACACCTTCCAGCTCAAAAGAAAAAGAAAATTTGGATACGTAAGTACAATACTACTAAATTTTTATTTCCTATATAATTTGCAGTGTAGTTGTGTGACTTTCGTTACTGCTTCAGTTAGTTATTAGTATAAACAAATAATATACTTCAATTAATGTTGATTGAAATAGCTCTTTACAATAATAAAGAATACACTCTGCGTTGAGTTACAGAAATTTCCTGTAGTGTCCGAGAAAGTTTGTTTTATATATAAACTATATTGTGATAATTTAAAGTCATATTTTTTTACAGGAGAACAAGCCGCCCGTGAAGTATTTGAAAACACGAGCGCCATGACGCAGAAGTTAAATGATTTACTCAACATAGTGTCAAATACCGACATGGTCGGTGTTCAGACGGTGGGAAGTGGCCTATCTGACACAGAATTGGTTGCAGCAATCCGTTCAAATAGAATAAGGTTTGGTGGACGCATATCTGCTGCTTATCACATCTTTAAACATAGTACGGATCCGGTAACAGCATATGTGGACCAGGCCAATAGCACCATACGTTTATCCGCCGATCAGTATACGGTGACTATTGGACAAGAAGGCAACACCAGGCTAATTTCGTTTACAGATGATAACGGCAGCTGTATTGTTCTCGAAAGCAATGGTCGCGTTTTACTCTGTAGCTTTAGAGCTGCTGGCAGACAATAAAACACGAACGCCCAAAGTTGGCTCGAGAGAACGCCCCCGATACATAAAAAAAAATTACCTCTCGTAACAAATACGACTGATATTTTACTTTCACTCTGATACCATACATAATACTAACCCAGTTCCTCAAGTCAATTTATAGTTCAAACCTATAATCCAACCTACTTTTGTATCATAAAGTATTTCCTGGTTACATGTAATTGGCCATTTTCATCGTTATCTGTGCCCAAACATGACGGTTTTTTTAACACTGCTGTTTGTATCAAAAACCAGCAAATTTTTCTTTTTTTAATTTAGATTAGATTTCACAATGCTTATTCTGTACGCATTTTTGTATGATTTTTTTTACTTTTATTTGTTTGTACTCTATATTGTTATTATTTAGGCATTAAACGCATTTAATCGCACTTTAATAATTCTACTCTGTAACTGTAGGATTGCATGTAATAAAGGGTTGCTTGTATATCTAATGATGTTTTATTTGAAACAATAAGAAATTTGTCAAAATTTAATCAAGGATTTCCTTTTCCTCCCAGTAAAGTTAATCTTAATATATATAAATTACGTGTCACGTTGTTTGTCTGCTATGGACTCCTAAACTACTGAACCGATTTCAATCAAATTTGCACACCGTGTGCGGTTTGATCTAACTTAAAAGATAGGATAGCTTACATCTCAATTTATACCCGCAATATTATTTTATTGCAAATAATTTGTTAATTATTTGATAGTCACAATTCTAACAGATGGCGCTGTGTTGAAAGTACCAACGTTCCACATAAGCTACAATTTAATGGCATAACCACCAACAAAGCATGGTGGTCCCCATGACTGGTGTTCTCCTACCGTTTCCCATGAATAGTTTGCTACTATTTAATATAACAAAAACCTTAGCCACAGCAACGCTTGGCCGGTCTGCTAGTTATTTTATATAATCTCATTCGGTAATATTCTAATTATGAAATGAAATACAGACCTTTGTAGGCATATTTTATTTACATACTTCTTTAAGAAAATTAAAAAATTAAATTAAAGCATTATTCTCCTAAGAATTCAATGCTTTAAAATATTTTTTTAATTATTAAAGTACAATATGTCCCGACCACGAAGGTTTCAATTCAATTTAAGTACACATTATCTGTAGTGAGCGCGCTGGTTCCGAGCCAATAGAGCAATAATAGACTTTTTCCATTTTGGCGCTATTTCGTACATACGAATTTGAGCAATATTTTGTTGGATAAAACTTTAGTGGCAAAAATGTCAAACACTGATAAAAATTTAACTCCACCTGACATTCTAGAAACAGCTACGAAACTGACGAATAGTCTTTTGCCAGAAAAATCAAGAAAAGCGTACGACAAATGTTACCAAGATTTTATGACTTGGAAAATGAACAAAAAGGCTAACTCATTTTCCGAAAACGTTTTGTTAGCCTACTTTCAAGAGTTATCGGAATATTTTAGTGTTCGTCCTTATGGTCTACATATTCTATCATTAAAAGTACACTGAGTTTTTACAACGAAATTGATATTACCAAATATTCAAAACTTGTATCATTTCTGAAACGTAAATCATAGAGATTAAATAAAGTAGTGTATGCAACTGCATATAATTAGGTATTAGAACACTCGTGTAATCTTATTTTGAAAAAAACTACACTCATGTTTTAATATCTTCTATTATATGACAGTTGCATAAACTACTAAAAAAGATAGCCCCATCACAAGACTATATCTAACGTATTAGAAATATTCATCCAACTCGCGTTAGATGCAATATATTTATAGCTTCAAGCATTACATTTAAATACAGCCATTAATTATTTTATTGTATATGAATGAGTAATGGAAGAAATCTCTAAATAGCAATAAGGCAACCCATTGCACCATGTTTTTAAGTTTATTGTTTATATTATCTTTATTTCTTTAAAAAAACTTAACCAAAGTACATCTCTATAATTATAAGCAAACGTTATAATGATTTAACAATGTTGTAATTGCACAAATATACATACTTGCAAGTGAAACAGTTTTGTAACATTCTAAATTTGCACAAGATGTTTGATAGAACTTTGACACCTACCCTCTGTACTAGTCAAAAACTGTATCACGGCGAAGTGATAATTCTAGTATGTGCCATAAAGCATCAATAAATAATATAGAACTAATATTAATTAATCATTTAAAACATACTCTAACCCACGAACAAATATTATGAAAATGACACTTATCATGTAAACATGAGCCACTGAATTCTGACATACGAAGCGTCTATTGTCAGCAACAATTTCTCTAATGAGCGTTTTTAAAGCACAATTTGTTGAGTACCGCCAATAGAATATTTCCAAACCAATTCGACAAGCTCCTTCAAGAAAAGATCGTACCAAAAGAATGACCGGCAATGCCATTGCCAGCCTTCTGGCAGTGGGAGTGTTGACGGGGGCGGTATCACTTTAAGGTCGATTCACATATATCAGTGAAGCCACAGTACCGGCACATGCGAATATTACATTTATGCGAAATATTCTTTCATACATTCCCTATGAACGCATTCCCACTTGTCAGTGTCAGTGCCGACACCGGCAATCACGGTCGGATTCGTTGACAACGATATTTTTTGTCGGATCACTGACACCGTGTTATTATTTGTTACATTTTGTTTATTGCAGAAGTATATTGAAGCAGCTCTCTGACATTTTAAAATATCTTTAACTAATTCTTTGTATAATGTGATGAATTCTTCTTCCGTCTCTCATAATTGCCATGCTTCATGCACCCATTTCCTTTTTTTTCCTTGATGCTGCTCTTCTTCTTCTGAAGCAACAGCTATCATTGCTAGCTCCGTAGTATTGAACAGAGCCATAATCACGTTACTTGACGACGGACACGTTTTCACTGAAGCTCCGTAAACTGAGTACTGACATGTGTGAATTGAATGAGTGGCGCAATACTGCATCACTGATACTGAACTGAGCGGACACGTTGACGGAACTGTGGCTTCACTGATATATGTATGTGAATCGGGCTTTAACATTGTGTTTGCGCTAAATCAGTGTCAGTCAAAGAAGGATGACAATTGTCGATTTGACTTTGACACATGAACCGAAAATGGTAGGTTGTATTCCGTCGTGTATAAAAAAATTATGAGCGTAATTGATTTTAATGTCGAATTACACCCCATATATTTTTCATGGTAGAAATATTTATGTTACTCTTTTAGTAACAAATACACAAAAACTCAGCATATTTTGTTTATATCCATTTCAATTTTTTTTTTTAAATTATATATTTCGAGGTTATTTGCTTTTAATTTCATAAAAAATTTCATCTGCATCTAGAAAAAATTATAGAGCAACACACAAATATACTGACCTGATCACCTTCCTGGCAATAAAGAAGACATCATCCACTAAACTGGAAGTCGTGACACCTGGCTGCGGCGTGGACAGCTTCAGCGCCTTACTGACGCTTTCTTCTAAATAATACCTGGAAAATCAATAGAACCGTGTCTTTATATATTGTATCAGCATATAGTAATTAGTAAAATTCAAGGTCCAATCTCGTCTTACGCTGTCAAATATGTCAAACATAAAAGGCTCGTAAGACTAGATGATAGTTTGATTAATGTTATAAGTGTTTTTGTCGCCGTCATTAACAAGCAGGGTATTTTGGACACTTAAGACCGTTAAAATTTATTGCAAAGCTATTTGAATGTTGTAATGAAAATAAGCGACAAAAACAACAGTGTAGATTATATAATAGGAATAAAATTAAACATAACTTTTGTTAATTACAGTGCATCATAAATAGCTTTACAATGCTTGCATAAAGTCAATGATTTCAATAATAAACATTTTGCCTTTCTTTTCCACCGTTCTCTAGCGCTATTCCGAAATCGATTCCTTCCCGAAATTGATTCCTTCAACCTCTCTTACAGCTTCGCAGAGCTATCTTTTCCAGAATATTGCAATAATTTATCATTTATATCTCTCTTTAGATCACATATTTATAATTTGTAAGTTAGTTAGAAATAGTTATTAAGTATAAAGCATTCTGTGGCTAACTGCTAAAGGAGTTTTTAATGTTATTTTTGTGGGTTCCTAAAAAAATTGTGATCTGTTTTGTTTTTAATTTATGATTTTGTAATGTGCCTATGTATATGTCTATTTTTTATTGAGGTACATGCATGGTGTTTTTATGTTAATGATTCTATCTCTTTTAGTCACACATGAGACAAAAGAGTGCAATTACACTAAATTTAGTTTTAATTATAGGTAAGATCATACCTCTCCAGTGTAAGATAATGGCTCAGGATATCTTGGGCAGTTCTCGTCATATCACTGTCAGCTATGATCTTTTCCACCGACTCAACACAAATGTTACGCGCTGTTTCGTCCATAGCACTTAACTGTTCAACATACAAAAACTAGGTTACACAACATTGAATATGGTACATCGACGCTTCTGTATATGAGATAGCTTATTCTTCAAATTGTGCCAAATTTTTTTTAAATATTCGATTTTTTTTAAGTCTTTAAATTTCATTTAGTATAAATATTATATTATTTGCTAAGGAAACAAAAAAAGCAAGAAAATAACGTCATTCTAGTGTCGCACCCGAGGTGGAGTTACCGTTTTATCAGGTCTACGATAAAAAGTAATTGTAACGTGAATTACAACAAGTAACTTTGTTCAAAGTTGCGGCAGACATCATTTACAATAATTATCATAAATGCTAATTTAAACGAACAAAAATCAAAAGAGGCGCGTTTTTACTTAAAAAAATTAATTTGGTATACCTACGCGCGGTTTTTTTACAGCCGGTATCTTTTTTTTGTGTTGTCGTTCATCCGCTATCGGCTATCAGCCATAATCAGATATTTTCTGAGGTTAATTACGTACAGCCGGTATCTATTTCATACAGCGATCGTGATAAATCTCTTAGGTGAGTATTACATTTTATCTACATTCTAAATTCAAATAATTTAAGACCCAATAAAAAGTTGTGATAAAAGAAACTTCATTAGAGCACTCTAAACAAAATTTTTATTCGGATCTTAACGACTCAACGATCCGAGTTTGAATACTTACATCAATCCGTCTTCTTAGAAATGCAAAGTACAGGTAGATACGTTGATGGGCCATCGCTAGTTCATTTAGTGCAGGTTCGACGGCCAACGATGATTTGGGTTCAGGCAATCGTCGGGCAGCAAGCAAGGAGCGGCTAACAGTGCGTACAGCAGCACATATTGGGGGTTGAATTCGTTTCAAAGCGGCCGGTAGTGTGGGGCCATTAGCCGCACTTAACGCACGTATACGTTCGAGAGCGGCCGCGCCCGCTTCTAGTACGCGGGTCAACGCGTCAGCGTGCGCTGCCTCACCCCCGCCCCCTGATACAACGCTGCAACGACGCAGCTTTATTTCTAGCTGTAAATTAGATAATAAAAATGAAAAGTAAAAAAAAATATATTATTGTTTTCCCATTACTACATGTTTCGCAAGTTTTATTCCATTAATATATTTCGATTCCACAGTGACAGGATTTAATTCAAATGGAAATTTAGTTAAGCATCCATTTATAAGCATGTATATTTAGTTTTCATTTCTAACTTTACACAACTGTTTTAAATGACATTAGCAAGTGATTTTTATTAAGTAAAAAAATGTTTTTTTCATTCGATATATTTAGATTATTAATCAATTAATTGTACCTACCTAATTATAATTTAGCAATCCATGCACATAAGTAAAAACTAATCCTACCAGCATATCAGAGAAATATACCAATACAAAAATATAACTGCCACTGAAAAGTTTTAGGACTAGTTGGTTACATAGTGATATTATTTGGAGCATTTTGGAGGTATATTAATTAGTTATCTATCATTGAAATCATGGACATTTCTATCCACTACAGAGACATCAAATACATTTTCAAACAAACATCAAAAACAATAAACATTTTAATAATTGGTCAAAACAATTGTTCACCTGTGTTGCCAAATACTTGCTCAGCATATCTACTCCTAACTCAGCACAGCCAATCTGAGGGAAGAGTTTAAAGAACTTCTCTACCGACACATCATCTTCCTTTCCCGCTGCTTCCTCAAACCTACAAAAATATTTCACCTAATTTTTATTGATTTCAAGTGTTTTATTCAATTCAAAAATTTAACTTCTTAAAAAGTACAATATTTTACACACAAGCAAAGTTACACTAATGAATGCAGTACACAAAATTTTACAAATATTCCGCTGTCAGTAATTTGTCTACAAGCTATGAATATATACCTTTATACAAAGGGATATTAAATGATAGTATAAAATGTTTTTGATGACCTCATAAATCGAATACAACAAATTACTTTTTAATAAGGTGATCTCGTAACGTATTGGCCGCAGCAGTTATATCCTGCCGTACATCTGCATCTCCTCTGGCACGAGCTGCTGCCACTGATGCTGGCTCCATACTTAAGAACCTTGAGATGTGTCCAGCAGCTGAAGGTATGAAATTATTATACATATTTCTACATTTATCTCAGTCTGGTCTTTTATTTCTTTTGATATGAACACTGATTTACCCCTTTACTTAAATGAAAAATTTAAAATTTAAATGACTAAGTATCTTAATATATATATATTACGCGTCACGTTGTTTGTACGCTATGGACTCCTAAACAACTTAACCGATTTCAATCAAATTAGCACACCGTGTGCAGTTTGATCTAACTTAAAAGATAGGATGATTATATATGTAAGCTACATATATAAAATTCTACTGTACGTGTGTATGTCACTGAACTCCTATTAAACGGCTGAACCGACTTGAAAGTTTTTTTTTTGTATGCATTTGGGTCTCTCCTGGATGGTTTAGATTAATAAATCAGCCCGGCAGATGGCGCTGCAGTCGGTATTATCGTACTTCGTTTAATATATGTTGGCGTAGTGGCTTCAGCGTGCGACTCTCATACCTGAGGTCGTAGGTTCGATCCCCGGCTTTGGACCAATGGACTTTCTTACTATGTGCGCATTTAACATTTGCTCGAACGGTGAAGGAAAACATCGTAAGGAAACCGACATGTCTTAGACCCAAAAAGTCGACGGCGTATGTCAGGCACTGGAGGCTAATCACCTACTTGCCTATTAGATTTAATGAAACAGATTCAGAAATCTAAGGCCAAGACCTAAAGAGGTTGTAGCACCACTGATTTATTTATTTTATTTGTATAATATCCTAATCGCTTGAAATATTATGCAGCACAACGTCTGTGGGGTCCGCTAGTCTACTATATAATGCACTACAAGTGCAACCAATAAAGCTAACAAGTATTAATGTTATCATATATAAGAATAGAATAAATAAATGAAAAGTTTATAGGATACAATAAGTGGAAAGAGCCTGTCAAGGTTCATCCATGTTTGTTTTTTAGTATCTATATGTTTACCCATTAAAATTATTTATATCTACTTCACCTGTTTCATAATCATGTGCTTTAATAGCAGCGTCAACTCCAGCACTGCATACTTTTAGATCTATCAAATCATTTACCCTCTGCTGACATTCTGCAACTCGGGACTAAAAAGATAAATTTATACTTGTGGTTATCATCTTGTAATACAGTATTTATGTCATCCTCTCAATAAATATAACTGATAAAATAATAACAAGTAAACGAAATCCGTAATAATCAACTTACTCTAGCTAAGTCTAGCTGGCGCACTTTTGCGCTTACACCTCTAGCTAATGCTGCAGTTTTGTTAACCATATCAGCTGCATTCAGGGCTTCAAATTTTACTTCACCCAGTTTTGTACATGCTTCACTAGTAGTTCGAAGCCTTCCCTCAAGAACACACGCTTTAGATAGTGCGTTTGATAAAGCATCATTCACGTCTGACTGGAAAACCAATTTACATATACAATTACAATGTTATTGAATATACAGAATTTCAAGAGTTGTATAAACCCTTTTTCAAATTTGTTTATTCCGGGAAAATTTATAGTTCACTACAAACCTCTTCTTTCTCTATTTCATTAAGTGCTTTTTGAAGACCATCTTCAGAAGATACGTCATACTTTTCTAATAATAAAGCTATAGACATTTTTATTACTATTACAATCGAATCTCGATACCTTATTTTTAACTAAATAATTTAACAAATAAAGAATGAGACTCAGCAATCAACACGATTCCGAATTTGATAATTTAGACTTTAGAGTAACAAATAAACAGCTGATTTTATTTACGGCTACTATTTGACAATTGACATAGAATGAAGAAGAAAATATTCTGAAGCTCTCTGTCTAAGTCTGTGGTACCCTATAAAGTAGATTATAAATATCGATATAATTTAAATAATTGTTTTACAAGCGGGCCTACCTTGAAAGATATTAGAGCGACTCATGGGCATGTGTAATACCTTTTCAGAATCCCTATTAATTGCGCCAAAACTTGTAATACAGGGTCACTTTTCAGTAGAGTAATTTTTTTCACAGTGGGGGCCGAAGTAAACAAAAAGTTATGATTTGAAAAAAATATATATCATACGATATATTTTTTTAACTTAATATTATCTTCAAGACACTCAATAAACAACTTTAAATAGTATGTCTATCGCAAGAACTCATCAGCGCCAATCTAGTGAATATTATGAAAAAAATACAGTTGTAGATTTTTTTTCGAATTTTAATAAGAATTAGTAAAAAAAGTCAATTTTCTTATAAAAAGCAAAATAAATTATAATTCTGCAGGGGTTGAGCTTAGAGACCTCCCATAGAACAATTTATTGCAGCTGATGACCTCATCTATCCCCTATTTGCGTTTGATCCACGACTTTTTATAATCAGCAGGCGAAATCGCGAACATTGCTAAGTTTGGTTACAAGCGTGAAGCGTTTTTAACTCTTGGCTTGTGTCATTGTCATTGTCAACTGTCATCTTTCAAAACATACATTTCAATTTCAGTAAATGTTAATGGCAATTGCAGTAAATGTACAAGCCAGAACAATCCCTAAAGTCTGTATAACATAACAGTAAACATAAAAATTTTTGTGATTGGGAAATCGATGTATCGTTACATAAATTGAAATTAGGTCTCTGCCCTCGGGGCTGATACTTAATTGTTCGCCCTCCAAAGAGGATTACTTTAGTTGTGCAGTGTGAAGAAAACCTCAAAGGTAAGTGATTATAGATCATTGCCATTCACATAAATTAGTACGGTTGAACTAATACAATAATAATGCTGTGCATATCAAACAGCAGGTTCTACGAACCTATTGTATACTTAATGTGCGACATGACAATAAATAGTATGATTTATACAAGGTGAAGAGTACTATTTTGAAAGTAGTAGTCCTATGAAGTTAAACTTAAAGAGGGCTGGTTGCTCACAGATTGACTCCGTGTGGGGCTGGGCTTCGCCCCCGCTGCGTTTGCAGCTGGGAAACACGCGCGGGCACAAAAGGTATTAATTCCTTGCTAAAGAAATTGTCAATAGTGAATGTATGTTGTTGCTCAATTGTTTCAGTTGTGTTTTGCTTTTGTGCAACACTTGTCCGTGTAGTAATATGTATAGACCATAACATGAACATATATCAATTTAAAATAATATCATTGTATTGGTTATACAAAATAAATTTTAAACACTGACTTCAATGTTTAAAAACTCTCTTCATTGTCAAAGATTCTGACTCCAATTATTACATATATATGATGGCAAAATAAGTAGTTTTATACATATTCAAAACATCTCATTAATAGCTAGTTTTATGTTTTAAAAAATATGTAAATAACAATAGAGTACTGTATATAATTTAATTTTGGCAATACATATAGACAATGCTCATTCAGTATTGCTTATAGTGAAATTCTAAAACCTTCATTTTATTTAGTTTATATATGTGCATAATGAAGAAATGAATTGATAAGTACATGAAATTTATGTTATATCAATAATAATAGCTTTAGTAAACAGTACTGAGTTTAGCAAAGCAATGTGTCTTCCTCCATAATGTAATTATACATTGCATTTTTGCTAGGATGGGTGAAGGTGGATCTCCCGGAGGTGGTGGCAGTGGTGTGGGCGGTGGTGGTGCGCGCCTGTCCCACACTTCTGAAAAGCACCCTCGCTCCATTCTTGGAGAACTGTCTGCGCTGCGTCGCCATCGGGAGCTGTGTGATGTTGTCCTTAATGTTGCCAATAGAAAGCTCTTTGCACACAGGTCATTAATTAAACTTTTATAAGTGCAGTTTCTTTTTAATACTTGATTCTGCACACCTACCCCAAGACAAATTTGTTTTCTTGCTTTGCAACAGCTTAATTTCTGGAAAGAAAATTCCTACATCAAAAAAACCTTTACTATATTGTGTGTATGGTATATACATTGAAATTTCTTCGTTAAAAATAATTTGAACCCTTAGAATTTAAGCTTGCTACTTGAAGCTTGTTTCTTCTGTGGAACTGCAAAGTATTCATATGAATTTACAGGGTAATATTGTCAGCATGCAGCCCTTATTTCCGTGCAATGTTTACGGGCGAGTTGGCGGAATCTCGGGCAACCGAAGTGACCATTCGTGATGTAGACGAGCATGCTATGGAGCAGCTGATTGAATTCTGCTACACTGCACATATTGTTGTAGAAGAGAGCAATGTGCAGGTGATGTGAAACAGCCAGTTTACCGTTTTACAGCGTAACATGATTTCTTCTATACTTATATTTTGTTTCGTAGGCGCTTCTACCAGCAGCTTGCCTACTACAGCTGCAGGAAATACAAGAGGTGTGCTGCGAGTTCCTCAAGAGACAACTAGATTGTTCGAATTGCCTTGGAATACGCGCCTTTGCCGACACACACTCTTGCCGCGACCTTTTACGTATTGCTGATAAGTTCACGCAGCAAAACTTTCCTGAGGTTTGCATAGATGATACTATCTTACTTTATTTCTAATAATGTATTTATAGCAAGTTGTAATGTATTTCTTTCAGAAGTAGATAATGTAATTAGACAGCTTACGTTTTCATGTTATGTGTAGATATCAAAATTGGTATCACATTACTTGGTTTGATTTGCTTAGTATTTATTTATTACATAATTTAATTGAAGGGGGCATAAATAAATAAATTAACAACTAAACTTTTATAATATTTAAATGAGTCATAAAACATTAAAACCTTCATTAAAAAAAAAAAATCTGACCAACACCAACTTGCATTAATTTTAAAAGTGTAATATGTAATCATAGATGCGGAAGCAAAAAAATGCTTATGCTCTAAATATGATTTAAAAGAATTAACCTTGGCACACTGTAAACATTTCAATGTCTTTTCATCGTGTTTAACAGTATTGTGTTTTTAAAGTAATATCTTTGAAGCCTTATAAATTATGAAACAAGTGGAAAGTTTTTATTTTTGACCTCGCACAGGCTACAGTTTAAGTAACTTTATTTATGTTGAAGACGCAAAAGAAGTAGCGCTTAAAAATGATTAAATTGTGGGTGTACGTACTCGGTGGTTCTGAAATAATAAATTCAAAAAATAGTATATAATATTCGATTAGTAATAGTTTATATGGTGTCACCTATGTGCCTATAAAGTAAAATTGTCAAGGAAACAAACAGAAATCTGCGTTTTGGTACCTATCAATATAACTGTTTTAGTAGGTATAAAGGGTGGAAAATTATGTGTCAATTATGTGTCATTTGTAGGACTTTATATTTAAATGTGTCGTCTACAGGTAATGGAAAGTGAAGAATTCCTCTTACTGCCAGCGGCACAGCTGATCGACATTGTGTCGTCCGACGAGCTGAATGTCCGCTCTGAGGAGCAAACCTTCCAGGCCGTTATGTCATGGGTCAAGTATAACGTTGCTGAGAGGAGGCAGCACCTAGCTCAGGTTTTTTTTAAACTATATTACACATAATCAATTTAAATAAAAATACTTAGCTTAAAAATTTCCAAGAATGTTGCAAACGATGAACGCGATAAACGCGAATCTATTACATCATATACGTAAGTCGAGGTTTCGAATGCTTTTTCATAATTGTGGTCAGAAAAAGAATGCCACGTCATTTCATATTATTATTGGTAAAAAAAAATCAAAGTAGCTGAAATAAATTTATTTTACCCCCAGAATTGTATTTGGACACTTAAATAAAATCCTTTACTTTACTGAGTTCTTGTGCGTGATATTTCTACGGTGTCTATATGTCATTTAAGAAAGAAACATGATTTTTTCAGGTGTTGCAACATGTAAGACTGCCATTACTAAGTCCAAAGTTCCTTGTTGGGACCGTATCTGCCGAGCTGCTGATACGAGCCGACGATGCTTGCCGGGACCTCCTTGATGAGGCCAAGAACTACCTTCTACTTCCCCAAGAAAGACCTTTAATGCAGGGACCAAGGACCAGACCTCGAAAACCCACCAGAAGAGGTAAGTTGATTTAAAAAAAAATTTTTTTTAACCAAATTCATTTTTTTTCAATAGAAAATAAATCGAACAAAACAATCTAAATAAACTAAATTGTTTGCGTTCACTGAAGTTGTTTCTTATTTGCTGGATTTTTTCGATTATATGAAGTGAAGTTATTTTTTATTATATGTAATAAATAATTATGAAAGTGTGGGTAACTGCCTTAATGTTATCACTGTAACGTTTTAAATGTAGACAATCTTGCGAATCCATTGCAACATAGTAAATGTATGAACCATTTTGCAATATTCTGCCAGAGGAGGTTCTACTTACATGTTATTGGTTCTAGGCGAAGTTCTATTCGCTGTGGGCGGTTGGTGTTCAGGCGATGCAATAGCTTCAGTAGAGCGATTCGAGCCAGCGAGTGGTGATTGGAAAATGGTCGCGCCCATGAGCAAACGGCGGTGTGGCGTTGGCGTAGCTGTACTACATGATTTATTGTATGCAGTTGGTGGACATGATGGCCAGAGCTACCTAAATAGTATTGAACGATATGACCCCCAAACCAACCAGGTATATTCCGGCTCGAAGGACCATTTTAATCTAATCTCAACAAAACATTTTGTATATGAATTATGACAGTGCTCTAGAATATGGACCTTAATATATATATTAGGATACTCGCCAGACCCATTGAAACGACTTAATTGATATTAACGCATTATTTATTATATTTTAGTGCAATGTTTCTAATGCTTTACAGAAGTAATTGGCTGTGAGACTTTCGTAAATTATACTACAAAAGGCTCCATATATATAATTAAAAATACACCAATTCGACTTAGGGTCCTTCAATATAAGAGCGTACCAATTCTTAAAACCGGCAACGCACTAACGGCGTTCTGGCAGTGTGGCAAAACAAACTAGAACTGATAATTTATAAAGTGTTATCGAACGGTCCAAAGCTTAAGTACGTTCGTAGGCGTATGGTTGTGATAATATATGAATATACGAATTTTGTTCTTGATACATTTGTTTGTATAGTGGTGTGGCGCTGTAGCACCGACCTCATCCTGTCGTACGTCAGTTGGCGTTGCGGTGTTGGAGGGCGCATTGTACGCTGTGGGTGGACAAGATGGCGTACAGTGCCTTAATCATGTGGAACGGTACGACCCCAAGGAGAACCGATGGACCAAGGTACAATTAGAGTTTTTGAAGTTATACTTCTTTAGGCGCGTTATGAAAAATTTATGAGAGTGAAATTTTACAATGCGCGCGCACCCGTGACACAAAATTAGGAGTGTGATTATAGCGTGCGCGAGCGAGATAGGAATAAGACAATCTACAAGTAAAAAGAAATAGAATATGCGTGAAGTTCGTATGCCAACAATTTTGAATGACCATAATGACATTTGTCATTTACCTTTTAAACAAATAAAGGAGTTTTAATTATTTTTTCAAAGAAATTTAGCGATGCTTTTTGAATTATAATCAGAAGTGATTTAAATTGAATATTTAAACCAATACTAATTAATATTTGTGAAAAAACTGTGCTCATCAACCTTCCTAAGTGCTTCAATACAATTGAGGTTAACTATCCGTATGTATTATTATTATTATCGAGTAATGTTTTGATTAAAAAATTAACCACATTGTTTAATCAAAACATGTAATTTTTCTGATTTTATCTAGCAAATATAAGGAAAAGAGACAAAAAACAATTGATGAATCAGTGTAACTGTACTAAATTGAATACAAAAAAAGAGTTTTCATCTTATCGCTGTGAAACATCAAAAACTGGAGGTGGAACAAAGCCAAACTATTTTTAATATTGCCAAAGAAGTATAACTTCTTACGCGCGTACATAAGTACACGGACCCTTTTTTTTTAGTTTTAAGACGTACAGTCAGTAGTATAACGTATTTTTATTGATAATACTATATTGTATAATAAGATTTTTGGTTTAGAAATTATTCAACGAAAAATCATGTGACCACAACTCCTCCACTTTGGCCAACCCATAATAAGTATATCATTAAAATTAATATCTTAAGTATCAGGAATAATGCAATTTTTTTTAGTGACGTTCCATGTATCTTTGTTGTAAGGAAGCTTTCTGAGTAACAAATTTTAAATTGTTGAACAAACTGAGCTACATAAATTGATTGATGTTATAATTCCAGGTGGCAGCAATGACGACTCGCCGCCTGGGCGTGGCCGTAGCAGTGCTGGGTGGATACCTGTACGCTGTGGGTGGGTCAGATGGACAGTCGCCTCTCAATACGGTCAGTCTTAAATATTCCTGTCCTATTTGGTAATTTCGGATCTATTGAAACTGATCATAAACGCAGGAAGTGCACATGTGCCTCTTATTTCGTTAGTCAAATTAAGATTGCACTCATGTCTGACATGATATAGTATTACGAAGAAGGCGAAATTGATAAGTGTACTGTTACTGGGGCTCGAGACAAAATCACATATCTTCAGGCGTGACCTACTTTTTAGGTGACCCAAATTTTATCACCTGATAGGAATCAGTTTAAAAAAAAAAAGTTTTTGTTAGTAACCAGCGTTTGTTTATGGTACGTCATAGAGCTGGTGCGACGCCATTTTGCCTTGAGAAGCATTTTGGCGGGTCTTAAAATTATCAATGTTTAATTTGACTTTTTAAAGCCACTAAACAGAATTTTAAATAAAAATTATAATCTATACAAAATTGTCACTTAGAAATAATCTGAAATGGTTATTTAATTGTTGTCAAATAAACCATTGTCGTTGATCGTTATATAAAAGAAAAAATAATATCGATATTTGAGGAAGCTTCACATTAAATCGAGTACATGTAACGCTGTATTGTTATTGCAGTATGTCGTTATCAACATAGTAATCAGTGGCGCTACAACCTCTTTAGGTCTGGGCCTAAGATTTCTGTATTTGTTTCATGATCATTTTTCAATCTAATAGGCAAGTAGGTGATCAGCCTCCAGTGCCTGACACACGCCGTCGACTTTTTGGTTCTAAGGCAAGACGGTTTCCTCACGATGTTTTCCTTCACCGTTCAAGCAAATGTTAAATGCGCACATAGAAAGAAAGTCCATTGGTGCACAGTCGGGGATCGAACCTACGACCTCAGGGATGAGAGTGGCACGCTGAAGCCACTAGGCCAACACTGCTCTCGTTATCAACATACTACAATAAAAAATACACACACACACTACTGTAGTATTTCCTTTATTAAATTTTTAATCCAATTTACGTAGTGATCACTTTGACCGCTTGACGCATAATATGGGCCATATTATCTATTGTGTGATATTGCTTGTATGTAAAAAAAATATTATTATGTAGGTAGAACGATACGATCCCCGTGCTAACAAATGGACGGCGGTAGCTGCAATGTCTACCCGGCGCAAACATCTCGGCTGTGCAGTATTTGATGGACAAATCTATGCTGTTGGAGGAAGGGATGACTGCACGGAGTTATCATCGGCTGAACGGTATATATGCAATATATATAATATATGTAAGCAAGTTTTAATTAAAGTACTGTGTATGTCTCATTTAATCACACATAAACAGTATTTGATAGAAAGAGTAAGTAGTTATAAAGAGGAAATATTTGTATGTAAGTATGTTTGTAACGAAATGGCTCAAAAAGTACTGGACTGATTTAAAAAATTCTTTCACCATTTGAATGCTACATTATCACTGATTAAATCAGGGATCCCTACTAAAACTACATTAATGTAACCCAAGGTGTAAAAAATGCCTATAAAATATCTATCGTTGCGAAAACTATTGATGATAGAAAAAAAAATTGTTCCATAATTTTTATTACCGTATATATCAATATCTAATTTTTTTTTTTAAATCAATGTCCACCCGTGCGAAGCCGGGACGGGCCGCTAGTTAGCGATAAAAGGTGCGATTTTTTTTAAACTGTGTTATACTTGTGTTAATGTTATATAGAAATAAACTATAATATTCTTGAGGTAAGGCAGCGACCATATGAATATTAGTGTCATTTTATTTCGCGGTACGAGAAATGTCAGGTCCGCTGGTGGTCAGATATGTTTCAAACTTACGTCCTCAGCTATGAGATGTGCACACTCAAGCCAAGAGGCCAGCACTACTTCAGTGTATATTAAATGCTTAACCTTAAATTTGTTGACTTCCAGGTACGAACCGTCAACAGACACATGGTCTCCCGTAGTGGCGATGACGTCACGGCGTAGTGGAGTTGGGCTTGCCGTCGTCAACGGACAATTGTACGCTGTCGGCGGGTTTGACGGAACCGCTTATCTTAAGTCTATTGAGGTACATATTTTAAATACGATTAGCACTTAAAGATCACTTTATTAAGTTTTTTTTTTAATTTGTTTCGGTGTTATTTCTAACTGTTCTTACTGTTCGACTATTGGTCCGGCTCGATTTTGGACCATATGATAAGATAATATGATTGAGAATTGTGTGAGGGTCTTGATTTAAATAAAAATAAAAACTTGCGAACCGTATGACAATTTTAATTTAACTAAAAGAAGTAGTGAGAGCAGTGTTGGCCTAGTGGCTTCAGCGTGCGACTCTCACACCTGAGGTCGTAGGTTCGATCCCCGGCTGTGCACCAATGGAATTTCTTTCTATGTGCGTATTTAACATTTGCTCGAACGGTGAAGGAAAACATCGTGAGGAAACCGACATGTCTTAGACCCAAAAAGTCGACGACGTGTGTCAGGCACTGGAGGCTGATCACCTACTTGCCTATTACATTTAAAAAATAATCATAAAACAGATTCAGAAATCTGAGGCCAAGACCTGAAAGAGGTTGTAGCGCCACTGATTTTTTTTGTGTTATTGGTTTAAGACATATAGTTAAAGGTCATTTAATATGTACTGCAGTGTATGTACCCCGAGCACCAAGGCTATACTCAGTGAATCTAGTGCCTTTTTCTAAACTTTTAATATTTATTCAAATTAATGAATGATAAATCACGTTTTTGAAGTTGAAATGTAGCTCTTATTTAAATTCAGTTGCATTATCTCAATCTCTACTTGAGAACTGGTAAATAGGGCAAACATCGGATAGAAAAAATAGCTTGAAATATCACGAATTTACATTGAAGTGTCGTTATGGAATATGGGCCTTAGTTTCGCATTTGAACTAAATAAACTTTGGTCAACAATTAGGTGTATGACCCGGAATCGAACCAGTGGCGACTTTGTGGAGCCATGAACTACCGCCGTCTGGGAGGAGGCGTCGGCGTTATGCGAGCGCCGCATCATGATAACCATTATATATGGTAAGTAATTGCCACATACATACTGCATATGGCAATCCAATACGTGTCATTTTTCTTTTGGGACACTGCTTAAGCACTAATTAAGTTTATACAAAAATCTATCTTTACATTACATAGACATTGTTCGTGTTAAAGTATGCCCAAAGTTCGATATAGATGCTTGTCTTAGATTGTTCAATAATAAATAATATTTTAGGCCGATAAAGTTGTAAAAAGCGAATACATATTTAAAATTTAATTGTGTTGGCGGACTTTAAAATTGATTAATAATTTTATGAAAAATGTTATAAACAATTGTTTTCGGTTTCGTTTGTAAAATGTTCTTGTCCCATTTCAGGAATCGCAAAGACTCGGTGGTGTAAGCCAGACGGCACCACAAACACTAATAAAATATTAAGTCGTTACTCATTTTATTTTATTGTTAAATCTATATTATAATTGACTATTTATAAATATAAATAAAATACAAATTTTAGAATATAATAATTTTGTATCATTCACATCTCGTAATATAAGAAATATAAATAACAATAAATTAAATGTATTAAATACTATTTTATATTTTCTTTTTGTGGTATCTATGTGTTGTATGCTAATAATTGAAATCATGTGTTATTGATTTATTAAATAATACATAGAATATAACAAAAATAGTGGCGCTACAACGGCTTGAAATTTCTGTATCTGTGTCGTGATCATTTGTATTTTCTAATAGGCAAGTAGATCAGCCTTCTGTCCCTGACACCCCCCTTAGCCTTTATGGTTCTAAGGCATGGCGGTTTCCTGGCGATGATTTCGTTCGCACCGTTGAATGCGCAGGCTGGGTTCGAACCTACGATTTCTGGCTTTTTATGCCACTAGGCCAAAATTGTAAAGAAAACGTGATTTTATTAAGAACCTCGACCTTAAAAAAATCTTCTTTGTAATAGTTAAAGACCATATATTTCAATGGTTATGAACTGGCGTAACTGGCTTCGATAATCCATTCATTATTATTCGTTCGTCTTATTATTTTTCAAACCGTTTATAAATCATTTTAATTCGGAAGTTTTAGAAAAACTATTCGGAAAACTATAACCACGAGTACTACAATAGTTTCAGGTCAATTTGCCAGGTAAAATGTTGGTAGGAACTATACATAAATTAAGTCTAATTAACTAATTAATCTTGAAAAAATGTAGCATATAAAATATTTATTGTACTCTATTATCTTTAATCTATAAAGGTAAGTTATTCCTAGCTGGTTGGCAAATTCTGATGTTAATGAAATAATAAAATATCATTTAAATAATGAGCTTCACGAGTTCCTAGAAAATATGATTGATGATTTTAGTATTTTTAATTAAATACAAATCAAAGAACTGAACTCAACAAGCCAGTTGTTATAAAATTTATTGCATGGTGCAAGAATCACATCACTCTTTTTTTTAATTTACTGATGTAAAATTAATACACAATAGAATATATTTAAAAATCAACCTATTTTTACAACGCAAATATTTATATTTGTATAATATTTGATCGTTGTGTTAGTACATCTTAGTTCTACATAGCGGTTGTAGGAACTTATTATTGACGCCCGTGCGAAGTGTTGCTAAACAGGAGGGTACTTACTAAAGTATCGTGAGTACTGAGATCAATCCACCTATTTATAGAGAAAGATGAATTCTTTAATAATTTGATAAACTTGCCACTATTTTTAATATAGAACATACACTATGTTTTAAACTATTGAGTAGTGGGTGGTGGGGAGGTCGCCTTATCGAGGTGACTGTCATCTTCCTTCTCCCCGCGGCCAATATCTTCTTCCTTTTCCTCTCCTTCATCCTCTAATTCACCGTCCTCAGCAGAGCCATCTATGATGTCATCCTCGGGTACTTCGGTAGATACTTCGACCATCTCGTCTCCTTCATCTCTGGTCTCATGACGCTTCTGAAAACAACACAGGGCGTGAAATGAATAACAAAAGAAGCGCGTGATTGTGATTGGTCAACTAGTTCCTAGTCTATGACGCAAAGACATGAGACAACATACGTCATTCCGTTTCTTCAATTACTATCAAAGATATCGCTCCGTATTTCGTCTTATGTTTTACACTTTCGTCACCACGGTCTCACTGTGGTAAACTAGTTTTGTAATAGAATTTATTTTAAAAATGTAATTGAAATAAAAGAAGTAAATTAATATTATTGGCTTATTTTCGCCATGGCGTAGCGTAACTTTAACGAACCTTTTTCTTCTTTTTAGACTTAGGTTTAGGTTTGTGTTCGGGTTCACTATATCCTGGTGGAAAGAATCTCCTGCATTCTTCTTCTCCTACCACTGTGTCCTCGCTAACATGGAGTGGCCCTAATGTCAGCAGGGCGTCTGGTGGCTCGTTTTGTATTTCGCTGGGATCCATTAAAGCTGGTTCTTCTACTCCAACGCTCACCATTAATGCTATGGTTTCTGAACTGAACATTTGAAATGGTTATAGGTACTTTATTTTGAAATATCTATTGAGAAGTTCGTGAAGATAAATTAAATCAAAATTAAATACACTAGATACTTACTAGTCTTTTTCTGGTCTCTCCTCGTACTTGTCTAAATTTTTTGCCAGCAATTTAGGTTCGTCAATGTTGGCATCAGCAAAAAATCCGTATCTAAGGATTTGGTTGGAAAGCTTTGGAGCAACGGTGACGGATAAAATTGCTCGACGCTGCCACGCCCCAAAGAGCATGAGTAAATGTGGAGGCTCTGCTGGCGTCGGAGGCTCAACTAGGGAACCCACCATCTAAGTAAACAAACTGTAGTTGTAATTGACAAGTACATTTCGATTATGGGCCTTTTCACACGTACCACAACCACACCACGACCACAACCACCCCTCAACCACACCACGTGGCCGGGCATATATTTTGTATTGAAAATGAATAGGACTATTCACACGTACCACATTTTGCAGTCGTTATCGACCGTGTGTGTGATACCGACCACATCGTAACCACAACGCGACCACCAGCGGCACTGCGAACTAGTGGCCACATCGCAAACAAAACGTTGCGTAGACGCAACGACAGTGCGCGCCCGCCGCTTTTGCCCTCCTCCGGTTCATTCATTCTGCGTTCGACTAAGGTGACAAAGTTTCCTCTTCGAATTACATAAGTTTGGTCAGTCAACTCCGGCTTTCATAGCGGAAACACGTTCCGCAACTGTGTCTGCACACGACGTAACCGCATCGCAACTACTGGCGACAATGCAACCACATCGACATTTTGTTGGTACCACAACGCAACTACAAATAGCTGCAGCGACACTATTCACACGTAACCACTGCTTCACAGCATTTTGTCGTTGCGACGTGGTGTGGTTGTGGTACGTGTGAAACAGCCCTATAATAGGACCTCGTGAATCATATACATTTTTTATTCAGATTTCCTATCTAGAGTTATAGGTAAGATTATATAATATCAATGACCGTTATGTTAAGTTTTTAAGTTAATTAAGGTTATAGGTGCCACAGTACGTTTATTGTGTTACACAACGACACACAGTGTTGAAATAACTTTTGTAACTTTCGACGCTGCCACTCCGTGGACAGCTTAGTGAAACCTTTATACATTTTCTTTTAATTTTTACGCTGCTTCCTGTTAGAAAAAAAACTCTTATCTGTGTGTTACAAGTGTTATTAGCTATAATAAAGGCCCATTTATAAATCTTCTTCGTCTGCAACAGATTGTAAATGCGCTAGTAGACTCGATAAAGAACATAACATACCTTTGGAAAGAGTAAATCCATTGCAGCGGCTCGTTGATGTCGGTCAGCCGGCACAAACAAGCCTGGCACAGAATTAAGCTGCAGCTCATCTGCCAAGAACTTCTTCGGTTCGTTTTCCTCTGATAAACCATCTCCGAAAAGGGCCGATCGACATAATTCTGCAATCAAAAACCATCACGAAACCGAATCTAAACTAAATTCAGTTTCAAGACTCCAGGTTCAAGTGATATTATATTTTTTAACTTTTCTTCATATCACAAGCATACAGATTAATCGTTTCAAATTTGTGCTCTCTAAGTAGGAGTTATATCGTGTATACCTATAACATTCCCCTCTTTGTCTGGTAGCTTCTTCAGTAGCAAAGTTAGTGAAGGCCTGTCGATCAGTGCTGCAGCCGCCGCCTCTGTTGCCAAGTGTTCATCTTCTATAGCGAGTACTTTAAGACCGTCCTTGTTTAGAACTAACGGGCATTTATCTGCCACAATGACACCTAATAAAAATATGTACAGTTACAGTATATTATTTATTTTGTTGTTAATTTTCGTAAGTTCTGCGTTTGTATTTTTTTTACACAGTCGCATATAGCGGAAACAGAACCCGGACTGTTAAAAAATCGACTCGAGCCCAAACTAGTGTTGCCTAAATATTCATATGCGTGAAAAGTTTTTCTGCAAAATTGAATATGTTGAAGGCTGACAATATATATATGACATTTTACCCAGTGATGTATCCAACTTTGTTTATCTTGGATATGGTAGGATACAACAAGTTAGAGGTAAGGATGTAACATTATATTTTTTAAAGGTCCTTAGAGGTAAAATATATAATGCGGAAATGTGAAATGGGGCTGCGTGTGCCAAATAACCACACTCGGCGTGGTAAGCGGTCGCAATTGCTGGCAGTGCCTCGGGCGCGTACGTAATTACTCAGAGAAGCACCATTTACGCGTGTCTTGCGCATCCTATATATTATTGCTTGTGTGACGGATATATTTAGTTGCACACTACTTGCTGATTTCACAAGAATTGCATTATTTATAAGCATTATTTATTAGTATTAAGTTACTGTAAAAATAGGAAACAATGAAAATTATTAAATAAATAATTAGAAAATAGTTCCTTATATGTTTTATATACCTTGGGTCTGTCTATACCTCAATCACTCTATACATACCAAACGGTTCAAGTGCATCGGCGACTTTTCTGAGATGTTTCTGCGCATGTGGAGTGAGCATTGCCGGGCAGATTTCGTTAAAATGGGCTTCGAGTCGCTTCGCGCGTGATTCACGTCGAGCTATCCTGGAGTTTTCAGCCGCTGCAGCTTCTTTAGCTCTTCTAGCTTGAAGTAGTTTTTCTTGGGCTATTGCCACTTCCTTTTTATCAATAAAACTTTTGAATTGTTATATATAATAGGATTGTTATTAAATGACTGTGCTGTATGATTCTTGCGTATTTTTAACCATTTAGGTATTTGCCACGCAATGTATGCTTGCAATAGGAAATGTTTTCGTAGTTTTGCAACATTTATTATTATACATAGTTTGCAAAAATAAGCACGTTCAACCATAACAAACCTGTTCTTGTGGAGTCAGCTCAAATGGTGCCCGTTGGGGTCTCTCTAATTCTCCTTTCCGCACCAATTCTTCATTTTTCAATTCCTGTTCAATAGTACGCGTTAGACGAGGGGCGTCCGCGCCAAAAACTACGTTCAGAAGCTGCTTATTCTGTGGGTAGTATCGGATTAAACATTTACAAAAAAAAAAAAACATTTTACGTTTCACTCATATCCACTTTAGTTTTCCTGGTGGTAATACTTTGTAACACATATAGTAGAGGTACATACACATAATTTCAACTAAGTGCCTATGTCCAACGTTAAATCTTACAAAAAATATAAGTTAAATAATAATAAACAAATAAGTTAATATGTATGTCCATAATGTGTAATTAATCAATATTATTCAAAGGTTTTAACTTAGCGTTTCTCAGTAAGTAGGTTAGTATGTAAAAAATGGGTCGAAATGAACTGTTAAAAGTGGAGCATTAGCTACATTGCAATACAATGTGTGGTTATGTGATTTAGAAAGTGTTTGATCAATACGTCGGCGGCGATATTCCTCTTCATATCACACTCACCTATGCTTCGTGTATGTACCTTAGGTACATCACGTGTAAAGTACGTACTAGGAGAATGGGTACAATAAATTTATTACAACTTTACATAGGCATCTTAAGCTAACGTACAAAAAAAAACATTACTTTGCTTAATTAAATATATTAATCTTTGTTTTAAATATATAAATTAAAAAAAAAATCAGTGGTGCTACAACCTCTTTAGGTCTTGGCTTCAGAATTTTGAATCTGTTTCATGATCATTTTACAATCTAATAGGCAAGTAGGTGATCGGCCTCCAGTGCCTGACACACGCCGTCGACTTTTTGGGTCTAAGACATGTCGGTTTCCTCACGATTTTTCAGCATCGCCAGAAAGAAGAAAGAAAGTCTATTGGTGCACAGCCGGGGATCGAACCTACGACCTTAGGTATGAGAGCCGCACGCTAAAGCCACCAGGCCAACACTGCTCTCTGAACTGCTAATTACACAGTTTTAACAAGTAAAAAAACAACGATTAAAGACGCTTTTTGTTATAAAACACGTAGCCTGATGGTAATTGCTAAAGTTTCAAACTTTTGCCTCATTAAATTGCCGTTGTGCTTTAACATAGTTTAATCTTCAATTTTATCAATCTTTTACGTGTTTAATTTAATCTTAAATATATATTCTGTTGTAAATTTTAAAGAAAATCTATATATATTTCCTATTGTTATCTTTATAAGAATGAATTGTGTGAGTTCATGTATTGTCGATAAAGGAATATTGTATCACGAAATATCTTGACAGGCAAAAAACTCAGGACGTGTCTTTATTACATCTAAATACTTTGGAGATTTCTGAAGAATTACTAAGTAAAACGCATTATAAAATGGTCAACATCAAAATGCAAAACAAATGAATAATTTTACTCACCGAAAGAAGCATCCATGTGGGTTCGCTGCGATTTCTAAATCGCTTAAGATCGCTTATCGTGTCCGCTTTTGCCTTTAAATTGTAAACACAAACTAAGTTACATTATCTTACATTAACTTAATGTTACTTAATAAATTCACTTAACCAGTTAGTTATTTCGTCTGTTTTTGATAAGTCATATGTCTTTAAAAACACATGCGCGACACAATCTGTCTTCACCAATCATAATCAAACGCAATACGCTATTTTTTTATGGAACAGGGGCAAACAAGCAGGCCAGAGTTTAATTCTAAGAGCAGTCCAAGGATAACTATACCAATGAATTTAGCTAATTAACATCTTTCGTCTTATGTTTCCCCAGGGAAATTTTTCTTCTTGTAAATGCTGCACATTCGGGAGTATAGGTTAAAAATGGTGTTTTAAGATTCCGAATCGTTGATGATTATTTTTTGATAGGAATATTATTATTTTTATTTATAGGACGGCAAACGGGCAGGAGGCTCATCTGATGTTAAGTGTTTTAAGCATGTGTGGACACTGTCTCTGCCAGAAGACTCGCAAGTGCCTTGCCGGCCTTTAAGGAATTGATACGCTCTTATATTTAAGGACCCTAAGTCCTGGATGGGGCCTTCCATAGTCTTAATAAGAATCTATCTATCTAAACATAGATATAAATATCTAACTTGTATCAAATTTGTGAAAATAAAACTAAGCTAAAGCTTAGTATGTAAAAATATAAGCTTACGATGGCGAGATGCAAGTTGTCTCCACCGATTTCCACTTTAATTTTCTTCAAATTTCCAACCATTCCTATGCAAGGGCCGCACCATTCTGTATACACATCGATTACTGCCAACAAAATTATTTATCAAAAGAAATGTCTGCGAAGAACTTAAACGATTTTCTTTATGACGTAAGCCTCAAACGATATAAACACATACAGTAGTTTATTTTTTTGAAAACATAAGGGAGCTCAAATAGTTGTTCGTTATTAGAGAGCTTAGCAAAAATCTAATCCGTAGTGAACTTAAATAGGTACCTTAACAATCTACATGTATTTGGTAATACTATAATCGTTCAAAGTAATACCAGCCCTCTGCGACTTCTCTTTAAGTTTCACGTAATCATATATTTGCTTTAGCCGAGTATTTTTAAATGTAAGGTTAATTACCGAGGAGTCCAGCTCTATTAAGGAACTTGGCCCACTCGTCATCCGTGTTGATCTCTGCCTGCAACTGCACCTGAGCGGCTTTCTTGCCTGCGCCGGCCGCGGCAAGAGCGGCAGCGTTGGCAACCGCGCTCGTTATAGACATGGTCGTAAGTGAGCCATGCCAATAGCGCTCCACGTGCCATAGGCGCCATAGACACGTGAACCGGATAGAGGGAACAAAATGTATTAAAATATTAGTAAGGGCACATAATATTTATAAACGCAAAACGTGTGTTAAAGTTTGGAACAATGGTTAGACAATGAAATTAAAAATAGTGATCGACTGGTTTGTGTTTTGTTCTCATAATGTAAGCACTACGTACTTCTATTTTGCCTGCTGATAAGCTTTTGTTACTTCATTTTGTTCCAATATAAATAAAGGATGGCGTTCTTGTTGCAGTTCCTTACAAGGTAAACCAAAAACTTAACGAATATAAATAGTCATGAAGAGTTTCATCTCAGTTCCACTCGCCCACTCTACGCCCTTGTTACAAAACTAATAAGTATATATAATAGTAAATGTATTTTTTTTAAATGGAATTTTGCTGTTGGCCTTTAGGGCTTTTACTAGCTTAGCTCGGGGTGTTTTGGCGAGCGTAGCTCCGCCTGGATGGGCGTTTTCCCGCGACAAGTGCAAGGATGTCTCCTGCGAGACTCGGACTTCGCCTTGGGCGGAACGGGGTGGTTGGGCGCGCCTGGCCGTGGTGTTTGTGGGGCGGGGCGGGGGGGGGGGGGGGGTGGGGTTTTTTTTTTTTTTGTTTTTGTTTTACCGCTTTACTGCGGGGGGGGCGGCGGGCCCCCGGCGGGGGGGGGGCCATAGACGGAACGGGGTGGTTAATCGCCTGAAGGGCAGGACGGAAGCTCACTGGATTGAACGAAGTACGAAGTAAAGGTCCACGCTTACCCCGGTGAGGGCGATTTTTTACCTCTTCTCCTCATAATTTGTCATTAGCTATCGTGATTGGATCACCCGGATCCGTTAGGACATGTCAGGGTCTCCTACGGGGCCTTTTTTGTTGGGAACTGGTAATAATTGGGATATTGTAAAAAAAATTTAACTTTTCCCTTTTTATATTGACGCAGCAAGTAGTAGTGTCTGGTGAGTAAAAAAAATGAGTTAGTCTCTTTGAGTTAAAAATTCGATACTTTGACTCATTGTACTAAAAAAACACTCATGGTAATAAAACCTTAAAAGCTATCTATAACATAACGCTCTATAACCTCGCATGCTCAAGTAAAAAACATTGAAACAAGGAGAACGAAACTTTATGATAGTTTCATTGGAAGAAATGAAGATTATTTATTGGAACAGAAGATTTCTTACACATAACTACGTACGTATTTTTTGCTAGTCTAATAGAAATAATATCATATATGCTATGGATAATAATTGTTGATTGTGAAGAGTGCTCCCTTGAGCTGTTAAGCGAGAGGAGAGTATTTTTATTCAGAGCGATAGATTCAAAATATGTCACTCGAGTTTAAAATAATGTCGCTTTCGAGTTGGACACTCAATAATACTTTATTACCTCTATGGGAAAATTTATGCCGAAGTGCAACTCATGTAGTAGAATAAGTTTTATTATACTCACTTGAGAAAATTTTCATTTCATTTCAAAATTAATTTTCTAAATACTACCGATCCTACAAAATGATCACTTTTTGTTAGTATTATTTTAAATAAATACCCCTTACGAATCTTCTTTTATAATTTCATAAAAATATTTACGAGCCAGCTTTGGCTGAAAGAATGAAGCAAATTCTTAGTTTTACAAGTGGCGATTACCTAAATCGTCATAGTTACGCCTCTAGAGTATAGCCAGATGCAGGCCTCAGCATTATAAACATAGTAGGTATAGCACTTTCATTAGATAGCATTTATAGGAATTAATTAATTCGCAAAAATTCACTATTTTGTTATACGAGAGTGGTAAATATGAAAATCATATCCTCTATTATTTGAAATATCTCGTTGACCCAGGAACCGCACATTATGCATTTACTAAATGTAAAAGCTTGAAAAACACTAAAGTAGGCTAGACATTACTGTTGTTAATTTGTATAACAATTCTTTGTAATTTTTATTTTACTTTAGCGCCATCTGTTTTTGGTAATTGAAACTGTGATATCTATGAGTCATAAAAACAAGAACTAACATGAAACATTGTTTAACACCATCTTACAGTAGATGGCGTTATTTTTTATATTGAACTGTACTAGTATATTATATAATTTACAATTTTTGTGTACCGACACAAGTTACGAAGGAATTAGGTAGGTACTGCTAGAATTGAATAACCGCGTGTCCGTCACATTTGATAAAGAAGTCTTGTTATTAGCCTGTTTCTTTTGAAGAAATGTATCCTTAATCCGCCAGTGGAGGGCACCACACCTAGACCACGATCCCCTACTCGCCCTATCATGCCTTTACAGGTCTTACTACATCCAGGCGCTGAGGATTGCCAAAGACTTGCTTGTGAAATGGGTGGCGTCCATAACACGACAATCAGAAATGAACTAATCTCAACAAAAAGGAACAAACTAAAGAATGAAAAGGAACCTGTAAGAATTCGCTCGAAAGAGATAAAACCCTCCTTATTATTTAATTATAATAATTTGTTTTAATTTTTCAACGAAGTATTAAATAAACAAGTTTTTCGATCGAAGTATCGGCATTCGATAAGGCTTGGGGCAGTGCTTTATTGACAAGGCACATTAGACATCTGATACGCATCGTCTTGTATCTTATTTGTAAATTTTTTTGCAGGTGTTAATTGCGCAAAAAAGAAGAAGAAATAAAAATCCGTTGGTCGAAACACACGACCTGTGTTAGCAGGGGACTGTTAACACGTCTTATGAAAAATAAGAATTCCTCATTATATTACAGAATGTTATATCCATTTTATCATTGTCTAGTTTTCTAAAATATAGATATTTTAAATAACATTACGGTATCAAATCTGTAGCAAAAGTAACAAATCTATTGTAACTTTTGCTATTGCTATGAAAGCATTAAAGCTTTTGCGTGATTTAGACATTCATTGCTATTAGGTAAGTTTCGTATTTTTTTCATAAATTGCGGATTTGCATGACTGATATCGTCGGTTGAGCTTCCGCCTCTGATCATAACAAATCAATCCTTATGATAAAAAATTCTATATTTATTTCAAAATGAAAGTGAAAATCTATGATACTATTATTAATTATTTATTAACAATGACAATATAAATGGACCGAATAATACCAGCGCTTGTCGCAATTAAAGTCACAAGGGCTTAGTATTATAGTACGGGAGGTAGCAACGTTTTCGAGAAAGAATTTCAGGTCAGCTGATTTTGTGATATGTCTTCCTTCTTCACTTTCGGTTAGAGTCTGGGCAATCTGCTGGCGGTAGCGGTTGCGTTCATTAGTGCGCATCCTATCTGTCCAGTAATAATCCTGGATTTTAAAAGCATTTTAAGAAGCGTAATTTTTAATTTATCGTTTTTAAATAAGTCTACCTGACATACTTATTTTATTGCCAGACATTTTTCACATTGCTAACTATGTGCCAGACGCGATTTTAAGTTTTTTTAATAAAAATTTCAAAGTATTTTTAGAATGTCTGTAATTTTAATATTATGTTATTTAAATATAAGAAAAACTAAAAATGAATTTGCCAGACATTAATTCGATTGTTAAGTCTTGAATTAAAATGAAAAAGTATTGCAGTATGATGAAGCATTGCATTTTAAGAAGCGTAATTTTTATTTTTCCTTTTTAAATAAGTCTACCTGACATACTTTTTTATTGCCAGACATTTTTCACATTGCTAACTATGTGCCAGACGCGATTTTAAGTTTTTTTAATAAAATTTCAAAGTATTTTAGAATGTCTGTAATTTTAATATTATAATATTTAAATATAAGAAAAACTAAAAATGAATTTGCCAGACATTAATTCGATTGCTAAGCCTTGAATTAAAATGAAAAAGTCATGAAAAGTATTGCAGTATGATGCCTTTCATTGGTAATAAAAACATTTACGTAAGTTTTAATAAATTTATTCATACAAAGTGATAATAACTAAGTAATTAAAACTATTGAAGAATCATTATCGTGTGAAGAAACGAAGAAGCTGATTCTAGGATTATTTTTCATATTTGCCAAATCGATTTTGACCAGAAGTTGTTATACGCTGTTCTGATTCTGAACAAAAAAATTAAAATAACCTTCTTAAAATGCAATGCTTCATCATCTGCATACTTTTTCATTTTAATTCAAGACTTAACATCGAATTAATGTCTGGAAATTCATTTTTAGTTTTTCTTATATTTAAATAACATAATATTAAAATTACAGACATTCTAAAATACTTTGAAATTTTTATTAAAAAAAAACTTAAAATCGTCTGCCATAGTTAGCAATGTGAAAAATGTCTGGCAATAAAAAAAGTGTGTCAGGTAGACTTATTTAAAAAGGAAAAATTAAAAATTACGCTTCTTAAAATGCATGCTTCATCATACTGCAATACTTTTTCATTTTAATTCAAGACTTAACAATAATTAATGTCTGGCAAATTAATTTTTAGTTTTTCTTATATTTAAATAACATAATATTAAAATTACAGACATTCTAAAATACTTTGAAATTTTTATTAAAAAAAAACTTAAAATCGCGTCTGGCACATAGTTAGCAATGTGAAAAATGTCTGGCAATAAAAAAAGTATGTCAGGTAGACTTATTTAAAAACGAAAAATTAAAAATGACGCTTCTTAAAATGCTTTTAAAATCCAGGATTATTACCTGGACAGATAGGATGCGCACTAATGAACGCAACCGCTACCGCCAGCCAGATTGCCCAGACTCTAACCGAAAGTGCAAGAAGGAAGACATATCACAAAATCAGCTGACCTAAAATTCTTTCTTTTCAAACGTTGCTACCTCCCGTACTATTACGGCTTAGAAGTTATATATTATTTATTGGATTAAATCTTTTATTTGTTTAATTTGATTAGAGAAATATTCTTGAAAGGCCGGCAACGCACTCGCGAGCCCTCTGGCATTGATTGACACTTCCATGGGCATCGGTATCACTTAACATCAGAAGAGCCTCCTGCCACTT